TCTACTTACACCCCAGAACCCCCTAGGATTAACTGCATTGCTTTATGAATAATTAACTGTGCAGAAATCGAATAATAATTGCAAAGCAAAATGATTGATTCATTGGAACTCAAGAGGGAAAATGGTATAGGAAAAGGCATTTAATAGCAAGTTAATAGCCTTGTGGAAATTGTGTTCATTTAAAATGTTATTTGTATACAAGAATATATCAGCATATATCAAAATAACCCGGAGAAAACATTTTTAATTGATTTCACAACTCTTTTAGTTTTATATAAAACAAATCTATCAGAATTCTTTTCAATTGTAACTCCTCTCTATTTAAATTCCCCACAATTTCCGAGATATTGAGTTTCCAGAGCACTCTTAGTGACACCCAAAAAGCGTAGACCAATTAGCATTTTTTAAGCTTGCACCGAATCCTTTTTGAGCCTGTGGCATTTTTTGTGCTGTTTAATTGCTTGTATTTTATACGCTCACACATACTCACGCAGCACTTGTGTTTTATTTTATGACACAGACAGCACGTCAGCGGAGTATTGACATCCGCCAAAAGAACACAAAGCCCATAAATAACACACAAAAAACGAGGACCCCAAACGGGGGCAGGATAAGGGAATAAAAAAACAAAAAAAAAGAAAAAAGGTGAAATGGAAGCGTTGCTGACCTCAACAATGGCAATCAGTTGGCAGCTCAGCGAGAGCGCTCTTCAATTATTTGCTTTTGACCCACAAAATGGATGGGACGGACCGGACCGCGGCCACTACTGATGCGTTAAGTGCGGCGCACACTATGGTGTTGTTGCCACTTTTCCTGCTCCTGATTCGCACGTATCCGAGACCATGGCCCAGAGCATGTAATCAGATGGACCCGAGTAGGGTTTTATTTTTAATTAAACTCACAGTCGACACTGGGGTACGCTCATAAAGCGGACTGTAGCAGCAACTAGCAGCCGTGTGCCGCCCTTGTTGCCACATTACGCATACGCCATGTTGTATTCATTATTTAGAGGAAGCTGCTTCCGGCGAATGTGTTGAAACATTTTTGTGGCCGCCATAAAAGGGTACGCTGAACTGGACTCGTTCTCCAGGATAAGGGAAGCCCCTCTAAAATGGCACGTTTTGTGCGTCGGTTCGTTAGTGTGAATGATGTGAGAGACAGGAATAGGAACAGGCGGGAAGGATGTGCGGAGGCGGACAAGGGACTGCCACGACGGAGGCGAAGCTCAAAAATTTAATTACTTTCACTTGTGCGAACTGTTTGTCTGGCAGTCAGACAGCCAGAGAGACTGGACGGGACCGGCCAAAGGCATTTAACGTAAATGTAATGAAATTGCAGACGGACTTTGCGACTGGGAACTGTTTGTGCTACGCACATTGGATGGCTTCCGTTGCCATTGCCATTTCCATTCCTGAACCGGGGATTGTGACCCGTTAGCCGGGCTGTTAGCACAGCTCCTTGGTCCGCCTCGGCTTTTGTGTGACGCATTATGCGGCAAGTTTTCTCGCCTGCTGTGTGTGCAACGTCTTTTTATTGCAACATCCTCGCCCGCAATGGCGCTCCTTGGGGCAGGCGAACGTTAACGGGATTAAATGCCAACTGGGAACGTGTTTTGCTTGAGTTGCCCTCGCCATGGTTTTAGTTTCAATTTCACTGCTCTCCGCTCTCCGCTTTTCCACTTTTCCACTTGGTCCTGCCAGGGCATCCAAATCAATCATCCGCCATGTGGGGCGTGCACGATCCGCGCTGTGCTCGGTGTTTAAAATGTATGTATGTATATTGAAATTTAAATTTCATGTACAGCATGCACGGGAAATCGCATATATTTTTAATCCACAACACAGCCAGCACACGTGTTCGCAGCACCAACGTTCAAAGATTTTCAGATTGCGTATGTAAATATTTGCGCAATTCTAGAAATTTGTTTGACTGTTAAATCAAATGTAAATACGATATGTTTTCAAAGTCAACACGATGCAATTGCAGCAAAAACAATGGCCCTGACAGTACACAGGGAATGAGAAGACATAAAGATAGAGAGATGGATTCATGATAACGTGTAATTTAATTCAGATATTTTACAGAATGTCAACCGAGAGAGAGAAAGGTGAGTTATCTAGAGAGCTAGCTTGATTTATATTTCAGTCAATCTATCTACAAGAGAGAATTTCGATCCAAATGAATTTCGATCTCTAAAGGAACCCAAAGGGGGGCAAGGTCTGTTATTTGATGGGCGTTTTCGGGTTGGTTTCCTGCAGACATCATTTCCTTTCCTCCTTTCCCCGGGCTCCTGTGTTAACCGCAGCCAGGCGACCTCAGTTCGGTTTCGGTGCGTATGATTGACATTGATTGGAGCCCGGGCAAAACAAACTGTGCGGTTTGGTCTGCTTCGCTCTGCTTTTGCTTTTGCTCTGCTCTGTTTTGCTCTGGTGTGGTCTGGCTTCCTTTTTTTTCCCTTGAACCATGCTCTTATGCATTTTCCGAAACTAAATCAAAAAACGTTTTCAGCTTGATAAATATGTAATTTGCAATTTTGGCCAAAACAACAGGCAAAAAAAGGAAAGCGAGAGTTGGAAAAACCAAGGAAAATGCACAAATGTTCAGCTGCTTTTCTGACAGTACAGTGAGCACATCACACATAAATGTCACTAATTTAAAGCAAACTTTTTGACTTTAATGAATTTATATTATTGTTGTTCTATTATGTGAACTCTTGGAATAAATTCAAGCAGCTTAAAGTGCTTTAGTTCGTTTGCGCAATTAAACAGCAATTAGACAACTACTTCTTTATGATTATGTTGTATGTATATTTGATCCTGCTTAATTGTTAAGTTTTCTTATTTTAATTATGAGCAATTAGTCTTGTTTGGATAAATATTTTTATTCAAGGATTGGTAGCAGAGTCATTATTAAATCAATAAAGGAAACTAACTTAGGGAAGGCAAAGTTTAAATATCCTTGCCGTTTACAATTAAATTATTGGATTAAATCGGAAATCGTTGTGAATAGTTTGAATTAATGTTAATCAAATTTTTTTTTTATAAAAATCAAAGTTTTAAAAACTCATAACTAAGCCAAGAATGCATTAAATTCAATTCGGAAATCACTTTCATGTTAGTTTTTATTTGGTTAACAAATCTGCATACTCAATTTGAAATTTTAGAATATTAAAATTTTTGCCAATTTTTGCAAATTTTAATGATGTAACCCCTTATAAAAATTTCAAATTTTGAAAAAATTTCAAAAATGTATTTTTTGACCGGACATGTCTAGATCGATTTGGCTGTTGTTTCTGATCAAGAATATATATGATTTATAGGGTCGGAAATGACTCCCTCACTGCGTTTCCAGCTTCTGACTGAAATTGTAATCTTTTAAACAAGCAATAATATAAGAAAATACTCCATAATATATTCCTTGCATTTTGATAAAATAATTACTAAATTAAAGCAAGAAAACTTAACTTCACATGTGACTTCCTTAAAGATCAGGTTATAACTGAGTTACCTTGCCAAACTAAATTACCTTTACTCCTAATTATTTAAAAGTGCATGTGCCATGAATGACTTTTCCCCAAAAATACTCCTTGAAATCCCCTCCTCCCCTCCACACACACACTTTAATTACTTTCCATGTCCATACGACACTTCTTTTATGGCCTCGAGGGATGCATGTCCACTAGTCAGGTTTTGCGTAGGTAGCCGAGTGGGTATAGATGGTAGAACCTGGCCAGGGAGAGCTCATGCTTGAGCTCCCGCTTGAGCTGACCCACTTCCCAGTCAGTTAGCACTGTTGAGACTCAAAGGATGATTGGTTTTGCCGCTCCAGTTGTAATAATCAAATTGCCAGCTGCCGTTACTGCATTTGCACATCAGAGTCAGAGTCGAAGTTGAAGTCGGAGATGGACAGCAGGCAGGTGAAAGGGAACGGGAGGGAAAAACGAATACGAATGCGGATGCGGATACGGAAGCGAAGGAAAAGCGGAAGCTAGGGCCAAAGGGAAAGCCCAGAAATGGAATGTGGGCCACGATGAGCGGCCTTCAGAAGTCAAAAGGCGTTAACATTAATGCTGGCAGGCCTGCCACTGTGCCAGCCGTGTAAATAGCATGAATGCAATTTTATTTTATTTATGTTTGAATTAAGCCCAGCTCTCCAGCGCAGGCAGCCCAGCCAACCAGGAGCAGCACTCAGACAGTCTTTATAGGCAAATGAATTGCTCTATACGGACGAAGGAGCTTGTTTGTGTTCCGGAAATGTGTTTTGACATAAAAAATAAAGATTGATGCCGGTTGCAGAGATCCTAAAGATAGTTTTAAACGATATAGTTGCTAAGCCAACACTTGATGTAGAGTCTGTAGAGTTCGTTTTGGCTTCCTCACTTTTTTTGCAGTGTGCAAACGCACTTAATTAATTTTGTTTAACATGTCTGAGTCAGACAGGGCAACAATTTCATATTTTGCTTGTTAACTGTTATCGTGGTTTGCTGCTGCTGTTGCTGCTGTTTTTTCCCTGGCCAGTGGCCACATGTGGGCCATGAACACGGACACTAACGCAAACGGACAGGCACTCCCTGTTCTGGCATTCACATTGCGTATACGCCGCGTGGAGCGAGAGCAAACAAAAGCATCAGATGTCCTGTTGGTCGGCCGTCCGCTGATGCACTGATTAAATGGATATGCAGAGTGTGTCTATCCAACCGCCTGGCGAAAATAACTGTCAGAGCTGCACGACTTTATATCCGGGACGGTGCCTGGGCTGTCCAGAGTGCGAATTATAAATTACCAGCAGCGAACATTGGCTGCCCCTCCCCGGGCTAACCAAACCAAACGAAAACACAGAACTGCCTGCGCGAGCCACATGAAATTTCAATTAAAATAAAAATTTATACGCTTTTCGCCCTGTCGCTTATAATTAAAAACAATTTGTAAGTTATGGGAGGGCGAAGAGCTGGTGCTGCGATAATGCCCCTAATTTAAATCGGTTTATCTCTGGCCTTGCAGGCGGCTTTATGGGCGACATTGCCCTACCGGACGGTGACTCCGGACCACCGGTGGTGGCCCACACGCCCATCGACGACGAGGAGCAAGAACGCCAGGAGGTCGAGGAGCTGCTGTCAGATGCGCCAGACAACAGGGGCAGCGACCCCGCTTCCGTTTCCGCTCAAAGTCCCGGCCCGGTCAAGTTCAATGCCACCTTCCAGATGGATCTAGAGAAGCTTAAGCAGGAGGTCTACCACGAGGGCCTGCAGGTGGAGGAGGAGGGCCTGACCGACATCATTCGCAAAAAGACAAAGTTGCCGAGCACAGTTCCGGTGAACTTGACAGCCGGACAGGGTCAATTGCAGAGTCAGGTGAGTGAGGTGAACCACCAAAGTGAAACCCAAGGAACTCGACTCACCTCTCATTCCCACAGAGTGCCAATGAACCGGTAAAGCCTGGCTCCCAATCTCCCTCGGATTACGCCCAACCGTCCAGTTACAAGAACGAGGTGGTGCCTTTGTTCGAGCGACGCAATTTGGCGGCCAAGCCTGCCAGGCTTGTCCTGGCCGAGACCGCCTCCAAGTCTGGCAACAAGACAATGCTGCATCGCAATGTGGACACGCGGAAGATTCAGTCGGATAACAAGGACATTGAGGATGACTCGGGTAATAATTTTGTGGCGGAACGCAGGCAGTCACACATCCTGCCCACCTCACTGCCCGAGCAGCGTTCCACTCTGCCTAATGTGTACAGCAATGCCGGTGGCAACGGGATGCAGTTGGACGACGAGGTGGACTTCCTGCACTCGCGGGGCGTGGTACGTAGGCGGCACAGGCGAGGACCCAAGCATCGGTGAGTAAAGAGGATAACTGAAAGTCTCCCTGGTGCTACAGATATCCCAATCCCTTTCCTACAGACGTAGCAACCAGCATGCCGAGCACGAGGCCAAGCTGCAACGATTACGGGAGGAGCTAAGCCGTCCGGTGGGCGAGAGACATCACCACGGCGAGCACAATAAGCATCATCAGCGGCAGGAGCAGCTGCACCATCATGGCCACCAAAACACGCCACGCAAGAAGCACCGAGCGCATCGCCAACACCGTCGGCGTGGTCAGAGCACCACGCAGTATGTGAACCATTCTCCGCCGGCATTCAATCAATCTACGCCCGAAATGGATTTGGAAATGGGAAAAGCGGAGTAAGTACGGCATTCCTAGGCTGCGCCCTTTGCCTTGTTGGCGGGCCACCGCCACCGCCTCCGCCACATCCGTTTCCGTTGCCATTTCCTGGCCCACTGTAAATTGCCGGCCATTTTCATTTTTTTTTTTGGGCATAAACTTTAAACAAACAGCAGCCATTTTGGCAACTCACACAGACCCATTCACACACATACACAGACAGAGCTCATTGTGCGGCTTTCAGTGTGTTTGTGCATGTTAAAAGTTATGAATTTTAATAGAAATTCGCGTGCCAAAAGTTGTGCCGAACAACAACACTGAAAAATGTATGGAAAACTGTTGGCAATTAAAATTACGCATACGCCACGTGGAAAGTTTTTCGCAGCATCCTTGCGAATCATCCATAACTAACACTCTACCCATTCTCTCTCTAGGAGTCACCACGACCAGGGTGCGGAGGAGAAGGAGAAGGAGCAGCAGCGCCATCGAGTAGCACGCGCTGTCACCGCCAAAAAGGAACGCATTTGGGATTACGGTGTCATTCCCTATGAGATCGATGGCAACTTTAGTGGAATGCACAAGGCGCTCTTTAAGCAGGCAATGCGCCACTGGGAGAACTCCACCTGCATCAAGTTTGTGGAGCGGAATCCGGAGATACATCCCAATTACATAGTCTTTACTGTTCGTAGTTGCGGGTGAGTACAAGGATCTTTCTTTCATTCTTAGGGAGACACATCCTTTACATTTTTTTGGTTTACTTTACAGTTGCTGCTCCTTTGTGGGCAAACGCGGCAATGGACCCCAAGCCATTTCCATTGGTCGTAATTGCGACAAGTTTGGCATTGTGGTCCATGAACTGGGCCATGTGGTGGGCTTCTGGCATGAACACACGCGTCCGGATCGGGAGAAGCATGTCGTCATCGAGCACAATAACATTATGAAGGGTCAGGACTATAACTTTAACATGCTCTCCCCAGATGAAGTGGACTCTTTGGGCATGGCCTATGACTATGATTCCATCATGCATTATGCCAGGAACACCTTCTCCAAGGGCACTTACCTGGACACTATCCTGCCCATCGAGATGAAGGGTCGCAAGCGTCCGGAGATTGGTCAGCGATTGAGGCTCAGTCAGGGGGACATTGCCCAGGCCAATCTGCTGTACAAGTGTCCCAAATGTGGACGCACCTTCCAGGAGAGCACAGGAATCTTTGCCTCGCCCTCTTACTACACAGCCGGAGCCCTGACCGATGAGACGGAGCACTGTGAGTGGCGGATAACAGCCACCTACGGGGAGCGAGTGGTCCTTAAACTAGAGAATATGGTACGCTTATCTAAATTCAGAGGGAAATCGGATACACTTCTAAGAGTTCTTAATAATCTTTGCTCCCACAGAACATCTTCAAGTCGAACAATTGTGAGACTGACTACCTGGAGATCCGTGATGGTTACTACGAGAAGTCACCACTCATTGGACGCTATTGCGGCAAAGTGGCCAACGATGAGATCCGCACTGAATCCAGTCGCATGCTCCTCACCTACGTCAATACGCATCGCAGTGAAGGTTACCGCGGCTTCAATGCAGAGTTCGATGGTGAGTGCGGCCAGAAAATAAAGGGTCATCTTCAGGCAGGTTCATGACATTCCATTTCCGACAGTTGTTTGCGGCGGTGAACTGTCCGTGGACGATGCCGTTGGTCGCTTGGAGTCACCCAATTACCCGCTGGACTATCTGCCCAACAAGGAATGCGTGTGGAAAATAACTGTGCCCAAAGGCTACCAGGTGGCACTGAAATTCCAGTCCTTCGAGGTGGAGAACCACGACAGCTGTGTCTACGACTACGTTGAAGTGCGCGACGGACCCGAGCAGGATTCTCCGCTAATTGGGGTTTTCTGTGGCTACAAGCCGCCGCCGAACATGAAGTGAGTGGAGTGTCCTTCTCACCCAGTAACCCCCTGTCCATTGGTGACCGTTCCCCTTTTTCAAATTCCGCTTTGTTCGGGCATCCCCTTTTCCAGGTCAGGTGGCCATTCGATGTACGTGAAATTCGTGTCGGACACATCGGTGCAAAAGGCGGGTTTCTCGGCCGTGTTCATGAAGGAGGTGGATGAGTGCGAGACCCAGAACCATGGCTGCGAGCACGAGTGCATCAACACGCTGGGCGGCTATGAGTGTAGCTGCCACATTGGCTATGAGCTGCACAGTGACAAGAAGAAGTGCGAAGGTGGGTTATCCTAACACTACCCTAGAGAGTGACCCAATCCTCATTTTCCCCTTTATCCCCCTTCAGATGCCTGTGGCGGCGTTATCGAGTATCCCAATGGCACCATCACCTCGCCCTCATTTCCCGAAATGTATCCTCTGATGAAGGAGTGCATCTGGGAGATTGTGGCCCCGCCAAAGCACAAGATATCGCTGAACTTCACCCACTTTGATCTGGAGGGCACGGCGCATCAGCAATCGGACTGCGGCTATGATTCGGTGACCATCTACTCCAAGCTGGGCGAGAGTCGTCTGAAGCGTATTGGTACCTTCTGTGGCAGCGCCATACCACCCACAGCCACCTCGGAGAGCAATGCCCTGCGGGTGGAATTCCATTCGGACAAGTCCATCCAGCGCTCCGGTTTCGCGGCTGTCTTCTTCACGGACATTGACGAGTGTGCCATGAACAATGGTGGCTGTCAGCATGAATGCCGGAATACGATCGGTTCGTATATCTGTCTGTGCCACAATGGCTACTCCCTGCACGAGAACGGGCATGACTGCAAGGAGGGTGAGTGCAAGTACGAGATCTCTGCTGCCTTTGGCACCATCTATAGTCCCAACTATCCGGATTCCTATCCGCCAAATGCGGACTGTGTGTGGCATTTTATCACCACGCCGGGACACCGCATCAAGTTGATATTCAACGAGTTTAATGTGGAGTCGCATCAGGTGAGGAATTTGAGTAGGAAACCTAAAGAAACCTTTTGCATAATTTATAATAATTGTATTCCAGGAATGCACCTATGACAATGTGGCTATATATGATGGCGAATCCGATTCCAGCTCCGTGCTTGGACGCTTCTGTGGTGACAAGATTCCCTTCCCCATATCCTCGACCACCAACCAGATGTACATGGTTCTCAAGACGGATAAAAACAAGCAGCTCAACGGATTTATGGCCATGCACTCGACCTGTAAGTAGGGGGGATGCCAGGTAATCCGATATGGAAGACACTGATTTGGTATCCTTGCAGCTTGTGGTGGTTTCTTGCGCGCCACCAGTAATGTGCAGCAGTTTTACTCTCATGCCCGCTTCGGTAACCAGGACTACGATGACAGCATGGATTGCGAGTGGACCATTGAGGCGCCACAGAATAGCAATGTGCAGCTTATATTCCTCACCTTTGACATCGAGAGCAGCGAGAATTGCACCTATGATTATGTGCAGGTCTTCTCGAATATGGAGGACACCAGTGGACCCATGTACGGGCAGTACTGTGGCAATGTGGTAGGTGTCTCCCCCAATTAGTTTGTAATTTAAACTCCAGGAAGGTCCTAATTATTAATACTATCTTCACAGCTGCCCCAGGACATCATCTCAATGACCAACTCCCTTCTAGTTCGCTTCAAGACGGATGGCTCTGTGCCGATGAAGGGTTTCTCCGCCTCCTATGTGGCCGTGGATCCCTTCGAGAACAGCGACGAGGAGGATGTGGAAAACTCCTACAGCTCCGAGGTGATTACCCCGTTCCCAGGTTCGCTCAAGAGCATGTACATCGAGGATACCGAGGAGGCGTACGAGTATGCCGATTTCAGTGGGAATCAGTTGGTCCTGAATGGACAATATCGGGGAAGATATAGTCTGCCGAATCGATACTACGCTGGCAATGCATAGATCGGCAGAGTTGGCTGAGACGCCGAGAACGCGCGTAAAATTCATGACAATATATTAAAAACGGAATTTATTTAACAGATTTAGGCATATCGTCGCGTACATAAAAGCAGATTTTCTCTCGCTCTTCCATGCACTCGAGGACATAATCAAGGACCTCGATCCAATATTAGTTTTAGGCATTCGAAGTCTAGAATTCATATGCGGTGGCAATTACTTAGACCTATTGAATACATGTAATGTACTTTCGATTAGACTAGACTCTCCTCTAGACTCTGTAGCTAAATGTGCAATTTCCTTCTGCATTTCTGTAGCATTTCTTTCCCTCCCCTCGTTTTCCAATCTACATACATATATATTTCTTGTGCCATATTCGATGGACCAGCGCATTTCGTATATTTCCGTTAAGCATTTTAGCATAAGTCGATGGGCGACAGCAAACCCATATCAAAATCGAAACGGAAGCTAGGCTAGAGATACACAGAGATTACATATCCACACAGCTGGGAGTCCTTGCTCATGGGAATCCCTACACACACGCACACACATTATATGTACAACTCTCGGATATTTGACTCAACTTAATACGTAATTAAATCTATAAATATATACTATTAAAACTTGCATAGTAACTATGTTTTAAAACTGAAGTGCGAAGGCGAAAAGCGTTATTTCTGGGACTCCTGGGTTTTATGGCTCTGTTTCCACCTTGCCTGCTGGATGGCGAAGCGCCAGCGTGGCTCTTGAATAGCCTTAAGAGGCGGAATTACCACGAAATCTTTCGTTCATGCCGGGGGATTTATGATCGTTAATGACCTGCCCTAAAAGGTTCGTGAGCCCAACACCTGATCCTGGGCTGCCTGGCCGACGGCGAGTACGATGGCCACAGGTAGGCACATGCAGGCAGATGGAAACCTCAGTCGAAAAGGAGACAATGTCAAGGTGCAGGGATACCCAAATCAAAACCCATTGAATGCTAACAACAGGCAGACAATGGACACGGATCGCCGCCAACGAGGACCGTCTCCTTCCCTTTTTCCCGCGAGCGGACATGCCAGGGACAAGCGGACAGATTCGAGATTCTGTAGTTGCGATCGCGAGTTGCTGCCTGCAGCCGCTCCTCCTCGCTTCCTCTGCCCCGGGCCGGTGAGCCTCTTACCTGCCTCATCATCCGTGGAGCGCGCGCGCAAACCCTTGTCTCGCCTCGCCTCATCGGTATAATTCGGCAATCGCTGGCCTCTGGCTCTCAGTTAGAACTTTGAACTGGTCGAGGCAACTTCGAGGAACGAGCCCCCAGAAAGGAAAACGAAAAGAAGAATACCTGCGAGATCGAAAGAATGTGTCTGTGCCGCCTCTCCATGGAAACGAAAGCGAAATTTGTTGTGCTCACTGTGGCAGCAGCACTGGTGGCAATTTCCCACATGGATATGGTCCAAGGCAGGCGACTGAGTCAGCTGTCGGACAAGGAGGGTGATGGTGAATGTGACTTTGACTTCAAGGAACAGCCAGAGGATTTCTATAGCATGCTGGATGCCACACAGGTGAGTGGAGGAGGCATCGTCACGTGGCCAAGAGAGCAGGAGATTTTAAACATAAAACCCAAACAGGTGCCGCAAAAGGAGATGGATGTTGTCAACCATCAGACGAAGCCAAAGCTTACCGAGCGAAGCCGAGTGAGACAATCTCTGGGGTAAGTCATCTCGCTCCCAAAAGGGATTAGCTATTCCCGCACAATAGCGCCCAATTAGTGGAGGCGTCCACTAGACTCCAGTCATACCAAAGCTCATAAGCCTTTTTAGTCCATCCTCCAGGAGACGCCGGAAACAACGGCTTCACAAGTCGCGTAGCAAAGGAAAGCTGAGATTACCTCCACCACTGCTGTGGACAGATGCCGCCGTGGATGTGCTACAGCCCAGTCCCTCCCACTGGCCAGAGTTGGTACCAGAAAGGGAACCCATTCGAAAACGACGAGGTGTGACCGTGAGAAAAGATCGAACCTGGGACTATGGTGTCATTCCTTATGAGATCGATAGCATCTTTAGTGGTGCCCACAAGGCGCTCTTCAAGCAGGCCATGCGCCACTGGGAGAACTTCACCTGCATCAAGTTTGTGGAGCGGGATGCCAAGCTGCATGCCAACTATATATACTTTACGGTCAAGAATTGCGGGTGAGTTTAAGACAACTGCTTCCCATAATTATTTATTTAATAGTTTAAATCCCTTTCCCCTTAGTTGCTGCTCCTTTCTGGGCAAACATGGCAATGGTCGTCAGCCCATTTCCATAGGACGTAATTGCGAAAAGTTTGGCATTATTATTCACGAACTGGGCCACACCATTGGCTTCCATCATGAGCATGCCCGTGGAGATAGGGACAAACACATCATCATTAACAAGGCCAATATAATGAGAGGCCAGGAGTACAACTTCGATGTCCTGTCGCCCGAGGAGGTGGATCTGCCCCTGCTACCTTACGACTACAACTCCATCATGCATTATGCCAAGAACTCGTTCTCCAAGAGCTCCTACCTGGACACCATCACGCCCATTGGAATACCACAAGGCACCCATGTCGAGTTGGGACAACGAAGGCGTCTCAGTGAGGGCGACATTGTCCAGGCCAACTTGCTGTACAAGTGTGCCGCTTGCGGGCGAACTTATCAGCAGAACTCTGGCTTAATAGTGGGTCCTCACTTCCTGTATTCCGGCAATGGAGTGCTCAGTGAGTTCGAGGGAAGTGGTGATGCCGGCGAGGCAGGAGAGGATTCCGAATTTGATGCCTCGCTGACCAACTGCGAGTGGCGGATCACGGCCACAAACGGTGAGAAGGTCATCCTGCATCTGCAGCAGCTGCAGCTGATGAACTCCGAGGATTGCTCGCAGGATTACCTGGAGATCAGGGATGGGTATTGGCATCGCTCGCCGCTGGTGCGACGCCTCTGCGGCAATGTCAGTGGTGAGGTCATTCAGACCCAGACAAGCCGCATGCTCCTCAACTATGTAAACCGGAATGCAGCCAAAGGTTATCGAGGGTTCAAGGCGAGATTTGAGGGTGAGTTTGGTCTCTAGGAAAGCTTGCAGAGCTGGGTCTTATCCTCCCTTTTATTTCCCAGTTGTCTGCGGCGGCGATATTCTGCTAACCAGAGATCAGTCCATAGACTCACCCAACTATCCCATGGACTACATGCCTGACAAGGAGTGCGTGTGGCGCATCACTGCTCCGGAACACCATCAGGTGGCCCTGAAATTCCAAAGCTTCGAACTGGAGAAACGAGATGGCTGTGCCTACGATTTTGTAGAGATTCGAGATGGCAACAGCAGCGAGTCCAGGCTGATAGGACGCTTCTGTGGAGACAAGCTGCCGCCCAATATAAAGTGAGTCAATGATAGTCCAAAGAAGAAACTTTGCTAAGCTTTTCTCGTGCTCCTAAAACAGAACCCGCAGCCATCAGATGTACATCCGCTTCGTGTCCGATGGATCTGTGCAGAAGCTTGGGTTCTCCGCCGCTCTTATGCTTGATGTGGACGAGTGCCGCTTCATGGATCATGGCTGCCAGCACGTTTGCATCAATACTTTGGGTAGCTACCAGTGCGGCTGCCATGCCGGCTACGAACTCCAAGCCAATGGCAGGACCTGCGAGGATGCTTGCGGCGGTGTCGTTGATGCCACCAAGTCAAATGGTTCTCTGTACTCACCCTCGTATCCGGATATGTATCCCAATGCCAAGCAGTGTGTGTGGGAGGTGGTGGCTCCGCCAAATCACGCCGTCTTCCTGAACTTCACCCACTTTGACCTGGAGGGCACAAGGTTTCAGTACACCAAATGCAACTATGATTACCTCATCATCTACTCAAAGCTGAGAGACAATCGGCTGAAGAAGATTGGAATCTTTTGCGGTAACGATCTGCCGCCGGTGGTTAACTCGGAGCAGAGTGTCCTAAGGCTGGAGTTCCATTCGGATCGGACAGTGCAGAGGAGTGGCTTTGTGGCCCAGTTTGTGATAGGTAAGGGGAAAAACTGTGAAAGCTATACAATTCCCCATATAATCTTCTGGTTTCTCCTTTAGATGCGGACGAGTGCTCGGTCAATAATGGTGGGTGCCAGCATAGATGTCGGAATACCTTCGGATCGTATCAGTGCAGCTGCCGTAACGGATATACGCTGGCCGATAATGGCCACAACTGCACGGAGACACGATGCAAGTTCGAGATCACAACCTCGTATGGAGTGTTGCAGAGCCCCAACTACCCTGAGGACTATCCGCGCAACATCTACTGCTACTGGCACTTCCAGACCGTCCTCGGTCACCGCATCCAGCTGACGTTTCACGACTTTGCCGTGGAGAACCACCAGGAGTGCATCTACGACTACGTGGCCATCTACGATGGTCGCTCGGAGAACAGCTCCACGCTGGGCATATACTGTGGCGGTCGGGAGCCGTATGATGTGATTGCCTCCACCAATGAGATGTTCATGGTCTTGGCCTCGGATGCAGGACTGCAGCGGCGCGGCTTCAAGGCCACCTTTGTCTCCGAGTGCGGGGGCTATCTGCGGGCCACGAATCACTCACAGACTTTCTATTCACATCCGCGCTACGGCAGCAGGCCATACAAGCGGAACATGTATTGTGACTGGCGCATCCAGGCGGACCCTGAGAGCAGTGTTAAGATCCGCTTCCTGCACTTTGACATCGAGTACTCGGAGTCCTGCGACTTTGACTACCTGGAGGTCACTGAAGAGGGCTACTCTATGAATACCATTCACGGCCGCTTCTGTGGCAAGCGGAAGCCCCCCATTATAATCTCCAACTCGGACACGCTGCTGATACGCTTCCACACCGACGAAAGCAACTCGTTACGAGGCTTTGCCATTGCCTTCATGGCCGTCGATCCACCGGAGGACTCTGCGGGCGAAGACTTCGACGCTGTTACGCCGTTTCCGGGCTACCTCAAGAGCATGTACTCCTCGGAGACGGCCAGCGACAGCCTGTCCCGTGCTCACCTGCTGCCGCCGAGCAGACTGATGTGAGTGCATAGTGGTTGGATTATTCTGCTTTCTGTTTGTTGTTGAAATTTGTAAATAAATTGTGAATAAAATCTCCCTTTTAAATAACTTTTTCAGCTTTTGAATTTAAATCGAGCGCCAATTCAATTGGCGGTTATTTTATGAAACTTATTATAGTTTACGGTCATATTGCACAGGCGGTATATTTTAGTATTTTTTTGCAAGCGCTGTGGCAGCACTGACCTGGGATTTACATGAAGTTTTTCGATCTGGCAGCCTTATCCTGGCCGGCTTAACTTTCAAATTTGTGTATTTTATTGCTGAATTTGTGTCGCTCTGAGTAGAAAACTTTGTTTATACAGCGTAGGTAGCGTGCTAAGCCTTTGTATCTTCGGTTTTAACATTCAATTAAAGGCCGTAAAAGGTGGAAAAACGCAATAAACCCAGAATAAAGTCTGATCTAGTGTGACCATTGGCAGGGGACCTTTGTCCACTTTCTTAGGCGTTTCCGGGTTCTAGGCAGAAAAGGCTGCGAGCACACTAGATACCAGCCTTAGCGCCAATGCTCAAAACATCAGCGTCGTTTTCAGTTTGAAACTGTTTTTCTTGTAGCGTCACTATAATTTAGTCTGTGTTACTCGTTAATTGTGCTAAGTGTTTAGTTAGTCGTTGTGTTAATGGCACGCGGGAGTTGCTAAGTTCATAGCCGTGCTAATTAAGTGTCAGTTTGTTATCTATTTTTGTGCCAGCAGCCGAGATGAGCGCATTCGAGGTTAGAGCGTCCTCCGTGGACTCCATAATGGTTCCCTAACATCTTGGATACTTTCAGATCACAGTGACGCCGTCGCGTCAGAAGCAGAAGAAGCGCATCGAGGGACGCGAGCCCGCCGTGGTGGTCATGGCTCCGTTCTCGGCCAAGGCAATTGTGCAGTTCGAGGACGTGCCCGTAACCAAGACGGCCCGGCGCCAGGTGCGCGTCATCAACCCCAGCGACGACGACATTGAGGTTAGTGTGTCGCGATAAGGATCAGCGGCTCCGCTGCCTGGCAACTGGTATTTGATCAATGATTTCCCATGCAGGTCAAGGTGACGAATGCCATTCCCGAGGAGCACAACCTGAGCCTCGAATGGCGGGCGCACACTGTGCCTGCGCGCGACGAGGTGGTCATGGAGCTGGTCTGGAGTCCCCAGCTGGAGGTGGCCTGCAAGGAGACGTTGCATCTGATAGACAACCGCAATTTTCGCAAGGAGGTGATGATCATACTCAAGAGCAGGAGCAACCAGCCGGTCAAGGTGAGTCTCTGGCTCTGCATTTCTCACCCCCCTAAATTCACCCTGATTTTTTTGTTGTCTACCTGAAGAACACGCGCAAATTTCCTACCGTGGGCAAAACCCTGCAGCTGAAGTCGCCGACGAGCGGCGCTAAGAAGAGCATTGTCTCAGCGGTGGTACAGCAAAAGAAGCGCCTGTCCACGGCGGCAACGGCGACGACAGCGCCTTCGTTGAAGCCGACATGGCGACCATCTGTTGCTTCTCGTCCTGCTGCCCGCCCGCCGACCCGTGCTCCTGCTCCCGCACCAGCTCCGCTCACAGAGAAGAATGTGTACAAGCAGGAGCCAGTCTATATATCGCCACAGCCGCGCAGCCTCAAGGAGAACCTGAGTCCCATGACGCCAGGAAATCTTCTAGATGTGATCGATAATCTGCGCTTCACACCGCTCACCGAGACCAGGGGCAAGGATCCGGCTAGCATAATGCCGGACAACCTTGCTGCATGGCCCACTCCCGATCTTAGGGGAGGTAAGAGCAAGCCAATTGTAAACGACATGCGACCGCGACGCATTACGCCCGACGATCTGGAGGATCAGACACCCACAAACAAGACCTTTGATATTCGGCATTCGGAGACCATAAATCTTTCCGTAGACACTTTGGACTGCTCCCGTTCCGAGATGGTTCTGCAGACTACCACGACCATTCACCATGCCACACACACCAGGGCTTTGGAATGCATTCGTGAGGAGGAGGGCTCCAGTCCGCCGAGGATGCAGACCAAGGGCAGGGCACCCGATCTGAAGAGAGATATCCAACTTGTAGGCTCCCCGCTGCGAAAGTATTCAGAGTCTATGAAGGATCTGTCACTGGGATCGACCCAGGCCAAGTTTGCCATTCAGGGCTCTATGCCGAATCTCAACGAGATGAAGATCCGTTCGATTGAACAGAACCGCTACTACCAGGACCAGCAAGTTCAGTTGGAAACGCAGAAGGGCCTGATTAGCTCATCCAGCAGCGAGACGAGTCTGGTGGGCCAGCAGGATGTGCTTTTCAACCAAAACGAAATCCTCGCCCAGTCAAGTCGCTTCAATCTGCATGAACTGGGCCGTAAGTCACGCAGGGGAAGTCCGGTGAAGCAGTCAAATCCCCACAAGCGCCGCTCGCACGAACTAAGTTTCTCCGATTCGCCCAGCAATGAATCACTGCATCGCCAGGACACAATGCCTCTCTCCCCGCCCAAGAAGCAGCGCGTGGAGGACACCAGCCTGCTAAAGGGTGCAGCGCCAGCCAATGCCTCTGCCCGAAGCTCTGGAGCTCACGCCTGGACTCACACGCAGCCCAAAAAGTTCAAGCTGGCCACCACGTTGGCCCTGATGAAGAAAACAACCACGCCGCGGAAGGTGAGAGACACTAGCGGAGTCCAGGCTTCTGTCAAGCTGTACGATTCTGAACTATACATGCAGACGTACATAAACCCGGATCCGTTTGCGGCCACCACCACAGCGGATCCCTTCCTGGCATCCACAATGTATCTGGATGAGCAGGCGGTGGAGCGTCACCAGGCGGACTTCAAGAAGTGGCTCAATGCCCTGGTATCTATACCCGCCGATTTGGATGCGGATTCCGACAGCAAGATAGACGTGGGCAGGCTCTTTAACGAGGTACGAAACAAGGAGCTGGTTGTGGCGCCCACCAAGGAGGAGCAGTCTATGAACTATCTCACCAAATACCGCCTGGAGACATTGCGCCGGGCAGCCGTAGAGCTGTTCTTCAGCGAGCAGATGCGCCTGCCCTGCTCCAAGGTGGCCGTGTATGTGAACAAGCAGGCGCTGCGCATCCGCAGCGACCGGAACCTGCACCTGGACGTGGTCATGCAGCGTACCATCCTGGAGTTGCTGCTCTGCTTTAATCCGCTTTGGCTGCGCCTTGGACTGGAAGTGGTCTTCGGAGAGAAGATCCAAATGCAGTCCAACAGGGACATTGTGGGCCTCAGCACCTTTATCCTTAATCGCTTGTTCCGGAACAAGTTCGAGGAGCAGAGGTACAGCAAGGCCTACACCCTCACCGAGGAGTACGCGGAGACCATCAAGAAGCACACCCTGCAGAAGATCCTGTTCCTGCTACTATTCCTTGACCAGGCCAAACAGAAGCGCATTGTCAAGCACAATCCCTGCTTGTTCGTAAAGAAGTCGCCGCACAAGGAGACCAGGGACATCCTCCTGCGCTTCTCCTCGGAGCTGCTGGCCAACATTGGCGACATCACCCGGGAGCTGCGACGCCTGGGATATGTGCTCCAACACCGTCAAACCTTCCTAGACGAGTTCGATTACGCCTTCAACAACCTGGCCGTGGACCTGAGGGATGGAGTAAGGCTGACCCGTGTTATGGAGGTTATTCTCCTGCGCGACGATCTCACCCGTCAGTTGAGAGTGCCCGCCATTTCACGTCTCCAGCGCATCTTCAACGTCAAGCTGGCTCTGGGTGCCCTGAGTGAGGCCAACTTCCAACTGGGCGGTGACATCAACGCCCCGGACATCGTAGACGGACATCGCGAGAAGACCCTCTCCCTGCTCTGGCAGATCATCTACAAGTTCCGTTCGCCCAAGTTCCATGCTGCCGCCGCGGTGCTCCAAAAGTGGTGGCGGCAACGCTGGCTGAGTGTGATTATCCAGAGGCGCATACGCCACAAGGAACTGATGAGACGTCACCGAGCGGCTACAAAAATCCAGGCAGTCTTCAGAGGTCACCAGATGCGTAAATATGCCAAGTTATTCAAGGCGGAGCGAATCCAGGCAGCCATCGTCCTACAGAAGTTCACACGTCGCTTCCTGGCCCAGAAGCAACTCTATCACACCTACCACAGCATTGTCACCATCCAGCGCTGGTGGCGGGCCCAACAGCTTGGTAGGCAGTGCCGTCAGAAATACTTGGAACTCCGGCAAGCGGTCATCTTCCTGCAGCGCATCTGGCGGCGTCGTCTCTTCGCCGAGAAGCTACTGGCAGCGGCGGCCACAGCACGTCTCCAACGATCCCAAAAGCAACAGGCAGCTGCCAGTTATATCCAGATGCAGTGGCGCAGCTATCGTCTAGGTAAGCTTCAACGGCAGGAGTACCTGCGTCAGAGACAGCTCATTGTCTTGGTTCAGCAGAGGATACGGGCCAAGTGGTGCATGCAGAAGCAGCGAACGGAGTTCCTGCGACTCCGAAAGTCAGTTCTCAACATTCAGCACCGCCGGCGAGCTCAGCTTTTAATGCGGAAGCAAAGGGCTGACTACCTTTCACTCCGCTCCAGTGTTCTTAAGATCCAGGCTCATAGGAGGGCCACGATCAAGATGAGAATTGATTGGCGTAACTACCAGGCCACAAGGAAGAGTGTTCTTTGGGTGCAACAGCATCTGAGGGCCACCTGGAAAATGCGTGAGGAAAGAGCAAAGTATACAAAGCTTCGTCAGGCCACAGTTCTCATTCAGAGAAGGTATCGTGTGCACCAAGATATGATCAAGGATCGCAATGCCTACCTCAAGGTGCGTCAGTGCATCATCAATGTCCAGCGCCGCTGGCGAGCCACTTTGCAGATGCGACGCCAGAAGGAAATCTACAAAAAGCTGCAATTCTCTGCCAGATGCGTACAGACCCAGTACCGGGCCAAGCGCCAAATGCAGAAGCAACGCTGTGAGTATCTGCAACTGAGGAGGGCAGCTTTGGTGATCCAACAATGGCGAAGAGCTATGCTCCAGATGCGAAAACAGCGTCACCAATACCTGCGATTACGCGAGGTAACCATCAATGTGCAGCGACGATTCCATGCCCATAAGGCCATGAGATTTCTGCGGGCCAAGTATCGAGGCACTCAGGCCGCCGTAAGCTGTATCCAGATGCACTGGCGTGGTCATCTCCTGAGGAAGCATCAACGAAGTAGTTTCCTGGAGCTTCGCCAGGCAGCCATCACACTGCAGCGAAGATACCGAGCTCGCCTGGCCATGAAGAAGCAGATGAAGAGCTACGTTCAGCTCAAGAAGGCAGCTATTAATATTCAAACTCGCTATCGAGCCAAGCTGGAGATGCAAAAGCAGCAGTCCCTGTATCAACACCAAAGGAATGCCATCATCAAGATCCAACAGAGATATCGAGGCAAGCTGGAAATGAAGAAGCAGATGAGACAATATCAGAGGCAGCGTCAGGCTGTCATTAGCCTCCAACGTTGGTGGCGCGGGCTGCGCGAAATGTGGATACTAAGAAATGGCTACCGGCGAGCGCGTACCAGTTCCATAAGTATCCAGCGCAAGTGGCGGGCCACAGTGCAGGCCCGTCTTCAGAGAAAGATATTCCTGGACACCATCCGCAAGGTTCGACTTCTGCAGCAGTTCATCCGAGCCACTCTGCTGATGCGACAACAGCGCAAGGACTTCGAGATGACGCGAAATGCAGCTGTGGTCCTCCAGCGTCGATTCCGTGCCCGTCAAGCCATGCTGAAAGCTCGACAAGACTATCAGCTGGTAAAATCATCTGCTATTCTCGTGCAGCGTAGGTTCCGTGCCAATTGCAGCATGAAGCGCGCAAGCCAAGAGTTTATCCACCTGCGCCATGTGACCATCCATCTGCAGCAAAAGTTCCGCGGCAAGCAGATGATGCTGGAGCAACGAGAGCATTTCCTTCTACTGCGAAAGTCGATTCCGGACTTCCAGGCCCACGTCCGGGGCTACATGGCCCGCAAACGTTTTCAGGCGCTGATGACGCCCGAGATGAAGGAACTGATTCGCCAAAAGCGAGCCGCCAAGGTAATACAGCGCTATTGGCGTGGCTATATTATACGAAGGCGCCAGCGGCATCAGGGACTTTTGGCCATTAGAAAACGTCTTGCCCAGTTGCGGCAGGAGGCCAAGACGACGAACTCGGTGCGCTGCAAGCTCCAGGAGGCGGTGCGATTCCTTAGGGGACGCTTCATAGCCTCGGATGCCTTGGCTGTGCTCAAACGGCTGGGTGAGTACCCCTCTCAAATCCAGATCCTGCTCCTGGCATTAGCTGGCTTTACTTAATCTCATAATCTCTTTTTTGTTTAATCCCCTCAGATGAACTCTCGCGCACAGTACCGCATCTGCTGATGGGTTGCTCCGAGTTTATGTCCACTTTCTGCTATGGAATCATGGCCCAGGCCATCCGCTCAGAGGTGGATAAGCAGTTGATCGAGCGCTGCAGCCGCATTATCCTCAATCTGGCCCGCTATAACACTGCGAACACGTTCCAGGAAGGCGGTCTGGTCACTATCGCACAGATGCTGTTGCGGTGGTGCGACAAGGACAGTGAAATCTTCAACACGCTGTGCACACTTATCTGGGTCTTTGCCCACTGTCCCAAGAAGCGAAGGGTAAACTAAGAGACCTTTAACCTTAAATTTCAATTAAATCATTCATAATCCCTCACAGATCATCCACGACTTTATGACCACCACAGAGGCCATTTACATGGTTCGCGAGACAAAGAAGCTGGTGGTCCGTAAGGAGAAGATGAAGCAGAATGCCCGGAAGCCCGCAATCGTTCCGATGGGACGCTATGAGACAAACAAAGCACCGGTCTTCACAAAGAGCGCCTTGCCCAGCCTGGAGCCGGACTTTGGCATCATTCGGTTCAGTCCCTACACCTTCGTCTCGTCTGTCTTCGCCTTCGACACCATACTGTGTAAGCTGCAAGTAGACATGTTTTAGTTCTTAATATTGCTCGTTTGAAACGTTTCCATGTTGTGGTTTGTCCCTTTATTATAAGCAAAATTGTTACCCTCCGATTTAGTTTTAAGGAAACAACTGAACGCATATTAGTCAAGTTAGGAGGACCATCACCATGTAGGATATACATATATATAAGCTGATTTTGTAACTGCTAGCCAAACTATGTTTATTGTTTTTTATGAAAAGATCACGAAATAAATACAACTAAGAATCGAGAAACACTGGATTGTTTGCTTGCACAGTTTGGCTGCGCCAATGTTTATTCGGGTAAGGTATATGCATCATGTATTCACAAAACAATTACATAGTCGTAATTACATATAGTTAAATTATTAATCACTTTGTTTAAACATCAATATTAGCATGCAGTAGTTTACCCAATATTCATGCTCCTCCGCAACGAATGCCACTCGTGTCCGGTCCGTTGCTCCTTCTTCCGAGAGAGAGTGCCCCAAGTATACAGTATATATATATGTATATATATATGTAGGTATATATGTATATCCGTGTGTGTATATTAATTAATGCCCCTTTAAAATGTACATACATACATATAGGTAAATTGGATTGAATATGCATAAGTAATATATTCGCGATGTTCGCATAACATTATATGTATTTCTTCCACGTTCTGTCTTTTATTTCTTCTCGATTTTGTTCTCTCTTCTCTTTTTTGTTGATTTTTTTGCAATTTTATATTGCGATTTAAACTAAAACGTTGCAGCTTTGAGTTAAAAACTAAAAATAAATACATTTGCATCTAGCGATTTATTAATATTATAAACATTTCGGGGGGAGAAAGTGCGTGCAAAGAATTCAGTGGGCTCCAATGACATCTAGATTTGGCTTCTGAATGTTATTTAATTTTCAGGAAAGTTTAGCAAGGATCTGAGAGAGCTTTGCCGCAAGTACTTTTTCGATAATTGTTAGGTAGTTAAGGTAGATTGATTGGGTAACCTCCCAGCCGAGTGGCGCACGGCTGGATTTTGAAAAGTGCGCCAACCCGGGGAAGGCCCACTCCCTTGTTGGAAGACGACTTAACGTCGTCCCAGACCGAAGTTGAAGGGTTGCGGACGCGTCGTTCGCTTGTTCTGCCGGCCAGGTCGCACTGCAATCCAGGATATTAAGATACCTCTGTAAATTTCTGGTAAGATAGACAACTTACCCCTACTCTCGGCTCCCAAGTAGTTCGCTGGCAGCACCCTGTAGTCGATCTCATTATCCTGCTCGTAGTCGTAGTCGCTGCGCTTGCCCAGGCCAAAGGAGTAGGGACGGGACCGTTTGCCCAGCCCAAAGTTGTAGACCGGAAGCCGTTTCATGCCAGGTCCGCCATTCGTGTACATATAGGCCCGACGACCGAGACCAAAGGCATATCGCTCCACACGCTTGTCTATGTTGTCGCCGCCATTATCGGCCATCTCATCGGCGGCCAGAAGGACATCGGCATCGTTGTCGCTGGCAATCGGACTACGCTGATCCTGGCCAATGACCGGGGAGCAGGCAATATAGCCGACACAGCACACGGCCAGCAGCAGGAGGTGGGCGTGAAGGGAGTTCATTGTGAATGCTGGGCAAGGACTGGTGATGCTGTTGCTCCTGCTCCTGCTGCCGCAATTGCTGCAAAAAGTAAGCGGAGACAAAGTGAGAGCAGGTGACGGCTAGAATTTTAAGCACTTGGCCTCCAATTCGCCGTGTGTGTGAAAAGCGTTGCATACTTTGCGGCAGACGGATGTCGCCCACTCGCCATGTTTGCATAGGTTTTGTGGTGTTAGGGTGGCACATCATTTGTTTAAAACAAGCATTTCTTGAGTCAAGTTATAATGTATTTCGCTTAAATAATTTTTCTTAAAATAATTATAGGATTGAATCGGAAATGAATCATAAACTAAGCTTTAAATATTCGTCTATGAATTAATATATATCGCTGTATGACAATTTTTTCGAAAAATCAAAGTTTAAAAATATCATAACTAAGCCAAAAATGCATTAATTTTAATTCGGAAAGCTTTCTTATCTTAGTTTTTGTTATGTTAATAAACCTGCATACTCAATTTAAAATTTTAGGATATCAAAATTTTTGCCAATTTTTGCAAATTTTAATGATGTAACCCCTTATAAAATTTTAAATTTTCAGAAAAATTAAAAAAAATGATTTTTTGACCGGACATGGCTAGATCGATTTGTCTGTTGATGCTGATCAATAATATATATGATTTATAGAGTCGGAAATGACTCCTTCACTGTTTTATAATGTTCTGAATGAAATTAAAATACCCTGCAAGGGTATAGTTATAAATAGAAACAGAGGATTTAATCGATTTCATAGTTGGATGAAAATTATTCAGCTGTCTTAAAATTCATAGGTTATATATTAAAATTGCCTTTTTAAGCCTAAATATCCAGCTACCCTAATGTCACCCGTATACATTGATGCGCCTTCGTTTACGAATATTTATGCAAAATAAAAGAAACAAACAATCGACCAGGAATTTGGCCCAAACAGAAAATATGTCAACGGCAACAAATGTCGACGCGTTGACAGTTCGGAGGCAAACAGGCGGCTGGCAGAATAAACAAAAACGAACGAATAAAAATTGCCACCAGAACGCCGAAAAATGTGACCACAAAGTTTGGCTGTGGCAGCCATGCGGAAGGTCTTTGGCCAACTGGAATTGCAGCAGACACTCTGGGATCTGGGCTCCGGTCTGGCTCTGGTTCGGGCTCTTTTCTGCTGGCCTTGCAAGTGCCAGTGCGGCTCGTAAAAGTTAAATGTTAACCCCGAAATGAAGTTCACCCCTCTTAGTGCTGAGTGGCTTAATGCCACAATTAGCATGGTGACAATTACCCCGAACTTAAAGCCCAGTACTCTACTCCAGACGCTCGTGGTCCTGCTAGTACGTGGATTCCATTAGCGGAATGGCTGTGTCAGTGGCAGCCATCAACGCTTTTGTGGTGCCTGTCATGGCCATCAGTTGAGAGTGCAGGCAGTGCTAGAGATGTCACAGATGTTGACGAGTATGTTTGCATTGTCGTGGTTGCACTTCCGCCGGAATTGATAGCAAGACTTAAGGAGGCAGAGCACGAAGACAGACTCCTTCAGACGCCAAAATCGCTTATTGTTTTCTTAGGCAAATTAAGTTTTCTAACAATTTTCAATTAAACCAATGGACTTTGACTTGATGCCGACCCGGCTTAGTTATCAACGGTGGCTCGCTGTCACCCATAATGATGTGCAAACAAGGCAAATCAATTAAGCCGAGGCTTTCCCTCTTCCTACTCTCTCTTTCTCTCTGTCTCTATTTTACTTTTCCTAAATATTGCGCATACGCACCGTTGCTGTCATAAATTCGCTGGATGCATGTGCAATAGAGCCACAAATCATGCAACAGGTTCAGCGGCATCTACCACAAAGCCAAAGCGAAGGCCAGAGGCACCGTAGCCCCAACCTCTGCGGGGTTTTTTGATTTACAATGGCAGCTACATGGCAGGCAGCTGTGCAGTTTCCACGCAGGACAATAAAAGCAATGACTCCACGGCCAAAAGGCAATGGCTGCTACGCGGCCCAGGCCGAGATAATAGGCGGAAAATCGTCACATTTGTTAGACTTTATCAACCGCAGCACGGGCGACGAGCAAAACGAGCAGCTCCGCAGCTCTACAGCTCTGGACAACCAATCGTAAATCTGACGCGGGGCAAAAACAACTTTTGTGAAAAGTGTCAACACCTTTCGCTATTATTTCCATTTGTGCAATAAAATCTTGTTTGTCGCACGCTCGTCGCTGCCCTTGGCCCGTAAATGAGATTCAGGCATTATCTGTTTATGAATTTACGTTGGCGTTCCCATAACTCTTTTTGCTCCTTGGCTGCCGGGCTCTGGCTTTTCTCATATCCGCAGCGGCGATTAGTTTTGACCGCCACACAAAATGCAACGGAAATTCAAAGGAGCGGCCAGGAGGCCAAGGCGCTCCTGGAAGCCGCCGTCTAATTAAGTTTGAGAACTTTTCCCAGGCTGGCCGAGATGAGAGAGAAGCGAAGCGAGCACAATGGCCAAAAGGATATAAGCAAATTTTGCTGCTTAGCGCCAAAGCAATTTCAGCTGATGTGGCAAATTACGACAGACACATCCCAATCCCAATCCTGATCCCTCTTTAGATGAAGCTTCACCTTTAGCTGGAAAATGGGCGAAAAATTAGCTTTGTGCAATTGAAACACGCGGCCAATTTGTTCGCAGATGCTTCTCTTTTTTTAAATTGAAAGTAGCGCCGGTGGGTAAACCACCTTTTACCTTTACCTTGCCACTAAGCAGCTTAATTAAGTTACGTTCGAGGTAATGAAGTGGCTAACTTCTTTGCACCAATTTATGGCGGTTAGGCGAGCGAGCAGCCAATAAAAAGCTGGCACCTCATGGCTCCCTTTTATCCTGTTGTTCTTTTCATTTTCTCTTCCTTTTTTTAAGATGCTGGAAATGCGGCTGACCCTTGGTCTCTTTGTTATCCTGCCCGCTTCCTTGTTTTTCTTTAATTTGACATGTGTATCAATTCTGCAAGTAAACATTGCCGCCTTGGCCCTGGGGCAACGAGGCATCTCCTTAGAGTCCCGAGTGCCTCGTTCCTCTTTCCAAAACTTGCCCCATACATCAATCAAGCATTGTCCTCTGATTTGTTTATTTAATATTTTCGCCTTGGCTTTTGGGTTTTCTATCCCGACCCAGTGTATGTGATCCTATTTCTTCTGTTTCTGTTGTCTTTTTTGTTATTTATTTAATTACAATTTGATTGAGGCTTGTCTTTTGTCTTGTGGGAGCCTCTCATCGATTTCCAGCGACTTGGATGCTGACTCTGTTGCCATATGTCAATTGCTGCCCTTTGGCATTCTATTGTATCTAATCAAATTTGGGTTTGCCTTCACGCTAAGCGATTGAAAATGAATTGAATTCGAGGCTTTTCCTTAGATCTAACACCAGTACAAATTGCAATTCATTTTTCCTAGCATACTTTTTGGGGCCAATGTGTGGGAATGAGTTGGCGGGGGTCTGTTTTATTTTGTTAGGGATTTTGTTGAGGGGTAAGGAATATGAAGGGGGATTGAAAATTATTCGCTATGTAAATCATGTATAAATATAGTATTTTGTAAAGAAAATGCTTGTTAATCCAAGCTTCACACAAGGCTAGTCAGCCCGTTAAAGGAATGCAAGGATGTTACAAACTATTAAAACTATAAATACCTTCCTAAAATTCTCTTAAATTAAATCTACTTTAAGTTTCAGTTTAAAGTAACCTTACGAGACCACCAATAAAAATTAAAATCGATATTTGTATATGCTTATTTTTTTACCAAATCAAAGTTATCAAATATCATAGCTAAGCCAAAAATGCATTAATTTCAATTCAGAAAGCTTTCTTATGCTAGTTTTTATAGGGCTAAAAAATCTGCATACTGAGTTTTCAAATTAAAAAAATATCAAATTTTTGACAATTTTTTACAATTTTAACGATGTAACACCTTATAAAATTTTGAAATTTTGAAAAAAAATTAAAAAAAGATGTTTTTTTACCGGACATAGCTAAATCGATTCTCCTGTTAATTCTGATCAAGAATATATATGATATATAGGGTCGGAAATGATTCCTTCACTGCGTTTGCAAGCTTTTGACTAGGGAATTTTATAAACTGAGCGTTTTTGTATAAGACAATAATAATCTAAAATGGCCTTTTACTATGTAGTGTAGAGTTTAATTCTAAAATTATATTTAAATGTGTATGTGCTTTTAACGTACTTATTTCTGGAGAAGCCAATGTGTATGTAACCACAAAACACTTGTCGATAAATTAAATGCCCAACTATTTAAATTTATAAAAACGGCGTCCAATTTCAAAACCTTTTAAAATAAGCACTTAAATATTCCAAATCCATCCCCTCAAATTTAAAAAGTTTAATTTCCTGTAAAACTTACAGCGTTTTTGGAAAAGCCGCTGGGAAATCTCACACACCGAAGAGCACTAAAAATCCCGTTGCAACCTTTACAGGATCGAATGGGTTACAATCACTTTTCGGGGTACAGGACACGCGGTGTAACTCGAATTTGTGAACAATGCACGACAATTGGTAACAGGTATTCAGTATTTATTTTTTGGCTGCTGCTGCTGATGCTACTCTGGCACGTTGACAGATCAAATGTCGGTTAAGTTTTGAATCCGCATCCGATGGCGCTCGGCCTCTTATATGAGCGTCGGCTCGCTCTTGTTCTTGTTCCTGTTGCTTTTTGGCGCGCCCTTATCAACGAAACAACACCCACACAACCATAGCACCCAGGAGTGACGACAATGTGTGGTGAGTTTTCTCCGGACTTCCAACACGAACACGAATGCTAAGGGAAATGCTGGTGATGTTGGGTGGCTCGTGTTGCGGAGTCCTTGCGGCCAAGGATGTAACAAGTGGCCGTGGCCATGCGGCTTTTCTGCGGAAGCCACCAAGTCGCATCCTTAAGGATGCTGAAGTGTAAGCCAAGAAGTTGCCTCAAGATTCCGCGGAATGGTGATGAGAAAATATGTCGGTTTTTTTTCTAGAGAAAATGTTTTCCTTTTCGAGTGGTTTTAGGGGGGGAAAAAACATATGAAATATCTTTCAATGTATGAATATGGTCAAATATATTTAAGATTAATGGCATATGCTTATACTTTAATCACATCTCAAGGCTTTTGTCATTCATTTAATGTTTTAGAAATATTTTAATACATTTTAAATCTTTTATTAAGTTTCCTCTTATAAGAGGATGCCATCACTGCTGCAGAAGGTGAAGAAAGCTGCAATTGGAGGCACTGCGTGTATATGCAAAACAACGGTGCGTATGATGAATATCATGTTAGAGTTCATTAGAAGGAGCTTCTTGGCACAACCCACGGCATATCCTCCACTCATGTGTGTCCGTCCAACTATTTCTCATTTCGAATGGAAAATTGTCAGCTGGCTGGTTGCGCATTAGTCAACTGCAGGAGCAGGACACTTGCCCTACGGCGGCCTTTATTTATATATACATATATGTATATGTATACCGACTTTGTGGGAAAGTCGCCGCTGAACTTAGCTGACAACTCAAATGACATGCACAGCAGCGTCCCCCTCCGATGTGGCCTTCTTTGGTCGCAACATCTCAAAGGAGAAAACGCCAAAGAATTTTATGCGGAATGCCAGTATCTATTTCACAATGTCGCCATCGGGTGGGCCCAGGATGCATAACATTTTAACATTTATCCTGCTGACACATTTGTCCTGCGCTGCTTCAGCTTGGCTTTACCAAAGTCAGCGATTCGTCGCAGTTTGTCGATGGGACTTTACGGGAAACATTCTTAAATTGAACACATTTTCGAAAATCGATGGGGACTAGAAGATACTTTCATCTGTTTAACAAATATCTAGCTTTTTATTTATTTTAGTTGTTCGTTACCATAAGTTTGTCCTTAATCTAACCATTTTGACATTATTTCCAATCAATCCTCTTACGTTATTCCTATACGTTTCAATGCATTTGGTATAATTACTGAGAGCAGGAGCTGGGGGAATATAACCATTACCCAAGGAAACCCCACTGCGGCGGTGCTTAGTTGTAAATACTTTAATTACGAATAAAAGCAAAAATCGTTTGCTAATTGGAAAATATTGAGAAAATAAACACATTGATTGGCCTGTCGCCACCTCGCTTCACTCCTGACTAATTGCTCCTCCCCAATGATGATGATGATGATGGTAATGATGGCGCGGGAGCACGGGTCGTATACGCAATGCCACCATAGAGCAAGTGGGGAAAGCAAGCACGACATGACATCAAGGGGATATACCGAAATTGCATTGAGATTTGTGGCGCAATTACAATTTGTCCTAGGGAGTTTATAAGTTTTTATGGCTTTTCATGGAAAAGTGGCGACTAATTGAGGGGCCCATGACGTCAGGCGTCATTACTAAACGGCTCAAAGTTCCACGAATGGCAGCTGCAACCCGGGGGAAATGCCGGATTTGTATATTCCGGTGGGCGCGTGCTCTCCTTACTCACCACACCACACCACACCACCACCCGATAGATCATAAATCAGGCTGATAGCTGATAGCTTGTAAGACCAAAACATCATGGCCCAAGCGTGGCCGGCCTAATCTCGATGGTCTGACACTGGGGCGTCATCGCACCGGAACAGGTTAATAAATTTCCCAGCGGCCTAATCGCGCGCCCAGCACCAGCAGCCGCAGCACCTCATTTGGGTATTTGACATCTGGACAGCTGGACACAGCTTGGACAGCTGGAGGGCTGGATATCCATGGGCTTGTGCCTTTGGCCATGGTGTGACTCGATCGGCCAGAAGTTGGTGTGTCCGCTTCTCCAGAAGACAAGTTCACCCATAAATCATCATCATCAGGCAGGCAGGCAGCAAGGCAGGCAAAGTGGACCGAAACCCAAAACCAAAACAAAGACACCAAACCAAATCGAAACCTGCCGCTGCAGCCGGGGCCAAAAAGACGTCCAAAGGCAGGCAGTGAGCCAACCAGTTTGGCCCACACCTTCGTATAGGCACACACAGATGCTGATGCTTGTGCGGTGCAAACTTCCCACCGAAAAAATGCATAGGCGAAATCATAAAAAATAAAAATATCCAAAGAAAACATTTTTGTAGTTGTTAGACCGAACCGACCGAAGAACGATGAAAAAAAATATATACATATATATGTATATATAAAACAACAATACAAAATGGAAAATCACGATTTTTATGCAGGTTTTCGGAGATTTTTCCCACAACAAGTTTTCGTCGCTTGTTGATTTTTTTACTTCCATCTCTATTAATTGATTCTGCGCATGAGAATAACGCAGTGCAGCTTGTGCACTTGAGATCCAGATGAACTTAGGTGCCATCAGATATACATACCCAGCATCAACAAATAATTGTCATAGTACAAGCCACTAACAGGCAGCATAAATATGCATTTATAATTAGTCGTTGGCGGAGCAGGGAGCCCAGCAAAGCTGAAAGCCAATGAGATTTACGGCCAAGACGAACGACAGCATCTTGGCCAGATGCATCGCAGTGGAGAATCTGTACGGAAGCTCCCTAGTGCATATTGCTCGGGTTTCGAGTGCAATTGAGGTACAAATAATAGCAATTAAAGAGTTATTTAAATATATTTGGGAGTATATTTAATTAAATCGTTACTTAAACTAAGAAAGAAACTATTTTCAAGAAGCTTAAGTTATACATATATACCCTTGCAGTTAGCAACTGATTTATAGGATTGCATCAAAAAACGATCTTAACTAAGCTTAATATATCCACATTTTTTAATCGATATTTACTAATATCTTTATACGACATTTTTCCATAAAACAAAGTTTAGAAAATCCATAACTAAGTCAAAAATTCATTAATTTAAATTCGGAAAGGTTTTCTATGTTAGTTTATATTAGGCCAATAAATCTGTGTACTCAATTAAACATTTTTTAACATTGAATTTTTTGACATTTTTTGAAAATTTTAACGAAAAAACAAATTTTGAAAACAAACTAAATTGTTTTTTCCCTTTCAAGATGGTTAAGTCGATTCCCCTATCAATATGATCAAGAATACACATATATGATTTATTGGGTCGGAAATGACATCTTTAAATCGTTACAAGGTTCTGACTAAAATTAGAAAATATGTTAGGTAGAACTCTTCAGGAATTTGGGTTTTGGTCGAGAACTGAAATAACTATTTCCTTTTAAGAACTTAATATATAAAATAGATATTTACTATAGGCTGTCATTTAACATTGTTTCCGCATCTGCATCATCTGTTTATTCTGCATTAATAAAGATATTCTTAGTTTCTAAGTATAACGATATACCGAATTTCGTCAAACTCTACACTTTCTTGGGGTTTTTCCATTTCCCTTTCCATTAAATCTCTCCAAATGCTTCAATGCTATATTATTCTGACCATAACTGTTGGCAAAAGCACACACCATACTCACACACACACACAGGTGTGTGATACCTGCAATACATACTCAAGCAAGTACGCATGGAAGAGTCGGAAAGTCGGCAAAAGAATGTCGTTGGCTCTCTTCTGGCTCTGCTGCCTCCACTGTCCAGCCACTCTCTATCTCTCTTTCTGACTGTCTCTATCTTCTTTTTCGATGACACACTTTCCGATGTACTGGGGCCCAGAAGTAGGTGAGAGCAAACGATCGGTTGTGTGTGTGTGTGTGTGCGGCGAGTGTGTTTGTTTTGTTTGCTGGTACTCCAAGCACAAACATACGTTCTCCATTCTACGCTTCGCTGCATTGAAATTTCTTTTTTCGCTTTCTTTTCGAACTCTCCAGCTCTCGGCTCTCGCTCTCACTCTGCTCTCCGCGGATCGTTTGTTCTTGCCACCCACTTGGGAGGGAGAGAGAGTGAGTGAGAGATCTCGCCTCTGCTGACGTCAGCATCGACGGCGCCATTATATGGGTCACGTTGTGCTTTTGGGTTCTTGGAGAAAACTGGTAGTACGAGTATTCTGCTTCTTCCTCTGCTTTTGCTGTGGAGAGGAAAGTGATATGGCAATGGCCACTCGATCGAAAGCGAATGCGTTTGGCGCTGCCTCTTGAAAATACCGTTCTTTCTCTCCCCCCTCCCTTTTTCACGATTCGTTCTTTGTGGGTCAGGTTCAGAGGTTTAGAATGTGGCATTTCCGCTGCAGCATTGCACTTTGCCTTCACCCCTCGCCGTCCGTCTATACAATTATGTAAAATAAAAACGAAAAGCCAAACAAACAAATAAACAACAGTAAAGTCTGCTCGGAAAGGTGAATGAAACTTAATGAATGCCAGCAACAATAATAACGGGCAGAGAAGAGCGTTGAGCGAACAGGTGAGCCGCAGCGCTGCATTGCTTTAGTGATTTTCACTTGCCGCTGCCGAGCGTGCCTTTGGAATTCGCAAATTGTTATGAGAAAAGCAACAGGAACAACAACAGGAAAATACAAGAAAAAGAAATACAAAAACCAAAACGGCGGCTACCATACAAAGACGACGTACAGATTACACAAGCGCAGCGTCGGCTATTATATACGTCAGAGAGGCATTAGAAACAACAACATTGACGGCGCTGCAGTCAAGAAAGCTCTCCAAAGGCAGCGACGCCGGCTGCTACTGAGCGGAGAGCTACGATCGCTGCAAAGTGTAGAGAAATTTATCATTTCACTGCAGCAACGTCAGCATCGGCAGCAGCAGCAACACCAGCAACAGCAGCAGCAGCAGCAAGCTCCAAGCTCTCTCATCAGCTGCTTGCCGATCGCAGCGCTCTCTCGCAGAGCTCCACTGGCGTCGCTGCCGCTGCTCGGTCGACTTGGGGCCTGGCCACAAAAACAACACCACAGTTTTTCAAAATTAGTTCTAGTGAGTCTGTGAAAGTGTGAGCGACTGCGACTATCGGACGACGCGCGATCAATTGGCAAACAACCGCAAGCGGATCCACTGGTCACTCGCCGCCGAGAACTTGCCGAATATAAATCGGAGCAGAGCAAAGCAGATAGCATCGATCCAGATCCCAGATCCAGATTCCAACACCATCCCCAAATCTTTGCAACAACACGTGCAACATGTCGCATCAGTGCAGCTGCGGTCGCGACCTTAACAACAACTACGTCTCCTATACGAACGCCTACGCCAATGCAAACACGGGACTGGACCGGGAGGCGGCAACCAACAGCGGAGGCGGTGGAAAGTCCGCTGGTCCACCCCGCACCCAGCTGACGGCCAAGGTGATGTTCGGCACGGTGGGCGCCATCAAGGAGCTGCGCGACAAGGAGCAGCAGCAGCAGCGGCATGCGGCAGCGACGCGAGCTGGCGAGCGACGCAACTGATGACCACCACGGACGTTTCCTTCGGGGGAGGAGGACGACGTGCGATGGGGAGTGAGAAGCGGGGGCGGGACGAACGGCCAATGGAGTCCGGTCGAGTGCTGTGCTGTGGGTTGTGTCGGGGGATCTCTGGCTGATCGGAAGGATCTTCGAAGGATCATCATCATCGGAAGGATTCGAGTTTGGATAAATTGAATGTGTTCGAGTGATTCAAAAGACTCGCAGTATTTTGATTTTCGATGATTTGAGTCTTTCGAGAAAGTCAGTTAATTCGAATTTTGGATTATTCGAGTGATTTAGGAAAAGTCAGTTGATTCGAAATTGAAAGATTTGAGTGATTCAAAACAGTTCAGTTTATTTGAGTGAAATTCCAGTAATTCGTTTCAATTTATTTGGAATTTAATTTTTTTAAATAATATTTCAAATTGTTCAAAGTAAATTTGAATGATTTGATTTGATTTATTTATTTATTGAAGTGATTCGGATTAAACAAAATAGAAATGCAAATAGTATGGATAGTTCAGGAACTTTAGAGAGCAGTTAGTCGGATAATTCAAGGGATTCACTTGACTTCAATAGTTCAAATTTTACTCGAATCGAATTAGCGTTGGTCCTGGTCCCTGGATCACTCGATCACTGGCTGCTGGGATCACGTTAGAGGCTTCAAAGTGTTTGCAGGGGGCAGGGCAATCTGAGTAATTTGGTGGCCAGCCATCAAGAACGACATTCCTTCTCAACAAAACTATTCAAAAAGAGAAAAAAACAAAAAAAGAAATGAACATCACATATTTATAGAAACCTCTTTTATCTGTCACACTATAACTATTTCTCTCGGTCTATATGCTATACTTTCCGTGCTCCTGTTCCTTCCTCAGCTTGTAATTTCTAATCTTTCGCGTAATTCGAACTATATTCGATGTAAATTGTTTATCACATATATTTATATATATATACTACATAGTGCAATACTTTAGCTATACAAAACACACTCAAACACACACCCAACACACGCCTAGCTTTAAGTTTGTTTTATTTTGTAAGCGCACACACACACACATACTCATTTTACAATGTTGTTTAATTTTGTTTTGTTGTTCACGAGCTCTGGCAGTTTTGGGCTGCGAGTCTGGAGACTTCCAGGTGCTGCTGCAGCTCGGAATGCAAGGCACGTAACACACCAACCATATACATACATAACACACATAGGCGTAATCATTAAAACCTATACAAACTGTTATTATTTGTAATAATCATATTGTATATGCTGGATGAAAATATGAACAAAAGCAGAAACAGAAACGAAAAACAAAAACTAAAATTATTCCTCCAAATGGGATCTTGTTTGCTCAAGTGAATTTTCATACTAAAATGGTAGCGAAATGAACGCAAAAGGCGAAATTAAATTAAATGAAAACGAAAATACATACATACATACATACATAAATTGAAGCTCAATTGAAAAGCTGTAAATGGTCGGAGTCGGAGTTATCAGCAATACAATATATTTATTATATGTACCTATAATATAATATTAAAGTGTAGTACTTGTACGTGTCTATTTATAGAGCTAATCCCAACAAAGGCGAATAAAAATCAAACTTTTAATAAACACCAAAAAACTGAAAACGAAAACTTTGCAATTGAGAGATTGTGCGATTCCAATTACTCCAACACAATGGGAGTGGTGGAGTGTTGGAGTGGCGGCAGTGGGAGGCAAACCCTTTTCTTTGCCGGCCGCCGTGTCTGCGTGTGAAAGTAAGAAAGGAAAAAGTAAAGAAGTAAAGAAAAAGCGAAAAAAAGAGCTTCAAATAAATTATAAATTACAATAAAGCAAACACGGGGGAGAGGTAAAATATGCGAAACGAAAGCGAAGTCTCCGGCCAGAAGCCAAAGGCAGTCTCGTGTATTATTATTCCAGTGATTCTTTGCTGTATTTCGCTTTATTCTGTCCCCGTCTCGCACTCTTTATCTGCCTTTTACTCTCGTCTCTCATTCTCTCTCTGTCCCCCCAACTCTCTTCTAATCGCTTAACGGTGTGCGTAAGTGTGAGTGTGAGCGAGCGCCAAGACACTCACTCGCTGGTTCTTACGCTCGTAACAGTGACCCAGTCTCCAATCGAAGAGTCCGCTGGCTTTTCTGGCGTCATCCGAGCCCCAAACGTTCCATTTCGTTTCAACTTGGCGCCCATTCTCCCCACAATCCACACTATTTCAATTTCCCTCCACCTCCACCCCCTTCTCTATCGCCATGTCCATTAAGAGGCCGCGTGGGACGTCGCTTTGTGGATCAAAGTCAGCGCTTGTTTTGGTTATTTTTCATTTCACAGTTTTATTTATATTCTTTTCCCCTCCTCAGTTCAATTGAATCCAATTGACCAAGTGCGTGGCTCTTGTCAAGCAAATAAATTTGCTTACGTATACTTAATTTACGCGGCGTATACGTAATGCAACGCCCACCATTGATCAATGCATGCCTCGCCAGCATCTGCAGCCAAGTGGCTGATTAGCCCAGCCAGTCCGGGGAATGCAAATTGTACCCATTTACTCTCTTTTTGTTTTTATTTCCATTACGAGTAGAGTGTACCTTTGACTTTGTCTCTTGGAAATTTACCGCTGGATGATCCAACTCTGTGGCTTAGCCCGCTTCTCGGGCGATTTCATCACGGCCTGACATTCCGATTCTGATTCAAATTCCCATTCCAATTCCGATTTTGATCCGATAATACCATGTGCATTAAGTGCGACTAAAAGCATTTGAGATGCTGCGAGGCCTGAGGTTCCAAGATGTGAGGGGAATTTCACACTTGTGAGTCAACATTTTCAGTTCTCTGGAACTTTGATTGAAGAATGTTGGGAAATGCTTTCGAAATTTATTATATTTTAAAAACGTTCGACAATGTTAGCAGTATATAAAGATTTCCAACTACTTTTTTTGCTCGTTATTGTTAGTTAACGCTGATACTTAAAATAGGTATTTTTATACCCTTGGAAGGTATTATTATTTTAGTCAGAAGCTTGAAAAAACGTGAAGGAGTTATTTCCGACCCCATAAATCATATATATTATTGATCCGTATGAACAGCCGAATTGTTCTAGTCATGTCCGAAAAAATAATAAAATTTTCGAAATTTTTTCAAAAATTTGAATATTTTACAAGGGGTTACATCGTTAAAATTTGCAAAATTTGATAAAAATTTGAATTTCTTAAAATTTTAAAATTAGTATGCAGATTTGTTAACCTAATAAAAACTAACATAGAAATGCTTTCCCACTTAAAATTAATGAATTTTTCGCTTAGTTATAAGTTTCTAAAGTTTTAATTTGCCGGTAAAATTGTCATATAAAAATATCGAAAAATATCAAATCAAAGAAAACGAATATTTTAGTTTAATTATAATATAATTCAAACTGATGAATCTTTATCTTTGCTAGCTAATCATATTTATTAATAGTTTGAGACTTATTACATATAAAAGACTCAAAGTTTTATAATTTAAATTTGAAAAAATTAAATCTTTAGATCTTTGTTACCTAATATATATATATATATATATATCATGTAATTTCGTATTCCGAATCCATAATCTCCCAAGGCAGTCTCCCGTAAAGACAGACACTCTTTACCATCAACCCTCTATTTCCATTTCCATTTCTATTTTAAGACCTTTTTGCATTGCTGATGTCATTTCTTGGCCATTTTCTATGCATATTCTTTTTTTTTCTTATTTTGGCCCAGAGATCAGTTCAGTTGGCTTTAACTCGCTTTAGTTTCGCCCGATCTGTGTGAGCTGGAAGCGGGTGTTATTGTTGTCACCTCACCGGGCCGTTGCGGTGATACATCAACTTCTTAATTTATGAGGTGCAATTTTTATGGACTTCACCCGCGACCACTTCACCTCTGATCCCGCCGGTAACAACATCTCTTTTTGTTGATTATTTTTATTATTTTTATTTCTCTGTAGTTTTTTCTCACTTTTTCCTGACTGCCTGCCGGCTTGCCTTCGCTTGTGGCAAGAACTTTCTCTTCTAATTGAAAGCAGTTCGATGGCGGCGGGCGATAAGTGTGGACTGAAGCAATGGGAATGGGGAAGCGGTCCGCTGAGCACAGCATCCAGCTGGGCATCTTTTGATGAACCGGCTGCGGATAGATTGACGTGGATGTGGAGCTGGTTGGATGGGACTCGGACTCGGACTCGGACTGGGACTGGGGATGCTTGGTGTGTGGAGTGTGGAGTGGCCAGTGGAGCGGATGAATGGCGATCGCCGATGGTGAGACATTTCTTATGTTTTCTGCTTTAATGGGAACTTTATGCAGCCGCAAGGCATTTTATCTCTCTCGATTTCGATTTGAATACGGAAAAGGAGGGGCCTCCGCAACGGCAACGGCGGCGGCGATAAGCGCCAACAAGTTGAAAATAAATAATAAATATTTAAAAGTAGAAGAAGGGGTGTTGGACGAAAATAAAAATAAAATTTCAAAAAAAAACTGCCACTGCCCGGACTGTGAATGAAAGCCGGCGAAGAACTGGTCGCTCGCCTGGAAGTCTTGGGTGCTTTTTCATCTTTATTTTTTTCTCTGTGGGTTTGGCTTTTTCACTTTTTTTCAGAGTTTGTTTTTTTTTATCTTCTACTTTTTTTCGTGAAGCTGTGGCATGTCTCGGCTTTGCGGCTCGGCGTCTGTGTTTCTTTTGGCTTCTAATGGCAGCCGTGAGGTGAGAATCGATTTAGTTCGGTTTACGACGATCCAAGATACAAACGCGAAAAAGTTTCTTTTCGGTGTGTGCCGTGCCGTGCCGTGGAGTAGAAACATTGTCCAATCCATTGCCAGGAGCAGCTCCGGATTATATATATAGATATAGATATCTATCAAGTCCAATTCAGGTGCTAATCACAGCAATTACCAAGTACAAATTGCTTGCAACGCTCTTAGTGGGTAAATTTCAATTTCAATTTCCGTTTTTGCGCAAAAGATCATCCAACAAATTGATTATTATTAATGGCCCGAATGCCACAGTTAACTAAGTGAGCGTGTCTGGAAAATTTCTCTAAGCCAGTAATTTCCTGGCTACCACCTGGCGGTGGGTGGGTGGTTGAGGAGGTGGTGGTGGTGGAGCTTGGACCCTTGCTCGAGGAAGAGGAAAAATGGCATTATGCAAGCTCTCCAGCCTAATTGCATAATTTTGGATGAAAAATTAAACACTCCATTTGCAGGCACCAAAAAAAGCCTTAAAGTGGCCGTGGAAAAGGGGTTTGTTTTTCAGGAAAAACTCTGCATATTATTAACTCAAAGAAATAACTTTTCAAGGCAGTTAAATATTTAATAAGGGATATATTTTAGGAAAGTTGCTGAGAAAATAAAATATATAAAGTTAATATTATTATTTACATTATTAACTCATGTTAGTATAAGTACATTAAACTTTACCAGTATACAATTTTTTAATGAATAACAAAACTTTTTTTGCAAGTATTTTAGCATTTTTAAATAAATGCACATTATCTATTAATTTTGAGTTTTAAACTCTCATTACGAGAAGCTTATTGAACATTACTTGGGGTTAAATATTTTAATGAGCAATAAATACTTAAAGACTGCATTTATTCGTAAGAAACTTCTAGTAACAAGAATTAGTGTAAAACTTACTTTTTTTTTGTAAAGTGTCTTAAACTTTATTTGGAGTTAATGTTTAAATGAACAAAAAAACTACGTATTGTTAAAAATGTATTGTTATTTAATCTAACAAAAATAGAATAGTTAATTGATTTATTGTATTTTATAACGTTATAAATACCTCTCTGGTTAATCTCATAATAAGCACCAACAAAAACCAACTATTATGAGACCCAAGTATAAATTGTTGGTAGTTTTTTACCATAAATAATATTGTTTACATCAAACTTTGCCACTCTGGTTGCCTGTTATGCAGTCATGGGAGCAAATAGGGTACCTTGTCTGGCATCCAATTAAGGAAACTATATACAAAAGTTTTAAGAAAAGTTTTAAGCAATTAAAGAAAAGCAGAGAATTTCCTCTTATCTAGTGTCTTGGAATGCTAAGAATTTATTTAAGAGCTTAGCTTCATACACTTGATCAATGAATATATCAACTCTTTGCTAAAAAGCGTATTAAATTAATTACAAGTAAAGCTAAAATCACTCGGCCAAAGCCGACACAAAATGAAATTAATAAAAAAACTGCAGAAAAAGTGCCGAGTATAAAATCAACAAAAACAAAGTAAAAAACAGTAAATAAAGACAGGAAAAAAGAATAATGTGGTTAGGCGATAATAAGTTGCAGTTGAAGTTTTTTCTTTTTATTATTGTAATTAGCTGTGGGCAGCTTAACAAAAAAAAAGAAGAAAAATACATTAAATAACAGCGCGTTTTTGATGTTATAGTTTTTTCGCTGATGTAATCACATTGCTTGAATCACGAAGGAAGCCAAGTCAGCCATTATGCATCACTTTATAGACGACCCAAAGCGACGTAACTTTATTGATAATTGCCATTAATTGGCCCCGTTTATTGAGTCAACCTGATATTTTCGCCACCTCTTAACGCCCTCAAGGTGAATAAAGCCATTTATGATTTATAGCTATGGCAATAGTTAACCGTTTTGAATATTAGTAGAAATTATAGTTATCATAACCCTTATAGTACGACACTCTTTCCCCTTTGTATTTTCTTGGGAAATCCGAAATCCCTTGATTTAGGACCGTCACTTGTCACATTCATAGTAGAACCTTTGCTTGCTCTGAACTTGACAGCGAATAAACCCTTCCAGAAGTCGCCGGTGGAATGTTGCAGCCATCACAGCTGCTCCTGGTGGCCTGCCTGCTGCTCCTTCTGTTGCACTTGGAGAATGTCAGCGGTAAGCCGCCCACCAAGGAGCTGCCTCGCCCACTGATTCCGCTGCAGGAGGAACAGGAGCAGGAGCTGGACTCCAAGACAGCATTCCAGGGTCAGCGAAATGGACGCTCACAGCGTCCCACCTTGATGGATGTGGCCCTGCAGCAAAGCGTGCGCCAGGGATTGGATGCCATGGCCGACCTGTATGGTCGCATTCAGCCGGAGATGCTTCGGAATGGTGGGTACTAGTGTTTCCACTATCATAGAGTCATGATTCAAATCCACGAAAATCTCGAAAATACCTCGCAAAAGGTCAAACCCTGCAGGACAATCATCCGGCTGCAATGCTTTCCCGCTTCAATGCCCCAACCACGGACTCGGAACGCCGGGAGATGGCCGCCTATGCCACCATAGCTGCAGCCAAGGCCTTTCGGAAAAAGTAAGTTTGGGTGGGAGGGGAATCTACGTGGGTGGTGGAATCGGGTCATATATGTAGGAATGTGGGTGCATAGAGTGTGTGGCGGGTCATGAGTTCATCAGCCGCAAATATCTCTGTGGCTATGACATATGAAAAAAGTTATTGGGCAAAGAGAGGCGCATGATTAAAAATCAGAGTGGGTACGTGGGGAGATCTGAGAAATACTGGAAAGTTCTGGAAAAATGAGGAAAATCGTTATTTATATATCAGTTTAAAAGAAGAAAGCTAAAAGTCAAAATGTGTATGCTGGGTAATAAGTCAATATTTATGAATAAATTATAATTAAGTTAAGTAGTTAACTTTGATTATACGTTTGTAGATATCCCTAAGATTAATTGCTGTATCACTTTAAATTATAATTAAGTAATGGGGTCCATGGCAATGAAGGTATTAATTGGAAAATGAATGCTTAGCTAGCACAGTGTATTCCAAAACTAGGCACGACCTTTTCTATAACATTTATATATATGTATGTATATAATATAATTATCATGGTTAAGACTTACCTTGGTTATCCCTTTTCGTCATTGCTGAATTCCTTCTAGTGCAAAGTTATATTATTGCTGATCATCGTAGTAAGCTTCTTCCGGGTTATCCAAATGTATTGCATTCACCGGGTGATATTTTTGGGGTCAAAATGTAATCACTATCACTATCACTATAGATGTAAACACTAGGGAGGCCGCCGACAGAATGAGGTCAGCGCAAAGCCCGTCCCTGTATTTATAGTCTCCGAGTAAAGAGAACAGAGAATAACAGAGCGAGAGAGGGAGGTATCTCTAGAGATAAGCAGAGCAGAGCAGAGCAGAGAAGAGCAGAGCGTAACAAACATCCCTAGGGATACAGAGGGAGCGACAAACAGCGGGATAGAGTAACAGAGAGAGAGAGAGAGAGAGAGAGAGTTATTATTTGTTTTCAAACTATTTCCGATCGTTCCAATGGCAGCTATATAATATTCATAGTTGTATTTTATTTATAAAAAAATCTTAAACTAAACCAGCTATGCAAATCTATCAAATCTATAAAAATCTCTCAGTAAATATGGAAAAGTTAATGAATGCCATTCGTTAGTCTTTGAGCCACCCTCGGTGGATCACCCGCAACCACTTATACCTTACTCTTGAGTTTCTGGCCGCTGGCAATCTAATGCAAAAACGAGCATACAACCGGGTATTCCATGGAAAATAAAAAAAAAGAAATAACTGACGGAAAAGACAATGACAACAATGTAAGCAATATTATTGAGTGGAGGATGCTGTGGCCCCCTCCTCATACGTTCCTGCTCTCTGCCAACAATTACCGCTGGCAACTTTCTCGCTTGATTAACGAGTTCTACGGCATCCATGGTAGCCAACGCTGGCAGAGCTAATGAACTGGCCAGGCCTCAAGTGGAAGTGAACCCACCTCCGCCTCATCCTCCATCTCATCCCCCGGGTTGTGGCAAAAATAATCTTAGCCAAAAAACGATGGGCGTCCCACTGTGATTGTTCATGACTAAGAGTCAACTTTCACTTTGACATTGAAATGCTGGATAATTGGCAGACAAGCGAGGCCAAAACCAATACCAGATTGGGCCAAGGAATGCGCTGAGCGAAGGTGAATTAAAGCTGCCCGGGTTAAATGACCTCTTTGGTCGGACTCAGCCGGAAATGGCAGACGCCACCAACTTCCACTCCAGCTCCAACTCCAACTCCATCTCCAACTTGAACCACGCCATTTCCATTTCCATCTCCATTTGCAGTTTTTCCAGTTTTTCCGCTGGCAGAGTTTTCACTTTTCACAACGGGTTGTCTTTGTGGATTTTCCACACACAAATAACAAACGAAAAGCGCATTAAAGCCGAGAACTTTCACCCGGCCGAAAAAGGCCATTTACTCAGGTGTGTGAGCGTCGTCACTCAGGTGCAATGAGCTCTGACCGAACCGAATGCAAAGCTGGTCGTGGCAGCCCGAATCGTATTTACGTAATTTACGTACAATCAATGGGCCAAAACGCGGCGACATCGTACCAATCAGACAGTTGCCAGACAAAAGATGGCCATTAATGGGAAATGCTTTCGGCCAAGCAGCCAGCCACAATCAAATTACGAAATGGCCAGCAGCCAGCAGCCAGCGGCCAACATGTTTGGTTTAATTAAATATCAACAGAAATGTCCAGAGTCAATCAGTGAGCGGAGAGTGAAGAGCAGAGATGATGATCAGCTCGTTAATGGTGCCAAAAAAGTAGCATTTAGCCAAATTAGAAGCCAAAGAAAGCGACAGCGGCAGAGCTAGAAAAATTATATACAAAGAAATACCCACGCCAGCTGAGAGGGGAGGCTTCAATGGCTTCAACAGCTTCAACTTCAGCTTCAGATTGGCCATTCGCAATTTGATTACATCAAGAGACGACGACGACGACAACAAAAACAGCGAAAGGCAAAGCTTTTTGCGACTCCGACTGATATGCGAAGAAAGAAGCTGAAACCAAAGCTGAAACTGAAACACAAACATGGGGCGACTTTCGTTTTCTACCAGCCAAGTCAAGTCAAGTCGAGCCAAGTCAGGCCAGGCCAACAAATTCGGCCTGAAGCTCCTCTCATTTTTATACGAAAGTTTTGTATTGTATTGTAATTTTTTTTCTACTGTTTCGACGGAGGGCATTGAACCCTCGTCTGCGGCCAACGCTGCGGCTGCGCTTTTTTTCTCCATATTGCGTATACGCAGCGTGAACCCAAGGCAAAGGGTGCTCTCCTTTAAAAAATAATGCTTAATAAATAAATAATAGGCACTTTGAGCAATGACAAGCGATGCTGCTACAAAGCCTGGGAAAACATATACTATATTTTCCACTTTCACCTGTAGGAAAAACTGGAAAAACATGGCGAAACAATTATACACTTGTGCTATGCGCATCCCCCGGGGGCAATTGAAAATAGCCTTCAATCAAAGCTAATTTTCCTTGCAGATGCGTGAGAGGAAAAGTGAAAACGCCTAGAAGATAGATTGATTGGAAGATCGCAGGAAATTATAGACCAGGCAGGAAGTTTGTCGAGACAAGAGAAAGCTGATTCGCAGATATCGAGTTTTCTATCTAGATTGGAATTATGATTTTATCTATTTATAGCGGAAAGAGTTAAGCTTGGGAAAAGCTAAGATATAATTAATTTAAGATTAATTTTGTATATTATCTTGTTTTGCTGAAAAACTAAGCTGCAAAAGCTAATGGTATTCACTCTATATGTTTATGAAAACATTGCGTGTTGATTAAGACGAGATACACATCTTAAAACAGATATTCATATATTCAAGACCCATTTTATTTATTACAGAAAGTTTTTTTTTGGTTAAAGGAAGATTTTAAAAAATTACCTACTGTACATTATTTTAATTCTGCCTTTAATATGGTCTTTTCAACTTTAAAATCCTCTCAAAAAGTGACCCTATATCTCAGATATTTGCTTACTCATATGGAGATGCACTCCAGTGCCCCAAGTTAGGCATATTTCATGACCGAGTCATTATACCCCTTGGGATTAAAACAAAATGAAAATTGACAAAAAAATAAATAAATAAAATAAAACTAAAAAAGAGTTGCTAATAAACGCGGCAAATGGAAAGCAAAAGCGGGGTGAATTAAAGCCAGCGGCGGGCTTGCTCACTGCTCACTGCTCACTGATTTCTCATGCGTTTTCCCGCCACAATCTCACACCTGCAAGCGCACTCACACCAGGCCATCACTACCACCACCACCACCTGGTGGATCCCACTTGGAGCGAACTCGTTTCCACCAAACTCTGATTCCGTGCGGAGTTGCGAGCGTTTTATAAATAGAAGCCGGCGGCTTGAGCAGTCGGCACTCGAACTCGAAATTTGAGCGCTGCCATGTCGGCCACATTCAAACCGCTGGATGCGGGCTGAGGGTTGTCCTGGCTCCGTCCTGGTCCACCCTCTGCCCGCCATCCGGCCGTTTTTATCTCCATCTAACCCTGGGTATCACAGCTTCCAGCATATCGATGAGCTGGCCCGCCAATCGCACACGCAACGCATCTCGTTGCGTCGGACAGCCTTGGAGGGTCTGTGTCCACCGCGGGATCCGCCCCCGTGTATGCCAGCCTCGGAGCGGTATCGTACCCATGATGGCACCTGCAACAACAAGCGGCGTCCCAGGTGGGGTGCTGCCCAGATGCCCTTCAATCGATTCCTGCCGCCGGAGTACGGAGATGGCGTGGACACTGTAAGGAGTTCCGCCGATGGCAGCACTTTGTCCTCATCGCGATTCGTGAGTTTGCTGGTCCATGGAGCTAGGGAAGGTGAGGCGCCGCTTACTCTAATGATAGCCCAGTGGGGACAGCTGCTGGATCACGACATGACCTCAACGGCACAGCCACGGTGAGTATTTATTTAACAAATCCAAATCTATGTATTCTGTTAATTCTTACCCTTCCATATCTCTATCCTGGTAGCTCTATCAACGGCTCCATTCCCAGTTGCTGTGGGGGTAAGGACTTCCATCCAGCTTGCTTCCCCATCAAGGTGCCCCTGGATGATCCCTGGCTGGCGCCTCTCAAAGTGCGTTGCTTGGAGTTTCTGCGCTCGGCTCCAGCCCAGAGACGGGACTGTGTATTGTCCTGGCGGGAACAGACCAACCAGGTGACCTCCTACATCGATGCCTCGCCCATTTATTCGAACAGTGCCAAGACCTCAGACAATGCAAGAGTCTTCCGTCATGGACTGCTCATCTATGGTCGTGGAGATCCCGCCGATGATGTGTGCCAGCGGGGTGCCATAGCCACCAAATGTATAAGGTCAGGAGATGGTAGAAGTGGAGAGCAGCCGGGTCTGCTGGCCATGCATCATGTCTGGGTGGGTGAACACAACCGAATTGCCATGGAGCTGAGCGAACTGAATCCGCACTGGAGCGATGAGAAGGTATACCAGGAGACGCGTCGCATTGTGGGTGCCATGTTCCAGCACATAACCTTCCGGGAGTTCTTGCCCGTCATTCTGGGCAGGGAGGTGGCCAAGCTTTTCGATCTGGATCTGCTGCCCTCGGGCTACTACGAACGTTATAGTTCCAAGGTGAATCCCACGGTGGCCAATGCCTTTGCTGCCGCCGCCTTTCGCTTTGGTCACTCGCTGGTCCAGAATTCCTACACGAGATGCGATCGTCACCATAATGTGATCAACAACAGTGAGTTTTGAGGGTCATCTATGCTGTGTTTCCTCCTAATATTTCCCATTTCCAGATGTCAGTCTGCACGAGGAGTTCCAACGCGGTGACATTGGCTCGGCAGGGTCACTCCATCGCCTCTTGCGTGGTTTGGCCTCCCAGCGTGCTTTGAAAAGGGATGAGTTTATCACACCTGAGCTGACCAATCACCTCTTCCAGACACCGGGCTTTCCCTTTGGCCTCGACCTGGCTGCCATTAACATTCAGAGGGGACGGGATCATGGGATTGCCCCTTACAGTGCTTGGAGGGTGCCCTGTGGTCTCAGCCCCATACACAGCTGGGATGACTTTGGTAAGATCACGTTGAGGTGCTTTCATAGCCTCAACTTTCCTCACTTGATTAACGCATTAACACCAATTAAGTTATTACACACCTCGAGGGAAATCACTTTCTTTAAGCGACAAATAATATCTCTTTGATAATTATGAAGTTATATAATAATAGAAGCACGTTTGTCTGAAGAAAGCGCTTTGATTTTATCTTAAAATTAATCATAGTTGTAAATCCTTCTCTCTTCCCCAGCTAACGTGGTGGGTCCGGAGTCGGCTAAGCGTATTGGCCACGCCTATCGCAGCGTCCATGACATCGATCTCTTTGTGGGCGGCATCGCTGAGCGTCCTGTGGTGGGCGGCCTGGTGGGTCCAACCTTTGCCTGCATCATTGCCCAGCAGTTCAGCAATGCCAGGCGGGGAGATCGTTTCTGGTACGAGAACGGTGGCTTCGAGAGCTCCTTCACACCAGCCCAGCTGCACTCGCTGCGACGTGTGTCCCTGGCTCAGGTCCTCTGCCGAACGGTGGGCGGTGGCACGCTCCAACCCCATGTGTTCATCCCAGCAGAGTTCGAGGACAACGAGCGACAGAGTTGTGGAGTGGGCAGCCTGACGCCCATCGATCTGAGCCCTTGGCTGGAGCAAGATCCCTTCCACAATCAACAGGTGCCAGAGCAGGTATTCAACATGGGACAGCCGGAACTGGGCTCCGTGCAGGTCCTCAAGGAGGACAAGGCGGGCTTCTCGAACCGTGTGAGACCCACTAAGCCTCAGGTGGAACTTAACGCCAACTCCGGCACTGGTTTCCATCGGCCCACGAATGGCAGTCCCTCCAAAGTTAGCGACAAACTTGACCTCAAACGCAAGACTGTGACCACTACCAACAAGAACAGCAACAGTAACAACAACCGACAGACTACTCGCAAACCAGTGACTGGTGTCAACAACAAACTGGACAAATCTCCAAAGATCACCATCAACCTAAAGACCGTGAATGTACGCAGGCCAGAGGGATCGGCTCCCAAGAGACGTGTGGTCATAAACAATGTGCCCGTCGAACTTCGAAGCTCAGGTGGTAATGCTACCGACACGGAGACTGGTACAGGAACCTTGACTGAAGAAGATGAGGACAATGAAAATGAGTTTGTAGATGAAGAAGTAGAAGACATGGAGGAAGTACCAGAGTTGAGGACTAGCCAGAAGGCAAGACAGACTAACTCAAACCAAACTGACACTACTACAAAAACTACTAAAGAGGAATCCCCTCTTGGACAGAGTACAGATATCCCCAAGACCGAGCGACGTGACTCTAGAAAACTGGAAACCCAACAGGAGACGAAAACCCTAGACTCCCGACTATTACACCTTCAACGCAATCGCACCAGCACCCTGTCGGTACTCCAGACCAGCTCCACAGCCAGTTTGGGGCGATCCACGCGACTGACCAAGGCACCCAAGACAAATAAGCCGACCAAGCGGGGCGTCGAACTCAGACAATACCAGAACAGACCGCTCTACGAGAGACCCCAGAAGGTGGTGGTCAACGGACCGAACGCCGACCAGTATGAGATCGAGATCAACATACGACAGACGAACAAGAGCCCCGGCTCGCGACCCTCCATGACGGACTACTCGGAGTACACGACTGTCCACAAACCGTACTACGAAACGAATTATGCACCACACTATGTGGACTATGCGAGCACGACTCCCGTTCCTCTGCCGAGCTATGGTTACCACCAGCCCCTGGCCGAGGTGAGCACTCAGGGACAGAGGACGAAGCCACCGACTATTATATACCTGAACGACAACGACGACAGACGAACCACGACCCGAGCACCGAACATCTTTCAAAACTTTTTGACCTTTGCCACGAACAGTTTTAATCCCCTGGGGAACCGACGACCAATGCCCACGACTCCTTCGCCCATCTCCCAGAGCCACAAGGAACAGCGTCCCACCTTAGAGAACAATGTTGTTCATAGTCCCATCAGCATAGCTGGGAACTCGCACATACTGACCGGATCCTCCTCCTATTCCCCACGACCGTCTTCAGTGCACTCCTATCCGGTGTCCACCAGCTCCCAGATAGGTGCCAATCCCGCTTCCGGTTTTCTGCATGCCTCCAGCAGCGCCGTGAGCGCTGGAAACTTTGGCAGCATCTCTGGAGTGGCTAGTGCCAATGGTGCGGACAGCACCTTTAGCTTCAATATACGACCACGACCTAGCCAGGAGTTGGGTTCAGCTGTGAGTTCCTATCCGAGACCGCAGCAGAGCCAGGGGGGTGTAGTTGGAGGATCCTACGGCCTTGTTGGGCCACCTTCCTACAGACCAGACTACCCGCCAGCACACAGTGAACTATACTACGACAGAGAACTGAGCACGGACAGAAATCCCAGTCCGTTCTCGGGCTCCAGTTCGAGTTCGATCTACAGACCACAGACACAACTGCAGACTTTCTACGGACGGACACCGGAAGTCAAGGAGGCGGCCAACGGCAGCAACGAACTGACTCAGACCGAGCACAAACTCTACCTACAGGACTATGACTATGTGAGCAGAACCCTCTCGAACCTGACCACGGACGAAAGCAACCCGACTCCAGATGAAGAAGACTACAACTACGACGAGGACTTACCTAGCAACGACCTGGACAAGACAGAGACCCGGAAGGAGACGGACCCATCGGAAATGTCTACCAAAAAGTTTGACAAGGACGGCTACATGAGACCCCAACTGATGCGCGACTCGACCATCCACAACTCGACTGGAACGAACGTGACCTCTCTAGACGACAACTACGTAATGCCCATGCTGGCAAACAAGACGCAGACGAGCTACGTGACCGAGGTACCCAAGCCAATGCTGTCCACCTCCAGCCGGACTGTGACGAACAGTAAGGTTACCGTCTTTCCCGACAGTCTGGGCAAGCAGCTGGGCAACGACATACTGGCGGACGAGACGGAAGACTATGACGAACGCAACTTGGAGGCACGCCAGAAGGCTCAGAGGCTCAAGCAGCTCGCGAGTGTGGCATTCGCACCGATCACAGTACTGACCAAACCGGACAGACCCGACAACTGGGTGATCTACAACAAGGCCAGCGAGGAGCCACCCCTGCCGCAGCCACCGATCATCAAATCAAATGATGTGGCACCCACCGGCGAAGTGCCCACGCCCATCAAGAACTTTAATAATGCCTGGCGGAAGCAGGATCTGAAGGCAGCTCAGCCGGAAACGACGCCGGTTACCATCACAGCCAAGCTAGAGGATGTGTCGACAATATCAACAACCACTGTGGCAGCAGCGGAGAGTAACTAGAAATGCCAAATTAGATAACTTATTTATTTTATTTATATAGTAAAATCACGAATTAAAGTCCAACTATCAATTATTACCCCAACTGTGGTTTTAATAGGAACTCAACTAGGGTTTAATAAAGCTTCAATTAAAGTTGGGATACGAACCAATCTCAATGGATTTCAACTTGAATACTAACTAGTTTCAGCACATTTGAACGAGGACACTATTATAGCGACCACTTTTTGTAGAATCTGTAGAATCTTTTTGCAGATTCTGCAGATCTTCATCAGTTAGTTTTGTGCGCAGGACTTTTCATAGTTTCACTGTGCCAAAAATGTAACAATTCTTGGTTTGTACTTTATTACAATGCAGACTAAAGCTAGGTTTATCCATTCAGAGAACACAGACACAGAATGCTTAAAATAAGTATATAAGGGGGAACCCTGTTTCGATATTAATTTCTAATTCGGCATGTCCAGTTGCTGTGGCTAATTAGTAGTGTAAAGTTAATGGGGTTACCAATATAAACAACAGTATTATCAACATCATCATCAATTACGTACTAGTACAAGTACCATTATATGTATAATAAATTATGCTTGTCACACCAATCGGCCTCTATGCGTGTAAGGTATAAAATGACTAAGTATAACAAAAATAATGTACACTTTAAGCTACAACACTTTGGTGTATTTGCAAATTGAACTGCTGCCACGTTGCTTATACATCCTAGCAAGCAAATTGAAACGTTCTGCTAAAAGTACATCGTCGGAGCGTCTGCTATCCATGCCTCCATAATTCGCTATCGATGGTAATTCAACTATCTAACCTGTGCTACACCTCCTCCTCCTTTTATTTACAATCTTGGGCGAAACTCCTCCTGGTTTGGTGGTTCTCAGTACGTCGCTTAAATGCAGTTTTGAGTTGGTTTCAGTTTGGCTGGGGGATTGTGCGTATACGCTTTTCACCAGCGAATCTGGTGCTTGTACTGCTCGTCCACGGCAATGCGCTTGATGGTCTCGTAGCCTAGGATAATGCTGAATGAGAAGGCCGCCGACTGCACCAGGCGGGCGGACAGGCCCTTAAAGAAGCAGTTTAGCTTCTCCTCCCGCCAAAGTTCCCGGAAAGCGACGCTCATCGAGTCCAAACGATGGACCTGGGGGAAGACATGATAATATAGATTAAGTACTGTGAATGACAAGCACATGCTCTCCCTAAGATAAGAGCACTCGGAGCTCGAGCCCCTGACAATTACGTATGAGTTAATAAGAATTGCAAAGCAGCAATTCATGATTTTGATGACACATGAAATTCTTGTTTGAAAAATTTAGGGTTAAAGTATTGAAAACAAGCTATTCCGCTATTGATTTTGAGAATTCTGAGCACATCTTAAAACTTACCTGCAAACGGGCGCGAACTATATCTAATGGATTTGTTAATATTGTCGTTGTGAAGCCGCCCAGGCTGCCGGCCACGCACTGGATGAACAAATGTGATACCCAAATGGGGCAGATGCGGCACAGTTCGTCTGCGGATAGAGCCAAAATTAAATTAATCTAATCGCAGTAATGCGAGCACCAGACTTACCCTGATAGAGGTGATAGAAGGCCCACCACATGGCAGAGTTAGGTACGTAGGCCATTAGGCTGGCGGTGTAGCCACGGTAGAAGCCCCGGAATCCGTCGCGCCGCATTATCTCCCTGCCAATATCCATGGAGATGTGCAGGCGACTCCGGCCGGGCCACGATTTAATACCCAACGGATTGATATCGCCCTTGGAGCCGGCATGCGCCGACATTCCCAGCACCATGGCGTGTTGCGATATCACGTCGAAAGGAACTATGATGGTTTGGCCAACCAGAGAGGCGCAGCCGCCGCCGAGGAGCGCTTTCACTCGATGACCGGCACCCATATCGTTGAGCACGTGGCGCACACCCTCGTAGGTGCTGATGTAGAAGACACCGGAGACGATCTGCACCGATGATATCCAGAAGCCGCGATACAAGCCGGGCACGCCTTCGGAGCGGTAGATCTTCATGGCACAGTCCACCATGCCCTTGTAGACATCGCTTTTGTGCTGCACCTGCAGCTGCGTCTTGATCACCGTCAGCGGGAAGAGGCAGCAGCGCACCGAGAAGGAGCTTAGCATGGAGAGCGGAAAGAACTTGGTCTTATTCATCATGTTCCACTCGATGGTGCGTATGTAGGAGGATCCGTCGACACTGCTGCTAGAATTGGCACCACCGCCGGAGGCCACCGAGAGGTGGGCACCGCTGGTTTCCGTCATCGCTAGCTGTTGTCGTCTACGGTCGGATGATAAGTGCGTCCTCCACCGAGGGGCACTGGCATGCGTGGAACTGAGGTGGTGCTGGCTCCCTTCACAGCCTCCCTTTCATGTGGCGCTGGCGCTGGCTCTGGAGGCATTCGACCTGCATGACTCGCCTTAAAGATCGCTCGTTCTTCCTTTGTGCTGATCTGCTTTGTCGTGTCCGCTTGATCTTTATCTGCGACAAACAAAAACATATAATTAGAGGGCATTGACGCACGAAAATCATTGCGAAGGCCCCAAGGTCGTCCAACTGCGGATACGGAAGGCTTTTACGCCTGGCCACGACCTTTGCCCATCATCCGCCAGGGCCAGTCCGGAAGTCCGCCCGGCAATCCAGCTATCTAATCTCGGCACCTCGTCCGCCTGGGAGTTGTTATTATATAATGCGCAGACACCTGACTGAGTGGCCTCGGCCTTCACTCCCCGTTCTCCACCAACAACTTTCGTGGACGTAAACAAACTCTTTGTCACTGATTTTCACGTCCAGGGATTCCTTCCACTTGGGGCGGGTATTGACCGCCTTTCACAGAACACTTGGTTGTCGCGGGTGCCACTCACCTACGCCAGTTTTGTTGTTTTGATAATTGGTTTGTGCATATCACATAATAAATTAGGGTTGTTGTGATATCAAAATATCAATATATCGATATTTTTCTTAAAATGATATATTCAAATCGTGATATTTTGTTTTGCCAAATATCGATGTTGCGATATTTTATATGAAATTTTACATCTTACATGTCTAGATAAAAAAAATGCATTAACCAATGTGCTCTCATCACGACGTAAAGAGCGCAAATTAACAATGCGAATGTTTAATATTTAGCTTATTTTGGAATAAAATCTCTAGATGGTAATAACCTGGCAGCACTGGTGGTGCTTGGGTTCTAGTGTTGCCAGATGGCTTGATAAAGTCGATTGCAAAGTCGATTGCTTATCGAATTTGAATTTAAACAGAAGATTATTTGTGTACCTAAATGTAAATTAAACACTTTTTTAATGTTTCTATTATACATTTTAACTAATTGGTTTCTTCTTTAAAGATCTTATTAGGCCTTATTTTTCCATATTTATATTACTGTTTATAAAGACTTAAAATAAAAAAAGACTTTTATATATAGAATTTCAATACTTAAGATTTACAATAAAGAAAATACGTTGTGAAGTGTACTTAATTATTAATTGATTGTAAATGTTGCATATTTAAAAAACCTTAATATACCTATACGTTATAATATATGCCCGCTTACATTCCAACTTTAGTCCAAAAATTCAAACTTTCGTCAGTTGATTCGCAGCCCCACATTTAAATTTCCTTTTCAAGCAGCTGTCAAATTGAATGACACTATAGTCTAATTGACGCCCACGCAAACGTTCCATTGGTCACCCTCGCCAGGAGCAGCCCAACCAATCAGTGTCCTCTGGGGCGTGATGCGCCTGCGCCGTAGCTATTTCACAGCATCAGCATCATCTTGGAGTAGCAGCAACCCCCAAACGTAACCAGAGCACATCCTGGCCAAGCGCCAGTCACCACGGATACTCGAAACCAACTCCACGACAGCAACGGAATGCGCGCTGATCGACAACAAGTGAAAGCAAAGCCATCAAGCGCTGAATAATTGAGAACTATTGATGGCCACCAGCCAGGTGAAATCCTATTAGTGAAAATTGCAGGCAGCAACCGCCTCCACCAAGTTCAAGATCGAGCCGATGGATACCGCCAAGTTGGTAAGATTAAAGCTTTTATTGCTGCTGCATCGTCGCACATAAATAGGGCTTAAAGTAGAGTCAGAGTTGGAGCAGGCCGTCATCCGTAGCTCAATGTGTAGCCCATGTTCTCCATCAGGGTCTCCTTGATGGCCGGCTGCAGGGCGCGCTGCATGTAGGTGGTCAGCAGACCCCGCACGCCCATGGAGAAGAGCTTCTCCAGCTCATGGGACATGGCCTCACCCACCAGTTCCTCGCGATCTGCACCAGCAGAACTGGCCTCTCCTCCGCTTCCTGCGCTGAAGATGTCCGCAAAGGCCCGGGCATCCGGCTCCACCAGCTGCTGCAACTGCTCGTCCTCAAAGTGTAGAACATCCTCGCTAAAGTTCATCTGGTCCTCGAAATTATCCTGGGCATAGCGCCGTCGGCGCCTTCGCCGCTTGCCAAACTGCCGCCGGTAAAAGTTGTCCCCGTTGACGTCGACAAACTCCCCAGAATCACTGCCCAGTTCCAGGCTTTGATCCCGCTGCGAATTCTGTCCCAGTCGGATGTCGTAGCCCGCTGGTTGCTGCGGCTGCTGGTGGTACTTGCCCCATCGCTGGCCCTGCGGTCGACTGTTGGTGCCTAGAATCACATGTGGCTCTCCCAGTTCGACCTCCGGAGCGTGTCCAAATCTCCGCTTTGAGTTCTGGCGAAGCCGAATGCCACTAGGTCCCTGACAGCCGTGGGCAAACACTGATATAAAGCCTGGCTCTGCGAAATGGGAGTCTGTTCTCACGGAGGCGGCTCCCAATCTCCGGGACTGCTCGTATCCGGAAGATTGGCCCGAGAGGTGGTCGTAGCCCAACGGCACTGTCCGGAATTCAATTCCTGCGTGCCGCAGCCGCAGGATCATGTGACACTTGCCGCCCATCGGTTGCATTACCACCTTGCCGCTGAGTGTTAGATCCGGAAAGATGAGGCGGGTGTCCAGCGTGGAGTTCTCCGTGCTGAACTTGCACTTGTCGATCTCCACCCAACGATTGGCTGACTTTGCCGGCGGCACCCGCACCTTAAGATCTTCCACATCCACCCGGGAAATGGCCAACTTGTGGGGTTGCCTGTGCTGGTGCTGCTGTTGCTGTTGCTGGTGCGTCTCCTGGTTCACCGACAGCAGGTCCTCCAGCTCCAGAGCACTACTAGAGTCCGAGAAGGGATAGGGTCTGCCGGTCCTGTGCAGGAGTTTGGCATGGTAGCCACGTCCTGAGTTGTAAGCGCCTCCACCCACATTGTAGAAGTCATCCTCCGGCTCACTGTGCTGCCCATAGAAACTGTGGTAAAGTTGATATGGACTCTGTGGTGGTGGCTCCCACATGGCTCTCGATCCACGATTGCGGTCCGTGGAGGAGCTCTTGGTCTGGATACTACGGCGTCTCATGTGTTCTAGAGCATTTTCCAGGCGATTTGAGCAGCGATGGGGCAACTGATACGGTTGACAGAGTGTCACTAGGGAGGAGAAGGATTAGGATAATTTTTATTTATGAAGAGGGATCTGGTGGTGGCCACATACCCTGCAGCAGAGCCCACAGGGGCAGCAGAAAGTGCAGCCAATTCAGGTCTCGGCTCACGTGTCCTGGCATGGCGTTGCAGCTATCATTGAGCGGGTTTTATTTAAAAAAGTATCACCTTTTTTTAATTGATTAATAAGTTATTAAAATATATGTTTTTAAGTTTGAATTTTAAATAGTTTTAGTTGGTTTCTATTTATAAAATTATTTTTAAAGCAATATGATTCTTTATATTAATGTGTTTATAAGTTTCACTGCACTGAAAGCTTAATGTTTTTGAAAAAATTATATGTTAATGAGTATTCTTAAGGATAATACTTTTCTTATCCTTTGATTAAACTTATATAATTATGGTTTATTAATTTAAATCACTTTTATTATTGTTCAACAGCTCAAATCTAGAAGATTATTTTTGGGTTATATTTATAATTTCCTGTTGGAAAAAACTTCTGTATTTTGGAATTTTCATTTATAATCCTTTGCGTACATGTAGGTGAGGCACCACCGATCCTCTTAGGCAATCATAAATCTTTTATAGAATTCCGCACTTGATTAGAAATTTCGCAACTAATGTCCTTCGTATCTGCTTTCCTTAAACTGAATTTCTAGTAATTTCTAGTATGAAGAAAGATGGCTAGAAACACCTCCGAACTCGCCCGCAGTTGAACCGAAAATGCGGCTCCCAAGCTGAGCAACTGAGTAACTGGCTCGGTCGCGCTTCCATTGCCACAGTACATCACTGGCAAAGAGGCACAGCACCCACAAGAAGACAGAGCCGCGATGGTGACGACCGTGTCACTGCCTCATCATGGGCAGTGAAAGTGTTTTCCACGACGAGCACGAAAAAGCGACTCAGCCAAGCCAAGCCACACAACGCACCTCAGCGTGGAAACTATACGAAAAAGACAAAAGGCAAAAAAAAACCCAAACTAAAACAATTTGAAAAAAGAAAAGCATTGTCTTTTGTCAGCCTCAAGCTCTGCCCTCTTCCCCTTCTCGTTGGGCTGCTGCTTCAAAGTAGATCACCAAATATATACCCATATATATAGTAGTAGTTACCTGAAAAGTAAACACGAGCACAGTTTCGTAATGTCAGTTGCGGGCGCGCATGCGTCGTAATCTCCGCCAGCTTCGACTCTGGGAGCCTATTGTTCGCCAGAGTTCAAAGTTGATCAATCCGTCGGATGAGTCAGTCACCCACACACATAGGACACAAACATAGTTGCCACAGTTTGTTTTCCCAATTGCACTTGTAATTGCCACCAATTGGCCATGCAAATTAGGGTCTAATAGGGCCGAAAGTTCATCATCTATTGAAGGGTATTTACCCTGGAAAGATCTCTTAGAGAAGAAATTCTTATAATATAGAGAAGAGTATTTGAGAAATTTAATTAGAAATAAAATTATGATATATAAATATATATAAATAATAACATATATTAACAATATATTCAAGTTTAACTCGGATACAATTTCGATAAATGGTTTCCTATAGTAAACATCATGCAAACAGAGCCCTCCATACATTCTTCTATAATCGGAACTCTGACATAAGAATGTCCATATAATTTTGAGTAGACTTTACCACAAGGGGTATTTTCTAGCCGGTTAAAATGTTACAAGACTGGGTATGTATTACCCCTGCTGCACCTGCGCACGTGCGGCTGGTGACAACGCTTGGCTGGCTGCCGTGCTGCTCGCACATGACAGTTACACTAAATAATTGCGGTAATTTGATTTGACAAATTGTTTGCTTGCACTTAGCAAACGCAATCCCGGCGACATATTTTGCAATTTGGCCAAAAATTTGTGCTCGCCAAAAAGAGCGGAAGAGGAGTTCGCCATGGATTGTAAAATAATATAATAGATATGTCCATGAAGTTGAATATACCATATCGGTTGAGATTTACATAACCCGCAACATAAAGTTGCTTTCGGAGGGAGAAAGCATTTCTTTTTCCCCCAAAAGATGGTAGAAAGGGGACGGTGCCGCTTTCTGCGTTTCTAACCGATGGAACTGGAAGTGGAACCTGAGCAGATTGAAGCCAGCGATGCCTCCGCTGCGCTGATAGAGCCGAACCGAACCGGCAGCGATTACGGGCCTGTAATTAAGGGTAACTATCGTACAAAATGGTTCTCGGATGCGACGGTGCACATCGCAGTGCATCGTTCGGTGCTCCAGTTTTCCTCAAATGTCAAGCGAGGGTCTCGAAATGGGAGCAGTGCCTGGGATGCACCTTTCGGCTGGAGATGGGTGTAGGAGGTGGAGATGGAGACCTTAAAAAGTAGGTTCCGAAAATAAACAAACAACCTGTCACCTGTCGTCGCTGTAAATCTGTTTTAAAGGAAAGATATACTCGTGCCATTGTTTTAAGTCTTTTGGATTGCTGTTAGTTTACTTTACAATATAAATTTAAAGCAAGTCATTAAAAATTGACCTATATGTTTAGTTTCTTTGGATTAGAAATGATCGTATTTAATTTGTTATAAAATGGAATAAATGCGATTAGGAGTATATCCATTAATTTAATTATATGTATTTATTTCTTTATTAGTATATCTGTTAAATAAATGTGTTAAAAAGTATTCAATTCGATTTTTGATAAACACTATTTATATTATTATTGATGCTATGACACTACAGTTTTAGTTTCATTCTTGAAAGACCCATGGGATCCAAGAGTTTTAATTAATACACATTAATTTCTAGAATTTATTACTTTTTCTTTATAGTATTTGCCATATTTTGGATTCAGTATTATTGTGGTTTTATCTTATAAAAAATACCTTAATAACCTGATATTAATGATTTATAGGATCGGAAATGACTCCTTCACATCGTTACAAGCTTCTGACTATAATTAGAACAACGTGCAAGGAAATAAAAACAATATAGAGTTATAACCCCCTTTCAAGAAGAAAGTTCTTAGAGTATCTTTAAATATATTAAAACGTAAAGATTCTTTGGGTTTTCCAAAGAAAGTATATTGCAAACCTTGTACCAAAACAGGCCCATATTTTTACCAAATTTCCCCCATGAAAAAAAAAAAGTGAAATCCCTGCCGTCATCCAGCTACTCTGCGGAGTTGTTGGCCCGGAAAGAGTGAGAGTGCGGTGGCCATAAACAAAGGTTAACCTCAGCTCCCCGCTCATTAAGTGTACAAGTGTCAATAAACCGTAGTTGGAGTCGTCAGCAGATACAACATATAACCCCATATCACACTTACACCATGTCCACACGTGAGGGGCCAGTTCCAATTCTAGTTCCACTTTGAGTTGGAGTCGTAGCTGCCGCTGACAATGGCTCATTACTTAATGGCCAAGAACAACAGAACGCGGCCAATTGACACCCGGGAAAAGAAGCCGCAGCAGAAGCTGTTAAGCTAATTGCCACGCCTTGCACCCACCACTTGACTATGTCAATGTGAAGCCACATAGCTCCGTGGCCAGTCCAAGTCCGTTCCATTGTCTCCGCAACCTGTTAGCAGCGGGTGGCATCAGCCCAGCAGGTGTCCTTAAAGTGCAACCTGCTTTAAGGCCTCTTCGATCCAGGGATTTCCCTCAGAGATATTTCCAAAAAACAAATCTCAGACTAATTTTGCCAAGGGAGATGTGAAGAAACCCCCAGTTAAAAGACACAGACTCATGACAATTTCCTGCCGTGTCTCGTCTCATTTCCTTATTCCGCAGAGCGACTACAGCGAGGCCAAGACGCACTTGGAGCAGCTGCAGCAGACGCTCACGCACCTGGATCACACCCACACTCATCCGCATCCGCATCCGCATCCGCATCATCATCATCCCCACCACGCCCACTTGGGGCTGTACCATGGAGCGCCCAACACATCGACGATAACCACCGACTCGGTGGTTTCCTGTGTCAGTTCCACGCTGCCGGCGGTGGCCAAGGCTATTTCCTCTTCCTGCGTCAATCTGGAGACGGAGCGCAAGAAGTCATGCCATGCCAGCGACCTGGATGCAGCCGGGCATGGTCTCATGGAGGCCATTTGCATTGGCCAGAAGACATCGCCGTTGCCAGTGGCAGTGGCACCGCCGCCTCCATGCTGCTTGACCCTGAGCGGTAGCTCCACGCCGCCGGCTCCCATAGCCACGGCGGCGCTGATGAATGCCTCGTCCGGATCCTCCAGCTCAAGCGGAGCAAGTGCCTCACTTTGCAATGGTTTGTATTTCTCAGATATTTATGAACATCATTTTTTTGGCTATCCTGTTATATAATTTTATCATTCTTTTGCATACAGATCTCACTAGGGAATCCTCTTGGTATGCCCATCATCATCATCATCACCACCATCATCATCATCAGCAATTGGCCGATGAATTGGTTATGTATGCCACGCCCACTCCTGCTCCGTCAATCGGAAAATTTGGACTGGACACTTCCACCGAGGGTTACCTGAACGCAAGGTACAATGGTAAGCGTCCTCGTCCACATCCACTTTTTGTCGTCATCGTCAATTCCGGATGCAGCCTCCATCTCCATGTCCTTGTCCTTCTCCTTCTCCTCCCCCTCTTCCTTCCTTTACTCTTCTCCTTTTTCTGGCCACCCCCGTTGTATCTACTTTCTGTTTGCTTTCGCTATTTACACGTTTGCTTGTTTATTAATTTTCCATTATGAGTTCAGAGAAGTGGGTGGGGTTTTGGGTATCATCAAACCAGGACTTGGTTTGGGTTTCTAGTTGGTCCTGGACTGTTCGCCCCTTGCAGCCTGGAGGCTTTGTTTTAGCTTGGAGCTTGTTTTTTAAGAGTTTTATTAAGAAAACATGACTGAAGATGGCGCGTGTCGCAGCCCAAGGGAAGTAAATAAAAATAGTTTGCAAAACATCTTTATATTAATCGGAAGAGCTTAATTACATGACGAAATATTATTTTAAAAATTACGAAAAGGATTTATATATCTAAAAACTCTGTTAAGAGATCAATCTATTGTCTAGCAGTTTCCTGTTTCCTTTCAACTAACTTTATCTTGGCTTCTTTAAATCAATCTCAATCTTTCAATCTCTTTCAATCTTTTAGTTATTTTTATATTTAAGCTTGATTTGTTAAAGAATTCTTTAATGGTTAGTCCCTGGGCTTTTGTAGTTATCTAGTCTTAAATGTTATCCGGTGGCATTCGATTATGGCCAAGTCAAGTGCATGTGACAAGCTCGATTTGTGCTCTCAAAGGCGGTGTCCTGGTGCGAACGTTTAATATAAAATATTATCTAACAAAAGTCGAGAGAAAGGGAGAGGGGTCGTGTGAGGAAGGGAACTAAAAGAAGTAACCAGGACTTTTTTCTACGCTTTTCCATTTCGGCAGTGAATGTCAAAGGCGTGCGCCATGAGAGAACATCCACTTTCTTCGACATACCCGCTGTGACGCACCCACACTCGCATCCGCATCCGCACCCGTACTGCTACAGGTAAGGATAAACCAGGAGCAGGGAGCTAGAAGCTGGGCCAGGATTGAACGCTGGATGCTGACAAGACAAGTCAACTTTAAGTCAATCAGCTAAACCGGCTTCTCCTGCTCCTCTTTGATTCACATTATGTGGTTTTAATATTTTGTGATTTATGCTCCAACCAGATTCCCATCATCGCCACCCGCGGGCATTCTGAAAAAGAGCGACGAAGGTGAGTCCTTATATAATTTTTAAGAAAAATGAAAAGTAAATTATTAAAGCCCATGGCAGGCCTTGTTCATCATTTATTCAAATTATGGCCCGCTATCGGGCAGTAACTCAATTTAGATGTGCCTTCTTCTTGGCAATATTTTTTCAAATAAAATGCAAGAAAGTGCGGGCTTAATTTACAATAACAATATCGCCGGTGTTAGTAACCGCTAATCCAATTGGCGGCACGAGCGTGGAATTCAATTTGGCGGCCCAGATCCGCGGGCTCTGTTAGCTTGCCGGCCTCCGGTGGGAGGAATCCGGAATCCAGTTCGTCGAACAAGCAGCTCAATCACGATAGTGCCGGGGTTGAGTGCCTTGTGTTAGCTATACCCAGGCCACCCCCCAATCCAACCCACCCCCACCATCTCATCCTACCGAGGATGATGCACTCTCACTCCCACACCCTCACCCACTCCCACTGGGCAGGGCCAACAGGTCTTCGCTTTTCCATCATTGTTGTTATCGGGAATGATGTTTTTACTTGTCGACACTTGCTCATGGATTATGCAAAGGTATCTCCTGAATTTTTAATGCGCCCAGCGTCGAGTCGCGATGAGGGCCACCAGAGGCAGTGGAGAAGGAGGAGGAGTAGCAACCTAATGAAAAGGACCAACTCCAGGCAGGGCTGGTGCCAAGGGGATGGTGCCGTTAAATTGCAGCATATTGAGCATTTTGCAGCCAGAGTGGCTGGAGTGGCAGGAGTGGGCGAGCGGGTTGCTTCAATAATTAATTGCTGCTAAATACCTTGGCCATTTACCAAAGCAAGAACAGCACAAACAAAGCAAAACAATGTAAAATCAAAAAGTTAATGTACTTAACGAAGCTAGAAATACCCTTAAATTGGAAATATAGGATAGGAAAAATGCGGAGATTTTAAAATATATACCAGGAAATGAGAAAAGCTAAGCAAATTGCACCAAATGATTGTTGCTCAACATGTTATTCTAGCAACATATATTTGTTCTGCAACAAAATCATATGCAATTCGTCTTGGTAAATATAAGTTTTCATACCAGTTTTACCAAAATTCCATTTTTTAAGAGAGCTCTTTATAAATTTTTAAATAGACACAACCCCATTCCAACAGAGTCATAGAACCCTGTCTCTCTTTCGGCAAAGGGTAACCAGAATAACCATGTAATTAGCGCCCATTCCCTCGATGACGAGACATTGCTCAAACGTGCATGAAAGCGGCTTTCATTTAGCTCCTGACTGGCTCCTGCTGACTCCTTTATCGCATCCTCCCTTTTTCCAGAGACGGCCACCGCAGCAGCAGCTGCTGCCGCCGCCGCTGCTGCTGCTGCTGCAGCAGCCTACTGCAGTGATGTCTCCTCCGGCCAGCACTTTCCGCACCACACGAAGATCGAACATGCGGATTCCACCACGACGGCAGCCCAGCAACAGCAGCAGCAACAACAGCAACAGCAGCAACAACAGCAGCAGCAGCAACAACAGCAACAGCAGCAGCAGCACCACCAGCAGCAGCAGCAACAGCTTCAACAGCAGCAACTGCAACATGCCGCTGCACTGCATCCCCATCACCATCACCATCATCCCGGACACCACCACCACCAGCAGGCAGCGGAGCAGCAGGCCGCCCACCTAACCCACCTGACACCGCTTCACGCCGCCTCCGCCTTTAAGTTTAGCCACACGGCGGTCATATCCAGCTCCGCGGTCTACGCCACGCCCTCGCACTACGCCCACCAACAACAGACACAGACGCAGTCTGTCTACCGAGAACTCTCGCCCAGCTCCGTGGCTGCGGCAGTGAGTGATCCGGATTTGAAATACGACAGCGGTCCCTACAATGCCACCATCTCATCCACCTATCCCACTGCACTGAGGCCCAATGTTGTGGACTCCACCACTTCCAGCGATGCAGAGCTGCGCCTGGATCAGTTTTATGCCAGCAATGGCATCTCCACCAGCAGCAATGGTCAGACGATCAGCCAAAGGAGAGGATCTTTGCAGCTATGGCAATTTCTGGTGGCCCTGCTGGATGAGCCCACAACCAGGTGCGTTCGAAGATATAATCATATTTTTCCCCTTCTAACTTTCAATGACAATCCTTCACCAGCGCCAGCTGCATTGCCTGGACTGGACGTGGCATGGAATTCAAGCTGATCGAACCGGAGGAGGTGGCCCGACGTTGGGGCCTCCAGAAAAACCGACCGGCCATGAACTACGACAAGTTGTCCCGCAGTCTCCGCTACTACTACGAGAAGGGCATCATGCAAAAGGTGAATGGTGAGCGGTATGTCTATCGCTTCGTTTGCGATCCGGATGCATTGTTTAACATGGCCTATGGCCACCTAACCACCGGATCCACTGGCGGCAAGGGTGACCAGCATCAGCATCAGCAGTTGACACTGTCACTGGCCAAGACCCCACCGACATCCAGTGACTCGCAGACGCATTCGCCGCGTGTGGCAAAGTCGGATTATTACGATACCGCTGGCTTGCATAAATATTAGCCACTCCAGCATACGTGTATGTATGGGTATTCATATGTGGGCGGAACGTGGGAATGCGGCCGAGTGGGCGTGGCCGGGTCCCCTGTACATTGTGTAATCTAGTTGCGTGTGTATGTTTGAATTTTGGGAACGAAGGTTTCGCCACGATGAGCTGCGTGAGCCTACATATTTATTGATTCCGAAGGCCGCCGTCGCCGCCGGGCTCATCAAAGCGGAATATATATGCATACACGTATGGTACTGTAAGATATTACATATATATAGACCACGCCTACATAAACATACATAAATCTGTGTATATATATTTACTTATATAAAGGGTTTTCCCGCGAAATCGCTATGGTATTCGAAATGAATACGAAAAGGTGTCCAAAAGTAGGCAATATTTTCTTTTGCATGGTTTTAGTCGCCATTTTGTGTGACTTCAACGCCATAGCGATTTCAATGGCGATTCCTGATAGAGGAGAACAAAAGAACAGTGTCTCCCACTAATCGTAGTCTGCGTTGAGGTTGAATTACTTAAATAAACTATTAAGCCCCCGATTCCGTTTTCAAATCCCATACAATTAAGATGCTTGAAAAGATTTGAAAGATTTTGGAAAACTTACAAGCCAAATTGGATGGGTTTCGAAAACGAAAACCGGAGCATATGAAACGTTTCTGTTCGTTAAACTGGCAGCTGTGTGTGTTTCATTCATCCTTCTTCTTCTTTTTCTTGGGCTTATCATCCTGGTCGGAGTCCTGGCTGCTGCTGCTCGAATCATTGGCACTGCTGCTGCTTTCCTGCTTCCGCTTCTCAGGTGTCTTCTTGGCCAGCTTTTCGATATACTGCTTGAGCTTGTCCGGCTGCGGGCTATAGGCCCAGTGGATAAGCTGCGAGTGCAGATCGGTGGGTGCTCCGGTCTCCGCATCGAAGAGTTTGGCCTCCTCGCTCTTGATCTGCTCCAGCAGCTTGGCTAGCTGCCGATTGCGGACAATGTCCCAGCTGGTGCTCTCATCCTCCTTAGGGAACATGGTGCGCAGGTGCTTGTAGTTGCCCTTGGCCTTTGAGCCGCCGTAGGCCTCAAGGAACTCCTTAGCCAGTGAGTCGTCCTTGGGTTCCGGCAGCTTGGTTATAACTGTCACGGGCAAGTAGGCACGATTATATTTGATACGGTTCTCGGACTCAAATTTCTCAAGGAAATCCTCCAACAACTGCACGGCCTCCTTAATGGCATTGATCTTGTCCTCATTCTTGGTACCAGACAGGACTCTCTTAGAACTGCCAATGAGCCCCTTGATGGCCAGCCTCTGGTAGTCCGGATCGCGTTCTGCCAAGATGCTGCAAATGCGACGAGATGCATATATATATTTAGTATATAAATATTTTGGATACAGACGGCTGAGGAATGTGCGGATGATATAAACAAGTATGTAAATATTAGGGTGAACCGGTGGAGTGATAAATAATACAAGGAATAATGATGCTTTTAGTATTATTTTTGAGAACTATTCGAAGAATGTGAATGATGTCTTTAGCTTTATATATATTAAACTATTTTCATGTGTCTACTTTTAGATATATTGGCGAATTTCATATAATTAGTATTCGTACATTCCCAAAGTTTAATATTTAACAAGATCGTTTAAGTTATTAAGTATTACTTTATGATAAAGACATCAATACATGACGTAGTGCCCTAAAAATTGATTGAGCTTTGGCATTATTATAAATCAATCCACCCTACTATATAACATATATCTATACACACTCGTTCACACACACACAACTCTCGGAGAGCACGACACACTCGCTCTATCAACTAATGAGACTTCCGAGTTCGACACTCTAAAACTGTGCCATGACATCATTTGACGCCGTCGCTGGCCGCCTGGTCTGAAGGTCTCCCTCCGGCCCATTAGCATGCCCGCTAGGATGACCTGGTCTCGCTTACCTCAGCGTCGCCTCCGCAGCTGCCTTGTCTTTGAATCCCAAACCGGGCACTGTCTCCACCTTGTCCTCAGTGTCGGTCTTGGCATTCTTATTGGAAGCTCCGCCACCGTTCTCCTCCAGCCATTTCTCAAAGACACCGATAGCTTCATTGATATTCTTCAGCTTCTCCTCCGCCTTGGTCACTGCAAAGATAATTTGAAGATAATGCTTAGGAACTACTGATGAAATCCTGGCCAGAAATCCTTACTGGATAGCACCCGCTTGGCTCTGCCCAACAGGCCGCGCACCGTGAGCTTGCGATATTGCATGTCATGGCTCTCCAGCAGCTTCAGCGTCTCCAACGCCTTCTCCATATCCTTGAAACCGAACTTGGACTCTCCCTCCGACATTGTTGCTCCTTTGGTTGATATAATACTTGGTTATCTTCCTCTGATGGATAAATAGCGACCGCTGTGTGCGAGCGCCAGAATACAACTGAATTTTGGTAGCCGGATTTTTAGACTCGATGGCAAGCGGTAGTCGCCTTCGCTAGAGGGAACCCGAAAAGAGCGCCACTGAGCGGCAGTGAGCACGAGTGAGCAGGCCCAATTAGATAAGCACCACAAAATAACTGGGTGACGACGATGACTCTATGGAAGAACCGGTTTGTTGTCGTAGCTGCAGAGCAAAACAAAACTCACGAAAAATAATTCCGAACCAAAATCCGACCTAGCGTTGCCATGACGTCACCGCGAGCATGATAACAAACAACATATGGGAACACAGGGGCGGTTGCATGATATTCACGGGTGAGAAATGATCACCAACTAAGAACTTTGATTAGATATTATAAATTTAATATTAATATTATTTAATTTAATCCCAACTTTATCAATACAAAGCTCACTCAGTTATTAGTTGATTCAGTTTATATTTTCACATCGAACTCGGAACGCTTTGGGCTTAGAAGAGGATTTCGAAGATTACGTTTGGCTAGTTACAGCTGCGGCGTATTTGCAAAACATCATCGAGCATAAAGTTACGCAGGTGGCACAGAGCCTGCACTACATTCTCCTGATCACGCAGATTGGGTCCAATCCAGTGCTCGGGCAGTGGCGCCTTGGCCACCACTTGCGCCGGCGTGACATGGGTCATGGCCCGGCGCCAGTTGTTCTGGCAGGTGGCCACGTTGAGGTGACTGCCGGTCTGCAAGCTCTCAATGTACTTGATGTACGCCTCCGAGTGGATGACGCGAGTAGTGCGCGGTGGCACGGTGACGAACAGGGGCTCTGGCGGCGGCCCCAGAACGATAGTCTGTTGCTGCGGATGCTGTTGCATGAGCTGCTGCTGTTGGTGGTGTTGCTGCTGATGTTGGAGATGCATGGATGCGTCATGGTTGTTGGGTCCACGCGGTGATTGCGAGTTGTTAGACGGTATGGACACTGTGGTGGCCAGTGTTGCATTCTTGTTGCGCCGCGACACAAAGTTTTTGCTGCGCTCACCCGCGGACAAATGCTTGCCGCACTTACTCAAATGAACCTCGCGCACATGCTTGATGAGTCTTAGGACATTGGGGAAGGCCTGTGTGGACTTCTTGATACGCGGACAGTTGCGCCACAGACACACGTACTCCATCTCCACGCCCGCTTGCGGATGCCGCTGTATGTGCCCACTAGCATCGGACATGCAATGTTCGGTGCAGTCGCCCAACTCCTCAAACTGATAATCGCACTTGTCCCACTGGCACTCAAAGATCAGGCCTTGTCCATCCTGCGACACTTGGGGCGAGGGACTAGCGCTGTTCTGAGCGTCATCCAACTCACGACGCATGGCCGCCGTCTCCTCGTTCTGCCTGCTGGCGCGGTCCTCCCAGCTCTGCTTGGCGCTGGAGGGGAGATTCTTCCACTCCGTGCCCACCATGCGGGATATGTCTCCGAAGGTGGCGTCCGGATTGCTCTGGCAAATGCCTAAAATTAAGAAAATACAATGTAGATATGACCTTGTGTTGTTCAGATTAATAGGAATTACTTTTTCGAACTTCACTCGAGTAGAGAATGTAGCCGGTGAGGCATTTTTTGGCCGACTTGGCAGCCTTTATCTTGGAGGTTAGTGGTGTTGAGTTCACCGAGGGAGCCGGAGAGGACATGGCTGCAATATCCGAGCTCAGCGAGGGCGTGTCCCCGTCCATTGAGTCCTCCAGCATGCCCAGCTCATTGATCTCGTTCTTCACGTCCTTGGCTGGCTTGATGGGAGTCTTGAAGTAGAAGATCTCGTCCTCGGTGACAGCTGGACTGTGCTGGAACTTGCGCATGTTACCGGCAACCAGCTTACGAATTGCCTTTTTCAGCTCATCGTAGACGGACTCGCAGATGTAGACATCACTCTCGGATATCTCCGTGGGCCGTGAGTTGATAAATTCGGCGTACTCTAGGACGGCACAACGTCCGACGATACCCACCACAGGACTGACCTCCTCGACGGTGCTCAGGAGCAGCTCCTGGCGGAAGAACTGCTTGCCCAAGCCTGGAGTCGTCTCGTTCGGTGGCAGCAGCCACGGACCCTTGAAGTAGGACTTGCCGTTCTGTTCCCATATCTGCTGCACCTGGGCCACCGACTGCTTGCCGGTTTGGGTGGCCACATACACAAAGTCACCCGTCTTGATGGCTCCGCTGCAGACGGTGTTGTACTGCTGATAGTAAACGCTGCTGTCCTCGGCATTCGGCGGCGGGTCGCAGGAGACATTTGGCTTCTCCTTCTCGACCAACGTTTCCTGCAACTTGAGCTCCTCCAGCTCACCCTTGTGCTTCTCGAGGCGCTCCTTGAACACGGACATTACACGCTTCAGCTCCAGTGGCTGCTCGCGCGGCACGAATTTTATGGAACTGCCCTCGCGCATCGGCGGCCAGCTCTTGAGCTTCTTGAACCATCGTCCCTGGATGTTGTAGCGTGACTCGCAGACGTACACATCCTTCTCGGGCAGCTTCTCGGGGCGCATCTTGATGTAGTCCTTAATATTCATCACGTAGCACATACCCAACACCTTGTCCATTGAAATGGTCTGCGAGATGCTGCTTTTGAACACCTCCTTCTCGAGGAACTTGCGTGTGGTCACGTGGTAGGTCTCGTGTGGCCGCACAAAGATCGAGGCTTGCATTAGCTTCTCGTTGGTGGGTGATGTCCACAGCCGCTCGATGCTGGCTATTGAAGGGATCTTGTTCTCTGGCATCTGCACGTAGACGTAGTCGCCGGGGAGTACACCTGCTGGTTGATTGTCATGCTTTCGCCCTTGGCACCGTTAAACTCGTCCTTCTCCTTATCTTGCTCCTGATCCTGTTCCTCTTGCTGAGCCTTTTGCTGGCGGCTAACCTCCACATCGGCCAGGAGACGTTCAAGCGTGAAACTTAAAGCGGGAGAGCTAAGGGTGTCCTTGCAAATCTCGTCCCTCTTGCGGATAAAGTATGTTTGCAGCTCAATGGAGTCCTGAAATATGTCCGAATCTGTGCGGGACAGTTTCCGTGCTCTCTCCAAGCAGGCAAAGATATCCTCTTGATAGATGTCCAGTCGCTTGTAAGCACCCTTGTCCAGCCTACGCTTGATCAGATCCAGCGATATGCCACGCACCTTCTGACCCTCGCCTAGCTCATCGTACTCGGGCAGCTCGGCCAGGGAATCGGAGTAGCAGCGTCCCTCCTCATCCTGGTGATTGTACAGAGTTGTAAACAGCGTTAGGAAAAGTTCCTGAACGGCCAGAGGAACATCTGGCAGCGAGTCCCGCTCTATACGCAGCTGCTGCTTCAACTGTAGTGTCAACTGTTGCAGCACCAGAGCGTCCTTGTAGATTTGCGAATCGGGCTCGTTGTATTTGCAGGCATTCTCCAGCATTAGCAGAAAGTCCGCCGCCAACTCGTCCAGGCTCTCGTAGGCGCCCTGCTTCAACTTCTGGGCAATGCGCTCCATGTCGATGGGCTCCTTGATGATGTCGTAGTAGTCCGGATACTCGCTCTTCGATGGCAGCTTAGTGAAGATGAGGGATAGCTGCCGCTTGCCCTTGGGCTCCTGATACTCACGCACTGTTTCATAGAACTGCCACAGGCGGTCAGAGATTAGAGCGATCTTTGGCTTCCTTCCCACCTTGCTGTACTTTTGTAGGGGCTTCTTCACCTCCACTAGGCCTGGGAACTCCTTCAGCTTGTCGTTCAATGCCCGCTCCAGGGTGTTGGCATCCTCATAGATATTCGAACCCTCTTCGTTGTACTGCCGGCAATTGGAGAACATGAGCCGGTAATCAGACACTACGTCCTCCACGGTGGCATAGCGATCGGTACGGATGTTGTGCTCGATTGTGTTCATGTCGATGGGATTCTGGATGATGTCGTAGTAGTCCGGGTACACCTTCCTTGGTGGCTTCTCCATAAACATCTCGATGGGCCGACGATTGCCCACCGAGTAGTCCACTAGGTATTTCTGTATGCTTAGGATCTTTTTCTTAATTGCCGCATTGATGGCAATCCGATTTGATTTGGGAGAATTCGAGTTGTTCGGTGTGTGAGAGGCATTCGAGTTGGAGTTCACGCGCGGTCTGCCCGGCTTGCGACGCTCAGGCTGCGAGGTGACCGCAAATACCTCAGAGTCCGCATCGTCTGCCTCATCCTCTTCCATGTCACTGGTCTCCTCCAGTGATTCCTCAACCAGTTTTGCATTCATCAGCCGTAGCATCTTGAGGGCATCCTTGTGGGTGCGGTGGCTGGCCGGGAACGCCTTCTTGGCGTTGTCCAGCATGAGATACAGATCGGCGGTGAGATCACTGATGTTCGCATAGTCGCCCTTCTTCAACTTGGTGTGGATCTGGCTCATCGATATGGGTCGTTTGATAAGCTCAAAGTACTCGGGATGGAAGCGACGCACTGGCAGCTTCCAAAGTGAGTTACCGAGCGGAGGCCCCGTTACTCCCGGGTGCTCTGACGTTCCCGGGGCGTTGTAAAGATGATCGAAGAGCGCCCACATGGGTCCCTCGCCCTTTTTGCTTGTCTCCTCGTCGTCCGTGCTGTCCACTTCTTCTTTTAGAGCTGGATAATGGGGAATAAAAAGATAAGTTATGAATAATAAAGCTGTAAAAGCAAAATTCAGGACAGGATCCTTACCAGCTATGGCCGCACTGGATAGGCTCTTGACCCGTTTGGCCAGCTTGCCCTTGCCCGTCTCCATCTCGATACGCCTCTGCGTAAAGATGCGTTTCAGGGCCTTGGCATCTTTGTAGATCTGCGAACCGGGCTCATTGAACAGGCACGCATTCTTAGTCATCTGCAGTAGATCCCGCTCCATCTCCATCAGCGACGAGTAAGCGTTCATCTGAATCTTGGTGGCAATCAGGCGTAGGTCAATGGGATGCTCGATCACGTCATAGTAGTCGGGGTAAATCTTCTTTGAGGGCAGCAGCTGAAACATTCGGTGCATAGCCCGGTCGTTCACTGGATCGGTGGCGGTCATTATGCTGGCAAAGAGCTCCTCGTACTGGTTGTACTCGTCATCCCCCGCTGCCGCCGTGTCACCACCAGGCTCCGTGCTGCTGGTCATTCGTCGCACCTGCCGCGACATACGCCTAGCGCGTGGCTCTTCCTCCGCCAAGCCATTGGCCTCGAGAATACGCTGCCGCTGCGTCTGGATGTGGTGCCACAGCGAGACGGCGTCCTGGTACTCGCAGCTGTCTGGCTTGTAAAAGGCCTTCGCGTTTCCAATAAGGAGCTCCAGGTCAGCCATCAGATCGTCCAAATCGTCGTAAGAGTCCGTCTTTAGCTTCTGCTGCACCTTGAGCAGGTCAATGGGATTGACCACTACGTCGTAGTAGGAGGGCTCCTGGCGGCGCTTAGGCGCCCGGATGAACGTGTCGCACAGCATGGAGCCATCCTCCTTCTTTATGTTCCGTATTGAGTCGTACAACTGCTGGCACAGCTCCGTGGGATCCAAGCGGCGCTTTTTTCGCGCCGATTGTGTCGTCGCCTGCTGCACCGGCGACTGTTCCGGCGTCGAGTCGTCCAGCTGCAGCGGATCCTCGTCCTGCCGGCTGGATATGCTGCTGGCCCGACGCTTCCGGCTCAACATCGTGGAATTGCTTTGTTTTAACCAATTAAAAACGTAAAAACTTGACAATTAGACGCCACCGCACAAAAAATTAGAGATGCAAAAACTGCCATGAAAACATCGATGCATCGATTTCAAAATCATCGATATTTTATTGACAATCGATGGTTCTGTACCGTCGCTATCGTTAGAAAAAACAAAGGAAGGGTACATAAATAATTTCAATAATTTCAAAATTATTATTTAAATTTTTTTGTAATCATCTAGCTCTTATAAAATAATTAGACCCGGTGGTGTGTTTCCAAAAAAGCCTTTTTTAATTATTTGCTCTATAACGCCCCCTTGATTTCAAAGTTGAAAGCTGCGTCACGATATAACAGACATATTGTAGAAACTACAAGTACAACTTTTTTACATTGTAAGAAAGGAGAACTTATTGGATCTTCGGCACGCCGATTTTTGTGTACCCTTGCATATTGCAATTCGATCGTTAATAATTAATATAATATATATTATATATAAATATATATATTTTGTGTTTAAAAACTACGAAGTAATTCCTACTTTCGTTACAGTCATCTATACATATTATAAACACTGTTTTACAGTTAAAGTTTACATTCACAGTTTGGCATTTTTCTTTATATTTAATGATAGTTTGGTAGCTATATTATATAGTTTGCAGATCTTTATAAAATTAAATCCGAATTTGTAGAATATAAAATGGCTATATCTATATTTGATAAAAATAAATGTTAAAAACTGAAAAAGTTATAATTTTTAATTGTATTAATTTCTCGATCATTCCTATGTAAACTATATGAAAATAGTCCGATTTTCATAAAATTTAAAGCAAAGTTATAGAATAATACAACATGTCTATATATTAAATTTGATTTGATGAAAATCTGTCGAAAACTGGAAAAGTTATAGTTATATAGTTATAGTTATCTATAGTTATAGTTATATTTTAGCAGCTATATGATATAGTCGTCCGATTCTCATAAAATTAAAACCGAAATTCTAGAATAATATAAGATTACTACATACCAAATTTGATAAAAATATTTTAAAAAGTGAAAAAGTTATAATTTTTAATTTTATTAATTTCTCGATCGTTCCTATTTAAACTATATGATTTAGTAGTCCGATTTTCATAAAATTTAAAACAAAGTTCTAGAATAATACAAAATAGCTATATTTCAAATTTGATAAAAATCGATTGAAAACTGGAAAAGTTAAATTTTTTTCTTATAATTTTACGATCGTTCTTACAGTTTCTATAAAATATAGTAACCCGATTTTGATATTAAAAACGAAATTCTAAAAATATATAAAATAGTTATATCCAAAATTTAATAAAAATCTGTTGAAAACTGGAAACGTTAAAATATCATTGTCTACAAATTTGCCTTATTTGGCTAGTGTGCAAGGGTATAATCCTGATTTAAAGAAATGTAGATATGTTTTATTTCAATTTTGTATAAATTGGAATTTTAAAAGGTGGGGTAAGCATTTTTATGTATAACTTGCATATATTATGTTAAGAAGCAGATTAAAAATATAATTAAAATCTTTCCATTAATTGTTTTTTGGATTCATTAATTATTAAATTAAATCACAGCATTGACATAGGAAACTCATAGGTACACCATCTCAGCGGAGGCTATCAAGCCAATAAAAACAGCGAAGTAAGCCTGAAATAAAAGTTTAAAGAAAACCCTCTTTAAAACAAAACTTACAATTCAAAAAGCAGAATTAATAAAGCAATGGACATGCCGATTAAATTAGTAAAATGTTTTGTTTATTATTATTATATTTATCACATACGTTTTAGACGCTTGTAAGTGTGTGATTGGGTGAATATTGGTTACAGAACTGAGTATGCGGTAAAATGAAATGAAGGCGCCTTCTCATTCAGTGCGCGCTACTAAAGGAACATTGTTAGTATCTTAAATAAAATAGCTCACAGATACATGGATGTATATATAAATAGCGAAAGACACATGTACGAAATGGAAATAACACTTGACTCTGTGACCAACAAGATGATTCGAAGTACACGATAATATCTCTTACATCTAGTCTGCGAACGCTTGCCCTGCTTTTGCTAAATGTTGCACTACTATGTTCTCAATTTACGTTCAAGAGATTGATCTGTGAATACATATCCTGGGTACAGCGATATGCGGGTGTGTGTGTGTGTAGAATACAACAGTTTAGCACAACAGCAAGGAACGCACAATTTAAATATCAAATATCAGTATCAGTTCTGCACAACTACACGTGATCATATAACATATGTAAAGGTATATTATATAGTTCCAGCTGGCCGTTTTCTATTACTCGCCTACTCCTTAACAGTTCATTTCGTTTGCCTTGCGACTAGCGGTGGTATTGCGACTGCGCTTACGACTAAGATTACTATAATTAGCGTAGAAACTAATTAGGCTCTTCAGCGGCGACTCGACAAGGCGTCTCATCAGATGACTGGCGTACGGAGACGCATTGTCGCGTCGCTTGCGCCAATATCAGTTGATGAAGCTCATGTAGTTAGTAAAGAGCACATAGTTCTCCACTAACCGCGCTCGCAGCTCTCGGCGCACTGTGGCCGTGAATTTGTTGGCCAGGCACAGAGCCGTGGTGGTGCCAAAGACCAGGTTGTAGAGCAGCACAATCTGGAAGTTGCCCAGCCACTCGATGGCCCCGAAGTCGCCCAGCAGGTCAAAGTTGGTGATGCCTAAGGGAAAGAGAAAATCAAATCAATATTTGTCCTAAAATAATTAAGGTAATTACTACGGCTTACCTATAATCCTGCTGAGAAGGGGCAGCGCCGAGGACAGAACCAGCATGAAGCCACAGTTAAGCATCAGTTGCGGCAGCGACGTCTGGCGCCGCTTGGGGCGAACATTTCGCATAAAGGGCATGCTGTAGAAGCCCACCACGGAAGTGGCACCTAGGTAGAAGATGAGACACACCTCGAGACCGGCGCCAAAAGGTCCCAGTTTCGACAGCGATGAAATGCCCAGAGTGAATTGCTATAAAAAAGAACACATTAAATGATGTTAATATATTCTGTTTACTATTTCAGAACAAACGGAAGGAATATAACTTACCCTCGTGCTTAGAGGCAGCGCTTTAATGCCTATTAGTAACTCCAGCGTATTCTGAACCACGAGAAGAATAGTGACTCCCGTACAGAAAAGCAGCAATAGCATTGCCAATGGGTAGACGAAGGTGCGCTGGAAGGTGCTCGATTTACGCAACTTGTCCAACTCCTTTCGCTCGGAGTCCAGTTCCCTCAGTCTTTCGTTAAGCAAATGCTCCTGCTCGGCTGCATCGCTGGCCATTGGCTTGCGTTGGTAGAGATGGGCCAGAGACTGCTGCAACAGCGGCTGATGGGCGAAGGATCGAGTCAGCCCAAGACCCAATCCGTTGCCCAAGCGACCGCCGTTGGCCGTGTCCGAGATGCTCACATTTTGCAGCTCAATATGAGCCAGCTTTCGCTTGACGCTCGCCTCCTCCATATAGAAGGCGCTGAACTCTTCGTTGACGTCGCGAAGGAGCATGGGTCGCACCAGGACATTGTTAACAACGCCAAACAGACGCACAAACCCATAGGGGGTGCAAACTGCAAGTAAACAAACCGGATTGTTATGGTTACTGAGCTAGGAAACGCTGGTTGTTTATAAAATTCTCTAAACCTTAAACAGGCTGTGAAATTAATGTAAACCTTATAGCGTTGCTTTTCCTTCTGTGTCATTACATAAGTTGGTTTCAAATCCAGCAATTCTAGAACTCTCTGTCTGCTCTGAACAGTTAAACTTACAAATACTTCTAAACAATCTTTGGAAATCCCATAACCCCTAAAATGGCGACCGAGGAAGATAAAAGCATTGACAAACTTAAGGCAACTATGGTCAACTGCAATTTGGATGCCAAGGATGCAGATGATTTTGCTGAATTCGAGGCCACTCTTTCCAAGATCGATGATATATTGAAAAACGGTGCAAAGGACGATGATGAGCCAGACGCAGATGGAAAGGTAAAGGAGAAGATCAACTTTGATACTATAGATGTGGACAAGGTAAAAGTCAAGGTGCGCGAGAATCGCACGGTGATCAATCGGAAAAGTATGCAGGAGGACCAAGACAATCGGGCCAAGACAATGGACCAGCAGACCTTCATGGAGCAGGTGGAGAGGGATGCCAATGAGCGTGCCCAGACGCGGGCCAATAACGAATACGAAGCTGAGATACAAAGAAAGTAAGATGGGAATACCTAATGCTTAACATATGTATATAAAATAATTTTTAGCCAGGGAAACGAAGCCTTTCGCAACGAAAAGTACGAGAAGGCAATTCTACACTATGGCAAGGCCATCGTTAAGATCAAGGATAGTGCCATTACCTACAATAATCGCGCTTTGTGCTATATAAAGTGAGTTATTAAACAAAATCACAATCAACAACGATTAACCTATTGTTACTTAGGCTTCGCAACTATAAACGTGCTTTGATGGACTGCCAGTATGTCATCGAGAAGTTGCAGGAGACTAATCTGCGCGCCTGGCTCTACCAGGCCACTGTCTACAAGCGCTTGAAGAACACCGAGAAGTTCGAGGAGAGCGTGGCCAAGGCCCGCGAACATAATCCCAAACAACTGGCCTATATCGACAAGTACATCAAGCAGTTGGAATCCGAAGAGTAAATCTCTCCAATTAATTGAATCTATTATTAGTTAGTAATACTCACTCAGCATAAGCATCACGCCCAGAAACGAAACACACGAATAAAGGAACGGCAGGTGAACACTGCCCAAATCTGTGAAGCGTGAAGAAACGGAAATTAGCAATGCATTGTGCACTTGGTCGGCGTGTGGAACCGATCCCATAACTGGGGATGGGGTAGTCTGGGATGGGCATGTCACGGGCACGGAAAAGCGCATCTCAATTGACATTGAGAATTATCTCTTCCGTTACCGGGGCAATAGCCATATACTCACTTAGAAACCAAAAGAATTGAAACTTTTCAATGCCAAATACAGCGCTTAAGACCGCAGTTAGTACTAGGACAATGACGGCCATCAGCATAAATACTGTAAAGGTCTCGTATACGCGCGGCAGAATGCCCTTCCTGTGGCCCACGAATCCCGTGGATTCCGAGAATAGATACACGAACGGTAGGAAGATGAACAATGACAGATTGGAGAACAGAAAGACATGGTTCCAAAGGCCTGCAAAAAGACAAATCAATATATATGTTAAGGTATTAAAGCCTCTCAGTTTAGCACTCACCCTGTATGAGGGAGCTGTTGAGCCACTTCACATAGTAGCTGTTGGGATAGAGTAGCAGCACCTCGTTGCTGGCTATCGACACGGGCAGTAGCATGGCGGCACCTTCAGCCACAGCCAGGGTAAAGGTGCAGAGCCAAAAGCTGGGTGGGGGAAATATACGGAGGAAAAACAATTCATTAGTGACATGAGCGAATGCGAATGCGAAACCGAATGCAACTCAAATGAGTTGGCAATTAGTGGAGCAGACATTCAGGTTATTGACTCTGCTTTTGACCACTGGATAGATGCCTTACCTTATGCGATAGACCAGCACCTCGTCCTCGTCGTTCGAATACAGATCATCACGATCGCGTCGCCGAAAACGTGAGACAACGACATACGAGCTAAAGTACAGCAAGATGACTAGTAGCAGGAATATCTAAAAATATAAGATAGAACCACTAAAGTGAGTAAAAAAATAATCTTTAATTTAAGAGTGGTTTTATATCGAAGTTATCTTTAAGCGAGAGATGAACACCTGTACTTTAAACTTTAAGCGTCATATCCAAGTCTATTACCACCTGCCTCTCTAGTCGCTATATTATCTATAGGTACCTTGAGCTAATGACGTTGAAGCATAAGTAAATATAGAAGTCGACGTATTTCTTTTTTCTTCATTTAAATGCTCATTGTTTTTTATTCCCAAGATGTTTGTCTTTGCACCTGCAAGACATTTTATTTTATTTTTGGTTTCATAACACATTTCCTCACACATTTACTTATTTAAAAACAAAATTTCTAAAGTAAACACAGACACCCACGCATTTCTTTTGTTTCTAATACATATTTAATGTTGTTATTTGGCTTTCCGTCCCAAAAACATTTGCTAGCGGGTAAATATAGGTCTGGGGGGAAATCTATATTCATGTACACAAGTGAATAGATTAATTGTTGATTCGGAATAGATCTTTATAAATTTGTGTGAATCAGTAAGACGATGTCAAAGTCTGAGGTTGAAGGATTTCAAGTGTTTCCAAGGCCTTATCACTGAATATATATTGGCACAATGAGTTGAAATTTTGGTACTTGAACTCTTTGCTAAAATAAGTATTCAATTTCCGGTTGACTGACGTTTAGAAATGGGTTTTAATTGGTTCTTAGACCCGCAAGAATACAAATTGTATATGGATTACAAGCTCCATATCAACCATAAACAAACCAGCAATTGATGATTAATTATGACCGCCAATTAAATCCATATAGTTACGTTTTCGGCTACGTGCAAAGGTCACAAAAGAAAGCTTATCAGTGACCAACAACAGAAGTGGCTGCATTTGATAACGACTAGACCGATTACGGTCGTATAAAGCCCCTTGAATGTCAGCACTTCAAACATTATGTGATTATCCCAGACTTTCCATTTTTGGTTAAATATTGTTTGAAATTCGAATCTAAAGCTGGCATCAGAGATTTTCCAAACCACAGACTAGACAGGCATGATTTGTTTATGTTTTTATGACCACAAAATAGATGCCAATCACTTTGGCTTTGGCACACGTCATATTTGCGCTATTGTTGGCTTTGGGGAGAAGCGAAAACAAAACAAAATTTAATAGATAGTCGCCACACAAATGCCTAGGCACGTAAATAAATCATTAACAAAGATACTTTTCATGTTCTCCTCCTCTCTGGCTAGAAAAATTCGCCGAGTGAGAGCAAAAAAACAATTAATTTATACTCGCATTGTTTAGTGAGTTCTTTGTTTGTTATTCGAGACATTCGCACTGGTATCGGTTGGATACTTTTGAATATATCTGTGCCAATGCGTTGTAGAATAGCTGATTCCAATTAACTTTTGATGGCCCAAAGAGAGCCACGTTCTGTCTGATCAATTAAGTCAAATTATCTTCAATTATTCGCGGCATTTCTTTTATTTTATGCACTAAAATCTATCATCAAACCTTATATAGAGTGTGGAGTGGCCTTCTAAGAGCTCCAGATATATCGTTTTTCGTAAGGTCAAATATTTAAACAGTTTTCTTTACCAGCCAGAAATGTATTTCAACCAAAAATGTGGGCAAATATTAAAAAATTAAATAAAGAGACGCAAATCGCTTGCTATCAACAGTTTGCGTTGTTTATTTATAGAACCCGAGTGTAGATCATGGAAAAATGTCGATACTATGCGTGCCGAAACTATAAGGCGATATTAATTAAGTTTTTATACCTATGGGGTTATACATTAATCTGGATAAATAAAGTTGATCAATTTTCATTGTTATAAAATCAATTTTGCATATAGAAAATATAAAGAACTTGTTTTCTTTATCGGCTTAAGGAAGTATTTTTTATTTAGGAGCTTCTAAAATACTATCTCAATTAAATGAAGTATATTTATATATTTTTTAACATGACAATTTTTGTCAACACTTCAAAGTTAAAAAATCTCATAACTAAGAAAAAAAAAGCATTAATTTTAATTCGGAAAGTGGTCCTATGTTAGTTTTTGTTAAGTTAATAAATCTACATACATCTAGTTTAAATTTTAAAAATATTATCATTTTTGTAAATTTTTGACAATTTTAACGATGTAACCCCTTATAAAATTTTGAAAAAATTTGACATTTTTTTGTCGCCCTAAGATGACTAGATCTATCCTGTTGATGCTGATCAAGAATATATATGATTTATAGGGTCGGAAATGATTCCTTCACATCGTTACAAACCTCTGACTGAAAGTCTAATACCCCGCAAAAGGAGAAAGAGGAGAAAATGTAGAAAAAGATATGAACTTTTTTTATTACTAAGAAATCTATGATTGGAGTAATATGAGAACTTCCTTAACTAAACTATCTATCAGCTATGAAACGCACTGTTTTTTCTAGGCGTGACGTGTTGAACTTGGAACACGTAGGCGACAAATACCGAGTGATACGCGCATCGTTGCTATAAATGAAATTCCCGTACATGAGCAGAGGCATTCCCCTGAATGAAATCCAACTGAGCCTGATCTTCTTCAAGCTTAGTTTGCAACTTATCGGCCAGAGCAACGTGCAAGTGTCACGGTGCAACAAACTGCGTTTATCACGCTCCAAGAGATTCGGATTTGGCCAAACGCAACGTTTTCCTAGACTCCAAATGGGTTGCAGTGCGCCACCGATCGTAGGCGAGCTGCGAGTCAATGACTTGACATGAACTCGAGGGGGAAAACGCAAAACACGCCCATTAAAATGTGGACACGCCGCCTTGGTTAAAAATAGCAGCGACGCCCAAACTGCAGCCAGAAGCAGGCGAAGACGGCGACATAATGGCCAAAAGGAGGCGACAGCGGAGGCGGAGATGTTTGGAGGTAGTATTGCCTATTGCTTGCCAGACGGGTTTTTCGTCCCGTCTCGCTGACAACTTAGCCGGTGAATGGGCTACAAAATATTTATACTTTTTCTATACCCAATAGTTGTAGCCAACAAGGGTATATTGTACATGCTGCAAACTAACTTATTGATGAAGCCATCGATTTGACCCATAAATACTAGGGGGAAAACTGTTAAAGTTGCTGTTGAAAGGTTTCAATAAGTTAGTTGACCTGTCTTATTGGCACAGAATAAAGGTTCTTTCTTTTTGTAAGGAAAATTAAAATATAGGTCAGATAGTTCCTTTACTAAACATCATTGTATCCCAAAATATAGCCCCAGACTATAAACAATTTATATTTAACTTAAAATAGCCAGAACAATAAACTTTAAACTCGGATTTTATGTCCACATGTGTGTCGAGTTACAGACACGAGTGGTCTCCATTGTTTTAATTACTCTAAGTGAAATGTGTTTTTAAAAGAAAGCCTTGGGAAATAGGCAAACTTTGTATCGTATAACATTGGCTTTTGCTTTATTCTTTTTGTAAAACGCATTCTCAGAAGCTGTTTATTTTATCTAGAAACATACAAAAAGTCATCAGAGAGTTTTCTTATCAGGGTAAGTAACTGCAGTAGTTACAAAATGAGTAAGAACATAATAATGTTACCCAACCAGTTTCCATTTCCCTCGTTCCCTTTAAAGCCGCAGTCTCGCACCACAGGAATTAGTGCTTTTAATTCGCAATTTTGGCTTTAGATTCCTGCATTATTTATGAGAAATTCGGCATGTTTACATTTGATTTGAAGCACCACGTCACGTTCATATGTATGCGCGGGGGCCTGACCCACATTCGTTGGAGAATTATTTAATTTTCGGCTATGGACGATGCACCCAAAGCGCTGACAAAACCAGTTTCCATTTCCTGGAGCAGCCAGAACCAGCTCAACAATTCTAAAATTCCATGGACAGGGTTTATAAATAAACAGATGTGTATTTTTAAAAGAAATACTCATAGGCAAAGCTGCATTCGTATTTGAACTTATTCATGTTTATTTAAACTGTTTCAAATGTATTTATCGCCTCGTCTGCCATTGTTTAAACAAAGCCCAACAGCTGGTCACGATGGTAGACACATTCAAAAACACACATCGTCCCAGACGGACGACGGCAAGAAAACCGTGACCACTAAAGCCCTGCACTTGAAATCTGGTGGGTCTGCAAGTGTTTGTGGGTATTTTTCGACATTTTCACAAAAGGAAATTAATGCCTTGCGCAATCCAATAAACTCGTGTATATATATATGGTATATATTGTTGTTTACATAAATCTCTGGTTTCTGTTATTACACGCCCAAAAAATTTTCTATAAATAGTAGCTCGAGTGAAACACTTTCACTTGTTGCTGTTGCCATCGCCACTCTTGCCTTTGTTTTAAGCGTTTTAATTTCGATTTGCATTGCAAGTTCTGACAGTTCTCGTTTCGATTTCAGTAAACAATTATACTTACACAAGTTTATATCAATTAAATGGAGTTTTATGGTTTATCTTATCGATTTCTTTGAGTTATTGGAACTTTTCTTTTTCCTAGAATTGATGTACATGAAGGAATATTATTTCCCAAGCATTATAAAGGTTGTCATAGTTGACGTGGAACGAATTTGCTTTTATATTATACTGATTAAAGATAATAATACAAGAGGAACTCCAATTAAGGATGTATTTATAAGCAACAGTGGCTTTATTATGAAAATCTAGATAAATTCAAAAGTTATTAGTGGCAAATACGCTTCTACTCATTTAATAAATTAAATCAACGAATCAAATCAAAAATAATCAATTAAATATAGTATTATTGTTCCAATTTCGATATTTTATCTTTTAACTCTCGGCAAATAAAGAAAATGATTTCATATTTCTGCTGAATTTGTTAAAAATAAAGTGACAAATTCTCATCTAAATCGCTTTTAAAAGTTTAAATCCTATGTCTGCAGCACTGAATTTCTATTACCTCCCGTCTCTACCCAGTATCTGAAAGTCGAATCTTCGATTATCGGTAAACTTTCTGATTAACAACAGGTGCTTGTGAGTGTGTGTGTGTTTTGCCGTTTTCGTGTGTGCGCGATAATTTTTGCAGCCCAAATAGAAAGTGCAAGAGAGTGGCCGTCGGCCATCGGCACCTCCCACCGTAAACTTCCTCCCCGATAGCCGGTGGGCCATAAAACACCAAGAACAGAAAACCGCTGACCAGTGTAGTCCACGCCTGATAACCGAGACCATAAACAAATAAATTTCTATGTAAACTGAACGGCAAACTGATTTCTGTTTATCAAAAGGCTAAAGTGTGTAATTCAAGGCGTCGCACACAAACACACACACAGACACCCCCGCCTGGTTCTCATGTACATTTAGAAGGGAGCGAGAGGGATGCACAGAGCAGCTGCTCCCGATTTTGTTGTTTTGGTTTTCGGGTGGAAGGGGGATGAACGCATATACTACTTACAATGTGCTCGCGTACTGTATTGTGGAACAATTGCAGCTTTAGATCTGTCACCTCCTCCTCCTCCTCGTCCATGCTCACGAAGAACGACGACAGTTTTTCGCTGGTTTTCGCCAGTTTTCCTTCTTTTTTTTCAGTTACTGCACGCACACTAAAAAAACTGACATTAACTGGACAGTCAGTCAGGATGTTCGGGAATTCCAATGGGCAGCACAGTGAAAGTCGTGGTTCTGAATTAAAATCTCGCTAGCCCACTCGGAGGCACCACTCGGCCGGATCGCACGCGATTTAAAATAATTTAGACACTTGTAAACTGGATCATTTTGTCCAGGTTTTCACTAATCTTCGCTTTTTTTGTTTTGCCCGTGCGATTTTCGACCGAAACGTTAAAAAAAATTTGTAAACTCAGCGTCAGTGGGACCGTGGCTAAGGGAGACAAATTTACCAAACCACAAGTAACGAAAAAATACCAAAACGCGATTTCGAAATCGTAAACAACTCTTGAACATTTTAATTAAAAAGCCATTTTGTTATAAAATGTTAAAATTTGTACTTTTCAATCTTATTTGTTGTGTTCAATGAAAAACTTTGTTGTTTCACACTAAATTACCGATACTTGTCTGATTTGGTCACATTGCGGAAACAGAATGTCCAACTTACGGCGCCAGGTATTTTTTTTTTAGCAAAAAAAACATAAATAAACAATTTTATGTATGGCTTGCAGGTGCTCAGTGCCTTCAAAAGGCTCCATCGGACCCGGCAGTACGTCTTCGAAGGCGATGTCCAGGCTCTGACGGCGGGACGTGCCAAGATCAACGAGTCGTTCTTGCAGAACAGGAACGAAACCAACGAGGATGAAATCCAAAAGGTTTGCACTGATTTTATAAATTTTTAAGATACAGCCAACAAATCTGCTACCCGTAGATGATCAAACTGGCCCAGGACGTAGACCACGAGCTGCGCACGAATGTGATTCAGGCCAAGAAAAAGGAGGAGGGTGTCTACGGTGAGTGTGTTCCATTATGTAAACAAGATTTCCTTTCGTTGAATCTAATTTTGCAGAACTGCGCATCACACCGGAGACGACGCGGCTGGACAATGTGGTCTTCAATCCCGATGCAGTCATCGAGAAACCTAGGCGGGGACGCGGCGAAAAGAACACGGAAGGCTGCTGTGGAGGAGCTGCAATGGCTGCTCTGGAGGCGGAGGTGGCGGCCCGGAAGAAGTAGTCTTGTATAAATTATTAGCTGTAGTCAAAATCCTTGGTTCCAATTAAGAACGTCGTTTATTGTTATTTCCTATGGTGTTTCTTTTTCGATTTGTGACTGCTCTTGGAACTGGCGGTCTTTTGCTTGGCCTTCTTGCTCTTTTTTCGTTTGCTGCGCTCGTCCGAGGAGGATGAGGAGGAACTACTGGAACTGTCAGAGGATGAGCTGTCAGATTCACTTTCGGATTCCGATGAACTGTTGCTGGACTCTGAACTGCTACTGGCTGCCCGTTTCGATTTCTTCTTGTCGTGTTTCTTAGTCTTCTTTTCTATAGGTGCAGAAAGTTTTCGCTTTCTCTCGGGACTTTGCTTTCGACTTGAATTCCTTGGCTCATCTCGATCCCGGGATGTCGCCTTTCTGCTACCTTGTGGTCTGCAAAATAAGATGATGTTAAAAGCTAATGGGAATGAATGGTCTGTGTAGAACACACCTTCGCTCAGCGGATCTATCTCGATTTCTGACTGCTTCTCTACCTCTGTCACCTCCATTTTCGTTACGCCTTCTGTCCTGCGGAGATCTGTGTCGCTTACCATCGTTGCGATCCCTTGATTGTGTTCTCTTTCTGTCTGTACGGTCCCTGGAACGCCTTCTTTGTGTTAGATCTCTTGCCCTAAAAGGTGCCTGATCTCTTGACCGGGAACGTGAACGCTTTCTTTTCTCCATATCTCTGGACCGGGAATGTCTTCTATCATTACGACTTCTTGAGACTGATCTGTGTCGATCCCTCTGCTCGCGTTCATTGACATACTTTCGATCGGTGTATGGCCTGCCTGTTCTTTCGCTTCGATTTCGTGACGATGACCGCTGCCTTTCCTTTAGCTCTCTGGACCCGGAACGCCTGCGCACATTCTTTCGGTCATCTCGTTCCTTTTGCTCATTGTGGCGCTGTTCCCTTGCCTTTCGCCGTTCGGCAGAGCTCATTCTGCTTCTGGGATCTTCGGATCTATTGCCATCTCTTTGGTTATCGGCCCTTACACGTCCTTGAGTGGGCTTTCTGTGGTCTTTGTTGTCTCGCAAGTTGTCAAAGTCTAGTCTGCCATCTTCTCCTACCACGCCGCGTCCCTTTCCTCTCCAGGTAACCTTGGATACGGATTGCGAAAAGTCGACGTGAATCCGACGATCGTCGATCAAGACATTGTCCATCTTGAAATATGCAGCCTCGCAGGACTTTTGGTCTTCGAACTCCACGAAGGCATATTGCAGGGAGTCTCCAGTCTTTCGGTCGCGTATCACCTCGCATCCCTTGACCACGCCGAACCGACTAAAGATTATCTCCAGATCGTCGTCGGTTGTCACTGGATTTAGTTTGCACACAAAAAGGACGTTTTCCGGCGGGGCCATGTCTGCATCCGGTAGATCACCGACAATCTCGAGTATAGTGGCACGCGCCTTGGCCTCCCGATCGGCCAGTATCTCCTGCATCTCCTCCATGGTCTTGCCGTCCGTATCGTCGATGTCTTCGTCAGCAGCGATCCTGCCGTTCTTCAGGCGCTCGGCACTTGGCGAAGGCGAGCGACTGGGTGCTTGAAGTCCGCGCGGATTCGGAAATGGGTCCTCTAGCACTACTGTGTGAGTAATGCGGATATCCTGGTAGGGACGAAATCCATCATCCACTATGGCATCGTTCAGCTTACGCAGCACGTCGTGTCCCTCCACCACCTCACCGATGACGCAGTGCGTGCCATCCAGCGAGGTCAAGCTCTCGCCCAGCGTAAAAAAGAACTGCGAGCCCACTAGATTCTTGCCGGCGCTCACCAGCGACAACATTCCGGCACTAGAATGGTGGATGCGGGGCAGGTACTCGGCCTCGAAGAAGCGCTTCTGCAGGCCTTCGACTACACCCCAGACGGAGGAGCCGCCATCCCCGGCACCGCTGGGATCCCCGGTCTGCGCTATAAACCCCTGCTGCACCGTGTGAAACAGATTGAAGTTGTAGTACTTGAGCTGGCAGAGCTTCAGGAAATTCAGGCAGGCTATGGGGCGTTCGTTAGTAAACAGGTCGACGGTCAGGTCGCCTAGGGTGGTCTCTATCACCACAGACATGGCGAATATTCAATATTGTTATATATTAATTGAAGATAAACATGAAATTCCGCGAAAACTTGTGGCTTTAGGGATGGAAAAAAAACTGTTTTTAGAGAAGGGAACTATCGGAATTAGAGGTGGACAAACAGAGTCCGATATTTTAAAAACATATTATTGGTTTAAATTAAAATAAAACCAAATGAAAAGCATGTTTTTTAAATCCTTGCAGATTTCAAATGGATAATCACATTTTAAATCGAAAAGGAAAAATTAAATACCTTTTGGAGAGCTTGCCTGTGTTGATTATACTAAGGATAGCAATCAGACAAATATAAATTAAATTAAAAATATATACTTTTATTAAAGTTCTTAGGTATCAATGATTTTCAGAAACGGCAGTTGTTATATCCATGTTTTATTCCGTTTTATTAAGATCTTCATAGAATTTAAATATATAATTTTTTTTTTTATTTCTAACTATATAGCACCAAGAAAACATAATATATATATAATAAATCAATCAGGAGATTTCCAATAATACCAATATACTGAATTACTAATAATTTGATTAAATTACTGAAAATATCGGCAATGTATCCGCGATATATTCAGCCACATGGGGTACGATGTAAATAGTCACCAGCTGCATTTTTTTCAAAAACCAAGTTGCAAAATATTAATATATATTTTTATTTTTTAATAGTCTTTAATTATTTTAAGCTATCGCATTAACAGTCCTGAACGTTCACAGAAACGGCAGTTATTATATAAATACTTTATTTAGTTTTATTGGGATCTTCATGGAATTGAAATATATATGATTTTATTTTAATTTTTGAGCATATAGCACCAAGAAAACATACAAAATATAAAATAAATCAATTAGTGGATTTTCTTTAGACTAATTTACTAATAATAACACTGAATTACGGAAAATATCGGCAATGTATCCACGATATATTCAGCCATATGGGGTACAATGTAAATAGTCACCAGCTGCATTTTTTTCAAATACCAAGTTGGAAAATATTAATATATATTTTTTAATAGTCTTTAATAATTTTAAGCTATGGCATTAGCAGTCCTGAATGTTTTCAGAAACGGCAGTTATTTATTTTGTTTTATCTTCATGGAATTGAAATATATATGTTTTTTTTTTTTTAATTTTTGAGCATATAGCACCAAGAAAACATTAAAAATATATAGTAAATCAATTAGTGGATTTCCCTTAGAGTAATTTATTAATAATAACACTAAATTACGGAAAATATCGGCAATGTATCCACGATATATTCAGCCATATGGGGTACAATGTAAATAGTCACCAGCTGCATTTTTTTCAAATACCAAGTTGGAAAATATTAATATATATTTTTTAATAGTCTTTATTAATTTTAAGCTATGGCATTAGCAGTCCTGAATGTTTTCAGAAACGGCAGTTATTATATACATACTTTATTTTGTTTTATCTTCATGGAATTGAAATGTATATGATTTTTTTTTTTAATTTTTGAGCATATAGCACCACGAAAACATTAAAAATATATAGTAAATCAATTAGTGGATTTCCCTTAGACTAATTTACTAATAATAACACTAAATTACGGAAAATATTGGCAATGTATCCACGATATATTCAGCCATATGGTGTACAATGTAAATAGTCACCAACTGCATTTTTTCAAAAACCAAGTTGCAAAACTTGAATACACAATTTTTATTTTTTAATAGAGTCTTTAATTATTTTAAGCTATTGCATAGTAGTTCTAAACTTTCATTTTTGAAAAAATTGCGGCCACACCCCGTGGTCTCTGAAAGACTAAAAATATTTTAGCAATTTGTATGGGAACTGCTTATTCGGTCATATAGGGAATTCACTGCATATTTCTATTTAATATGCTAATATTTTTAAAAAAATATTATTTTAATTTGAAAACGTTTCTGCGGTCAGTTTTATTATGTTCACAAAACTGAAAATTAAATTACCAAATTTTGACCTCTAATAAAAAATACTATATATGGCAATAGAATATATAGTAATAAAATTATAATTCACTCTAATTTAAAAAATTAAAAAAAATCGTCGTTTTCCACTATCGATGTAAGATATGTTAAGAATTTTACATTCTAGATGTATCTGTAAACGTGTAACATGGTTTTCTGAGGAAAAATATCGATATATTGGTATATTGATATATTTTCGACAACATGAGAATTCTACATGAATCTGTAACCGCGTAAAATTGTTTTTTAAAGGTGTACAATTTTAAATAACAGCTCTAAAATTTAGAGTGACCAGATACCAAAATATAGAAAAATACCAAAAAAGTGTTCATTTGAGCTCTCGGGTGCTGAGTATGTTATGAACTTTACATTATAGATGGAATTTCTTCTTTCTACATGAGAATTCGACCCCAAAAGTGAAATTTTGACCCCGTTTATCTGTAAAAGCGTTAAATCGATTTCTAGACATGTCAGATGTAGAATGTTAATAACATAAAAATTGTGTATCGACAGACGATTTTTTTCACACGTTTTTTTCACAAGGAAAAAATTTTTTAGATTTGATTTCCACGATTTACGCGTCATCCCAGTTTTAACTATAGAAGAATTTGTGACCAAGTGACCGAGCACAAGTGAAAATGCCCGAGCAAGGCAAGAAAATCTCCGATTTGCGCGTGTGCGACCTCAAAGACCAACTGGAGCAGCGCCAGCTGGAGACTGTGGGCCCGAAGGCGGTGCTAATTGATCGTTTGGAAAAGGTGAGCACGCCCAACGGCGTGGGCCAGGTGGCTATCCGGGCGGAATTAGAAAGCGCAGCCAGTTGTGCAACTGCTACGTTCTTGGGTGTCGCCATGGTTACATATATAGTGTGTGTGTGAATTTCTTCCAGGCTCTTAAGGAAGAGGGGGTAGACCCGACCACCTACTTGGTAATTCCGGGTGCCAAGCCCAAGAAACCCATACCGATGCCCATCAAGGAGGCCCAAAGCGAGGTGGTCATTAAAGAGGAACCCATCGATGTAGATGAGGAGCCGCAGGGCCAGGAGTCTGAGAACGGCAACGATTTCTCGCATCACGAAGATGATGACGGGCATGAGATTGACCAAGTGGGGGATGTGGATGATGAGTGCGTTATCCTCGATGACGATGACGAGGAGGACGAGGAGTATGACGATGAGCAACAGAATGGAGACGGTGATGGGGAGGCCGAAGGCGATAATCCGGATGATACCGAGAACAATGGCAATGAAGCCGAGGCCGGCAACGAAATCCAGGGCGAGGAGGAGAACACCGGCGACACCGGTAACATGGACAACGACGAGTCCATCAATCTGACAATTGGTGAGGATGAGCAGAAACTGCTGCATGATGAGGTAAATGTTAATATCCGCCCCTAGATTGCTCTATTCTAATTCAATTTGCCTTCTCTTTAGGCTCCCGATGACAAGTCTATTAAGTCTGGTGAGTTTTTTTGGGATACAGATCTGCTGACACAGATGCTTGAAATATTCTATAGGCTGGGAAAAGGCAACGAAATTTATGCACATAATGTGAATATAGTCCGCTTATGGCTGCAAACTAGACATGTTCGTTGCCCCGCGACGAATACATTACATATCTGCCCACGATAATCAATTTCAGTTGTTGCATTTGTTTCACATTTTCTGACTGACATTATCTACTTTAATTTACAGTTAAGCCGGCTAACAAATCAGATAAATCTAACTCGAATGCCGAGAAGAAGGGTGACGAGGGCGCACGCTCTAAGAAGAAGGATGAGAAATCATCTGATAAAAAAGACACCAGGTTAGTTGACTCTCTGCTTCTCTTTAAAGTCACCACAAATTAACTATTTAATGTTTTCATTTTATTTTGAAACAGCGATCAAAAGTTGTCTGGAAAATCATTAAACCAGAAGGATGATAAAGGTAATTTAAGCTACTGTTTAAGCATGACTAAGTTCGGTGTGTATGTTTGGAAGGTATTGCGTTGGTATTGTTCGGGCCAAGCATGAAACCCCAGTTAAGGTCGATAAACTCAACAAAAGTTGAGCGAAAACTATTAAGGACCATTTGTGCCAATTATTGTGCAAGAGAGTGTGAATTTGGTTAGGACATTTGGACTTGGAAAGAGACAGCAAGGGACGTGAAAAACAGCAGGAATGCAGAGCAGCGGCGTTGGACCTACGACTTCGGCAATTGCAGCTAATCTAACAGTATTTTGTTCCAGTTTGGTTCAACGGAAACTTCTAGTTCTTCAAACTTGCTCCGATCCCGATATTCCCCTGTGAGAAAATGTGCAGTATCATGCCATGTCTAAGTTCTCTAAAAAGAAGAGAAAAACTAAAAAAGTTCAATAGATGGAAATCGAGTTGATACTAAAACTGGAAGGAATTATTCCTCTGCTGATGCTGGGAGTTGCAGTAACCTAATCCTCTGGACAAAGACCTTTTGCTTCGGGATTATTTCACTCTCCACACGGTAGCAGATCGACTAAGAGGGAGCGAGTGTTCGGCGAAAGGATGACGTGCGATGGCAGGCTGTGGAGCACACATCTCTCCTCCTTATCCTGGACCCATTTCCCCCCTTAAAGAGGACTGGCGGCAGCAGCAATTGACCACCAACCTGATCAAATTCACACTCTCTTCGCTCCGTTAGGTGACGTTTGCGCTCTAAACTCCAACATCAGCAGCAGCTACAAAATGTGTGCGTTCACAACATGCTTCCCTTAAAGACCGTATCATAAACCAAAACAGTTAACCAGTTACAGCCACTCACAGCTCTGACCATAACTCTCTTCCAATATTATTATTTACATGGAACTTGCAGAAAAATCATCGACAGCAGCAGCTGGTGCCGCATCCTCCGCAGCTACGAGTACCGCTGGCAGCAAGTCAGGTTCAGGATCGGGCCCAGGATCGGGCACTGGCAATGGTGCCAATGGCGCCAACTCCTCAAACAACAAGCAGGCAACGCTGTCGCGCAATCTCTGGGTCTCCGGCCTATCCACTCTGACCCGTGCCAGTGACCTCAAGGCGATCTTTTCCAAGTTCGGCAAGGTGATCGGCGCCAAGGTGGTCACCAATACGCGTACGCCCGGCACTCGGTGCTACGGCTACGTGACTATGTCTTCGTCCGGGGATGCTTCGCGGTGCATTGAAAATCTCCACCGCACCGAGCTGCATGGACGCATCATTTCGGTGGAACGCACCAAGAACGAGATCGGCGGCAGCACCAACTCAAAGGAGGGTAAGGCCAAGAACGACGCTGCAAACAACAACAACAAGAAGAAGGAGGACGACGGCGGCAAGAAGTCCGGAAATGGCAAGGGCTCCAGCAACAGCGGTGGCGACGACAAGAAGAGCGGCGAAGGAAACGGTGACACTAAATCCAACAGCAGCGAGTCCAAGCGCGACGGCAAGGATGGCGGCAACAGGGAGCGCAATCAGCGTCGGAATGATGACAGAGGCAAGTCGGCCGCCAGTCAGGATAGGCGCCACGATCGAGAGCGTTCCGGTACTGGAGGCCACAAGGGACAAGGCAACCAGGATCATCGTTCGGGCCGCAATCCTCGTGATGTCGATCGCGAGATCTCGCAGCGTCAACGGGAACGTGATCGCCGCCAGCGTGAAATGCTGTCCTACCAGAAGATACGTGAGGAGCGCGAGCGGCAGCGCATCCGTGAGCGGGAGCGCGAGCTGCGCGAGGAGGAGCGCCGTCGCCGAGAGGCCCGCGAGCGGCAACGTATCGAGGAGGAGCGCCTGGCCGAGGAGCGGCGCAAGCTGGCTGTCGAGCGGGAGCGCCTTGAGCGCGAGAAGGCTGAACTGCTGCGCATGGAGCGGGAGCGCCAGAAGCTGGAGCGCGAGAAAATCGAGCTGGAACGCCTCGAGCTGAAGCGTCAACAGATGAAGTATGCTAACAAAAACAAAAACCAAAACAAATCGTACCGCGTTGCACTCGTGCCAGCGCAGAGACAACAACACAGATATTTCTATCTATATATTTATTTTGTACTCTCTTTCGGAAAGCATTTGTCCGTGTGATTAGTGCGTTAACATAAGTTGCAGCCAGTCTCCTCCACGTTGTTTCTTCGACTCTTAAACTGCTTCAAAACGGTTTATAGGCCAATGATGCATTCTAGTCAAAAACCCGAGTCTGATAGCTCCACTTATCCCCTCCCCATCACCGACCAGCCACTGCTGTTAGCCCTATTAACCGATGTCTTTTTGTCTTTTCCATCTCTCTTCCTCTCGCTCTTGTCGAATTACCCGCACAGGATTATGGAATCTCGCGATGATCCTGTCAAGCGCGTAGTAAGCAAACGCACCGACGACCGCTACGGAGATGTTTCCGATCGCAAGCGTACGGCTATCTTTGATGCCCCACCACCACCTCGATTCGATACAAATCTAGTCAGCTCTCGCAGGTAAACATAAGGCCGCAAATATGAACTTTTTTTTGTGGTTTAATGTCTTTTGGAAATGTTACAAATTCGCTTACAAAAAATACAACAAAAACATGCACGAGATCAATTCCAATTCCTCAACTTGAAACCTAATTATTTATCTTCTCCCCACAGCACCTATGACAAGAAACATGATGACTATGGCTCCTCGTCGAGCACTAAACGCGTTTTAGATGACTATTCAAGCTCTAATAAACGCATGGACTACAACAAGCGCAACGACTATGTCACCTCGTCCGGTTCCAAGCGTAACGCTGTAGACGACTACTCGTCATTGCCCAGCAAGCGCTCGAGTGGCAACGACTATAATGTCTCCAGCTCCAAGCATGACTACTCTTCGTCCAGCAAGCGCGACGATTACAAGCGTGACGTAGATGTGCGTCACTTGCCACTAGGCGGAACCGTTGGAGGCTCCAGCAGCTCGTATCTGCACAAAAATAGCACTGGCACTGGCTCCTACGTCAACAAGAACAACTCGAGCAGCGGTGGACGCTATAACGATTCGGATCGCAACAACACCTCGAACTACCGACGCGACGAATCGCAGAGCCTGTAAGTTGAAGGCAAAAGTCTCTTAGTTGGCATTATCTAACCCGAATCTTATTTGTTGAAATGTCATATCTATGTCATTAACTAAAATCTTTTGACTTAATTTATTAACAAATTAGAATAAAAAATGCATGTGCATTATTTTGATTTGTTAATTAACTTATTTTTCGTTTTCTACATTAAGTTTTTATACGTATTTACTTTCCTTTTAACTATACTCTTTGATCATTTCAGGGGCAACAAACGTTATGACAACTCCAACTCTGGAGGCTACGGCAGCAGCTCGAACAACGTTAACATCTGGGCCCCCTCATCTGGAGGCGGTAGCTCCCATTTAGGTAGCAGCGGTGGTAGCGGTAACCAGATGAAGTCCTACAGCAACAATGGTATGTCCTCGAATATGCATAGCAACAATTCTTGGCAGAAGTCTGCACCCGTAGAGGATAACACCTGGCGTCAGGGACCAGTTCAGGGTCGCTTCGATCGGGGCTACAACGATCGTTCGACCGGCTATCAGGGCAACAGCAGCGGCGGAGGTGGAGGTGCGGGCGGTGGCATGTACGGCGCCAGCCGTCCCGCTCAAGATCGCTACAGCGGACAGGTGTCGCGCTACTAAGCGGGCAACGTGCATTTTACAAGAGGCAACCACCCAGCAAATCAAGCATCCCAGCACCCACAGAATGACCCTTCCCACAGCGCCAATGGAGCGTTGCTTCTACTTTAGTTCGCTTTAGTTATAGTCTATAAGCTTCTACATTTGGATAAATAAATGTATTATCAATAAAAGCGCATGACAAACATGCAAATAATCACACCTCTTTGGTGTTATTTATTGATTCTACATTTGTGGATAGTCACCCTCGTATGAGGAAATGAGTGGTGTGGTTGTGTCCACTAAAACCAGGACGCTGTGAGCCAAGGGGTAGACATCGTGAACCTGAACGTAATAGCCACGATCGCACTGCTCCTTGGAGGAGAATAGCCTGTAAGAGATAACAATTTTATTTTCTAATTAATTTATATTAATACTCTTCTCACGCCAATATATCCACCGGTTCCAGTATCAACTCGGACTTGTAAACCGATGCCAAAAAGTTTGTGAACGCCGCCGTGTTATTGCCCAGTTCAAGCTCCGTGTTGGGCGTGCACATCTCCATACTCAAACCACTGCTGCTGGAACCAAGACCTGGCAGGCCGTTCCGAGTGCCCCAAACAGTGATGATGTTATCCTCGGATGCCACTATAGTACACTGGTCGCTGCAGTTGGCCGTCTGCGAATTGTTGACTATAATTTGCGACTGTGTAGCAAAGCGAAGGAGAACAAACCGCAATATAGCGAGCCCTGATAGCATCTACCAGGGTGGGATGATCCACCGAATTGCAATGTCGTAAGCCACGCTGTCCCTCAGCATTTCGACCCACAGTGTAAACATAGCCTCCTTCTACGAGGAACACCGAGTGAGTGGACGAGAAGCAGGCCTGGAGCACCTTGTGTGGCAGTTGGACTTTTTTCTAAAGATGAGAGTTGGCCGTAAGGATTGTAAATGAGATGGAGCAGCTACCTACAAAAGCAGTGATCTTTCCGGATCTCTGGAAACCCAGCTTATTGTAATCATTGCTGCCGCAGACATGGAGCTCCCCGTTGGCAAACAGCACGGCAGAGGCATCAGGACCACAGTAAACCTTTGTGGGTTTAGTCTTCACATGTGACAACAGAATCTTCTGTGGAAATTTCCTGGAACAAGAATGGAGCATATGACCGAGGGATTTCTTTTCAAAGAAAGCTCTTACTGCTGATGCTGGTAGTTACCCAGCCCTAGAGCTCCACAGGTACTGGTGCCCCACACATAGACCGCTCCCTCTCGGCTCAGCGCTAGGACATGATGCAGTCCGGCTGCCACTTGCTCCACCCGGACGTCCGCTAATCGGGCTACCAACTTGGGCGTATGGTAATTGCGCTGCTCGTCCTGGCCCAGAGCCAGATTGGCGTTGCTTCCACAGCTTAGGAGGCTTCCCGCCTGAGTTACCAGGATGGTGAAACCGTCGCCTGCACAGGCGCCCACCACATGATAGTTGCGCACGCTCTCCATGCGGCTGGGATAGTGCTTCCAGGCCTCCAGTGCGGTAAGTCCCAGCTGACCATGGGTACCCTCACCCCAAGCGTATGCCGATCCGTCCTCGTTCACCACCACGAAATGGGAGTCTGACATGGCTACGCTTACGATGACGGCCTTGGGCGGCAGTTGGATTGGAGCCATGCTAAAGCAGGTGCCGAAGGCCTTCAGCTGGTAGAGTACGGATCTAAGAGAGGATAGCTGGGATAGAGAGTCGATCTTGGAATCAACCAATTACCTTTTCTCCAGGATTTCATGTGGGGCCGCCGTTTCTGCGCTCATTAACTGTTTGGTCTCTGTCTGAGCGGTGGGCAGCTCCAGTTCCATGGTCACGTTGCTGTGACCGGCGGCGGGGACAACAGCCGCCAAGTGTTGGCCACTAGGAGCACCCACGTCCTCCTCATAGGAGTATCTGCGAAAAAGGTTAAAACTGGTGGAGGAATAGAAGGCAGTAACTCACCCCTTGTTCTTTCCCAGGCTGCGGAATATCAACGGAATCCAATAGACCAGAACCTCTGAAGCAGTGGGTCGCCGGGCAGCCTCCACCTGCAGCAGATTGGACATGAGACTTTGCAATCCTGATGTATAACCCGAGGGAACTGGCGTGTAGTTTCCTGCCATGATCTTGGTGACCAGCTCGGAGAGATTGGAGGCGGCAAAGGTCTTCTTCAGGCAGCACATCTCGCCAAGGATGCAACCCAGAGCCCATATATCGCTTTTGTTGTCGTACTCCTTTCCCTCGCACTAGAGTATAAAAGGGAGAAGTTCATTAATGAAGGACTAAGAAGGATCTCTTACCATCTCGGGACTGAAATAATAGGGTGTGCCCAACACCGTCTGGGCATGAATCTTGGTATTCATTATCTTCGAAATGCCAAAATCGCCTATCTTAACGATTCCTCGTCGGTTGAGGAAGACATTGGCTGTCTTGAGATCCCTGCAGGCATGAGGATTATCCATAACAATATCTTATAAATAATCTTTTACCCTTCTCACCGATGCAGGATATTCTCCGAGTGCATGTAGTTAATGGCACTGGATATTTGCTCGAATACCGCTATTATGTAGCGTTCCGGGAAGTGCAGCTTTCCCTGACGCTCGGCAATGATGTGGGCCAGCGTTCCTCCATCCGCGTACTCCATCTCTATGAGCAGCGTGTTGTCTTTGATAAAGCTACCCAGGTAGCTGACTATGTTAGGATGATGGAGCTTCGAAAATACATCCACCTCGTTCATGGCCAGATCCCGACCCGGAGGGGTCAATTCACTCAAATTGATCTGCTTGAAGACGATCTGATGTCCATCGGACTTACGTCGGTACAGGATAGCGATGCCGAAGGAGCCCTGTCCCACAACCCGCACCTTCTCATAGTTGGCCAGTTCTGGACCTGCTATTACCAATGATGCTGCCGCCGCTTCCCGGGGAACGCTGAGCTGCAGGAGTTGGTCCTGTCTGGCTGCTGGCCCTTGAGCTTTGCTACTCGACATGGCCTCCGCTAGAGACGTATTGGCCGCTCCGGTAGTACCGTCGGTAATGGTAAAGACTGTAGGAAGGACCCGACAGCAGTGGGTTTTCTTCCTCGCCGGCACCTGTCCCAGTGGCAACTGCAGTGAGCTGGTGGTCAGAGTGGTGGCGTCCGTAATCCGACCGTTGAAAATGGGCAGGGAGCTCGCCTTGGCGCGGAACTTCTTCATATCCTTCAAGAGCGACAACCGTATCCTGTCTGTTGGATAATATTTTCCATTGGTATGTGTCCATCGAGCCGGAGTTGTGGTCATAGCCCGGTTGCCAGGCGACCAGCCGGGGAATGGGCTTGTGGACATGTCCAAGCAAATGTTATCAGTGGGTCTGCGCTAATTGGACAGCCCGGGTCGGGGGATTATCATAAGCAATTGGATTGGAAATGGCAACAGAGCCACGATTCGGAATAATCGATGTTAATTTCGGGTATTCAAACGGGAAGTATGGAGTATGGGGATTCGTAAATAAGTCATTTGGCAAACCTTTAAGGGATATACTAAGTTAACCTTAATAAAAGGCACGATTTAGTTTCTTATGAGTATAAATGTATTTAGCATTATAATTATAATTATTGGAATCGAGACAATATGCATGTATAATCGACCGTTATGTATTCGCAGGAATATGCTAAAATATTTATGCTATCTTCTCTTGGACTATGTAACCTTAAAATGCACAATCTGAACGCATCACGTAGAATGCAATACGCCGCAGTGCCCTCCTCCTCCCACCCTGGGTGGTGGTGGCCTATGCTCGAACTTGGCTACAATGCTACACAACGCTCAATAGCTTTGGACAACTTGTTCTCAGGTTTTGCGGTATGCGGCTTTGCGGTTTTGCGATCGCAACTTAATCCATCGATGAGTATTTAGCAGGTGCAGCGGTTCTCGCCGGAGAGACTGCCGAGACTAAAGGTGCCAAGGCCATTGGAGCCGGGTGATTTCTTGTCTTTGCTCTCGTCGTTGTCAAAGTTGTCGCCCTGGTGGAAAATTAATTATAAGATATCATATTCTATATCTCTCATATTAAGTATGTATCTTACCCGACGCTCTCTTTGTTCGCGAATTTTGCGAGCCAGCGAAAGAAACGCATCCTCGATATTTATATTCGACTTGCACGACACCTCAAAGAAGGGCATGTCAAAGTTCTCGGCAATCTGGAAATTATTCAGAGAGTCAATATGGCAGGCATTTCAAATCCAATCCACCTGGAACCCACCTTCTCCCCTCTTTCCTTGTCCACCATACGCTGGGTGGCCGAGCATTCGCATTTGTTGCCCGCCAACACCTTGACCACATCGGGCGAGGCGTTCTCCTGGATGTTGCGCAACCAGTAGGACAAGTTGTTGTAGCTCTCCAGATTGGTCACATCGTACATGAGCAGGATACCCATGGCACCGCGATAGTATGCCGTGGTCAGTGTTCGGAATCGCTCCTGCCCGGCCGTGTCCCAGATTTGAAGCTTTATGGGTACGCCATCGAGGTTAATCAGCTTTTGCTTGAAGTCTATACCTGGGGGGAAAGATGAGATGGGATGAAAGGATGTTAGCGTGTACATAAATATGTATATATGCTTACAATTGCGGTTAAACTAATATAACAATTATAACTATATATTATATATTATTGACGATATAGATTTTAATTTCAAATTTTAGTACTAAAATCGGAAAGAATAATTAACCAAATAGGGTTTGTGACTTTAATAGTGATTTTCAAAGTACTCCATAATATTCTTCTATATCCTACTAATTGAATTTTTATCTCAATTCCTTTGACATAATATTAATATTCATAAGTTCTACTTTTTCGGATGCTGTTGTCTCCAGATTAAGGCTGGGGGTACTTACCTATGGTGGAGATGTATGTGTCGTAGTACTTCTCATCGCAATATCTGTGCACGATACAGGTCTTGCCCACATTGGAGTCGCCCAGCACCAGGACTTTATAGGTGGCCACAAAGTCCAGTGCCATATTGCTGGAGCCCGTGGATCTTGATAGTTGATATAAATATTAACAGCAGAGAGGAGCGGAGACAGCAGAGATGGCGACGGAGGTTTTGTTGTTTTGTTGGTGGTGATGGGTACAAGTGGTGGTGGTGGTAGTTTCGCTTTGGCTCCGAGGGGTTGCAGCGGGCTGTGTGTGTAGCTTGTTTATGTATCCGCTGGCTTGTGCTCGGCCTGGTGGTTTGTTGTTGCTCGCAGCTGTTCCTCCTAGAGTTGCAACGGCGTCATACAGATTTCTAGTGTAAATTTTCACAATTTCCCCCGAGGGAAGGGGGCGCCGCGCGCTCTCGACAATAACAACAGTCGTCCGGTGTCGAAACGCTGGGAAATTCACGTTAATTGACTACCAACTGAGTATCTTTGACTGGTCTCGTATGATTTAACCTTTATTTGTATCTTTAGTTTAATGTAATATAAGTGGTGTTAGGTGTGTGTGCATAGTGTGCCACTTCAGAGAAGAAAGGGTCGAATTACGCCGTTCGCGTGAATCAACCTCGACGCACTGACTGCTCTGCCCAATCCGTGGATGCGGACTGGAGTCGGAGTCGACTAATCAATAGACCTGCGCATGCGCAGCAGCAGCTTCGAACGCCGATATATCGAAATCGGAATTCAAATCGAGGGCGTTTGCGGACGCTCCAAGTCGCTTATAATAGTAATAATAATATTAGACATAATTCTGGAGTTACATGTTCAAAAATAGAGTTGATTCTTGCTTAACTTAGTGCTGATAGGTTTGGGGAGGAAGAGAGGGGACCGATTGTCCGCCGCTTACATCACAAAGACCTTTTCGATCTTGGGGTTGGAGAACTTGGTATTGGTCACCGGACAGGTCACGGTTCCGTCGTCTTTGGTGATGTCCGGTAGGGCCATCTGCCCGAAAATCTGTCCGTTTGGCAGCATCATCGGCTGATTGTGCTCGTTGAGCGGCAGCCCCGTCACACGGCAGATGAGGCGGCTCTGGACACAGTGTGAGTATGGCAACTTAAGGGCGATGCGGTTGAGATCCTCCTGGCAGACGGGGCAGTTGAGGTTGCGGCAGGTCTGAGCGTAGCAGTGGGGCGTCTTCAATGCCGACAGACCCGCCTGCACGGCCGCCGAAAACACGGACGTGCTGGACAGCTGGAAGAGGCGGTAGTTCTCGTGGCGGAAGTCCAGCACCAGCTGCTGCCAGCGCTGCGGGTCCATATACTTGCGATAGTGCTCCGCCTCGGCATCAGCCGGATAGGCCAGCAGGGCCATTACGTGGCAGATCTCGTTCAGCTGTGTCTTCTCGTAGGCGGGGAAGTAGCGGCGCGAGTGTTTCACCGCCTCAAAACGCTGGTTCTGACGCACCAGCTCGATGAATTCTTGGACCCGCAGGCTGAACTCAATTGTAGAGTTGATTTTGCGGAGCTTGGACTTGTTGTCAATGCACCAGAGAACGCACTTGGTTGTGCTGTGGCTGGCCAGATCGTCCTCCACCTCGCGGGACGTCTGGAATATGTCTAGGTTGGTTAGGTGGCGAACATCCGACCTGGCAGCCAACTCTTCGGCGGTCTCGTAGTAGCCCATACGCAGCAGATGCTCGATGACTAGTCGGTCCAGTCGAATACGCTTCCACTGATCAACCGATCCTTGCCACAAGTCGCCCGTCACACTGTTGGGGGGTGTGATGCCCTTGAGGTGCTCCAGCTTGCGCTTGCAGATCTGGGTAACGCTCAACTCGTCGTTGATGCTCTCCTCTGCCTTGCGCTTGAGCACTTGCAACTTCTGGGCCACATTGCCCATCAGCTTGGTCACGTCCGACAGGATGGGACCCTCGCACTCTAAGGCCTTCTCCACTTGACGCGATACGTTGGTCACCTGGTCCACCTCACGGTCAATGATTTTCTGCGCGGAGCGGAAGCGCTTGTTCAGCATCTCGTATGGCACCTTGAGCGTGGCGTGCTCCAACGCCTTAATCTCCGACATTTTCGAACAGATTCTTTTATTTTCGTTCTCCTGTGAGACGCAATTTGCTTTTGTCTTTTTCCTTGCCTTCGTTTGTTTTTCTTTTGTGGCAGCGAGTTGCCAGATCGATGGTGGGCAGCTCATAGTGCTGCTTAGCTGTTAGCTGTTTTTTGAAAAAACTATTGTTATTATAACCCCATTTTTATTATTATTATTTATTATATGAACTTAATTAGATTGTTTTTCATTTAAGAAACCTTAGTCTTTCAATTTCAGGAATGAAAATTTGCTAATTTTAAATTAAAATCCATGGAAATATTTCCCGCTAGAATTGGCTTATTTAGGATATATTGACAGCACTGCTAATGTTCACACATAGAAAATGGGGATGGGTTCTGTTAGCGTCCATCAGCTGATTGATGTTTTACTACAACAAAAGCAAATGGCTGCATTCAGATGCCATTATTTTCACACATTACGTATACGTATATAAAAAGGATGAAAGTAACAAAACAACCACTTGCTGTGCATTTGTAAAGGAAACAAGTAAATTATATTTTTTGCAGTAATTTTCAATTATCTAAGTATTTAAGCGTTGCAGCGTTGAATATAAACCAGGCATTTATGACTGCAACATTGCTCGGCCATAGAGCACCTGCGTCTAAACGGTAGACATTTTTCGGATAAACTAAGCCGATCTATCTGATGAATACATATTTAATTTAAATATGAATTAATCAATTGTGAATAATAAATTTAATAGTTACCTGAGAAAGATTTTTAGATAACGGCATTTCCAATGATAAGTTTTTACCACGAAATGGTCCGAACTCCGCCATTCCATAAGGTATACGGTAATATTTGTGTCGAGTAGTTGAAGCCACTCCACGAGCCAAAAATACAACAATCACTATCAGGCTTGTCACAGTAAGCTTCATGGTTAATTTCGAAGTGAGGCTCTATGATTTTCTTCCCTATTATATACCCCTCTTTGGTGTAATAAAATGGAAAGAAAACAGAATATTTTTTTTTATCATTGCATTTACAGGTTGGTTTGTAAAACAAAAACATATGTGTCAGATTAAATATGAATAATTTCTATGTGGCAAAGAGACGGTGACTAAAGTCAACCACTGGCGGACTCTGCCAAACACTTTGGACAGAATCGGCGGCCACCAGATTCCTGTAATCAGTTACACCCCGAAACAAGCTGAGGAACATATTGGTGAACAGAGTGATCTCATCCGGATTTAATGGATTAAGCTGTTGTTGCGTGGGTGGCTTCGATATCCCTGGCAGTTTACCATCCTTGGAAGCAGAATCAATTCCAGCGGGCAGAGCTTGTACTTGAGCCTATTAATAAGGAGAAAATAATTTATATGAAATAAATAAACTGTCTCATAATTAAATGGGTATTTAAAGTTTAATGTCACATACACCCACGACTAGTACAACCAATATGAGGACCAACATAGCGATTTCTCTAACGCACAGTGAACTGAAGACCAAGTCAGGTCCCAGCTAGGCTTTTAAAACCCATCATTATTGACTCTCTGACCCAGTAGCATTAATTAATTGCAACACCTTTGGCTTGTTGGACATGGTCCCCTTACTTGTTCAAGTCGAGAATCGGGGTACATTTGTGTCAAGACTCTCGAGATAATTGAAAATTGCCACTGTCAATATTTAATGCCAATGCCTTAGATATCGAAACTGAAAGTGGGAACATGTTAATATTTGAACAATCAGCTTTTAAAGGCTCTTGATTTTATGGGCCAAGGTCAGCATTTTATAAGCTGTCGGTTCTTGGAAATTCTCTGGCCGTGGCACTCCCCAAATTTTATTCATTAGCTTTCTAAAGAAACATATATGTTTATGTTTGCAAGACATTGTAAACTTTGAATTACCAATTTTTAAGAAATTTTTTATTGTATTCTATAGCAGTGACATTCACAAAATTGTGTTAAATAGCTTTCTTATGGAACGGTATTTCGACAACTGGTCTAATGAGATATTGACTATTGATTCTAGTTTTTCTAAGAAATCAAATAATAATTGTCTTTTTGATATTAGTATTTTATTATTCAGATCTTTTACATTTTCAATTTCCTTGGATAAATTGATTAATTTAAAGCCATGATAGATTCGATGATAAATTAATTAATATATTTTTAAAACAATATATTAAAATTGTGTTTGTTTTCAATTTAGAACCATTATATTATATATCAATTTGAACAGAGTTGGTTGAAAGAATATAAATTAAAGTTATGTTCATAGTTTTATGATATACATTTTAAGCAACTGCAATTAAATTTAGATTAAATTTATTATATACCTATATCCATAAAATACTGTTCATCGTCGATAAATTATTAACGATTAACAGCATAATGAATGGGATATCCAAATCATTAATTTTCCGGGCACATTTATTAAGGTACGTCATACACTTCCTTGAGCAGCAGTCCCAATGGGTTTGACACTGCCAATTTAAAAGGATATAAGAAAATGTATACGTTGAAATGTACCATCTTACGTATCCTCCATTAAAGGAACAGCCATTCGTGAAACCAAGAATAAACAGCAAAAGTACCAGTTTGGCGATTATATTCATTATCGACATATTTACAGTGCCTGATCAGAGTACTCACTGAGACGACTTCTGTGGTTCGCGTCTTATATATGGAGAAAAGGGAGAATTATTTGATTTTATATATAATTATTAAGTATCAATTATGTCTAGAAATGTTGTGTTTATTTATGCTTTTACATTTTTTGATACATAAAATTAACCAAAGCCCTAGACTTTTCTGTTTTATCTTACCATACAATTGTATATAAGATATGACAAATACAGTAAACAGCAAACTTATCAGGTCAAGCACATGTTGGGTTTTTTTTACATTTTGTTCAGTTAATTCATATCACTTTGAGGTTGTCGCAAAAAGCCCGCATTTGCTTTATCAATTTTAATTTTACTCACTGTGTCACTTGAAGGCTTTGTAAACAAATATATATTTCATATATAAACAGTATATATGTATATGTTATTCCAAATTAATGGTATTAAGTTTTAATCCTATTCAAGATTTATAGAATGGTTTGCTATTATAAACATTACTATTCTGACTGTTAAATAAAATGAATACAATAATTCTTTCAATAATCACAATATATTTTATTCTTTATATAAATATATTTTGAATAATACTTTGCAATTTGGTAATTAGATGGTTAGTCATATTTCCTTATTGTCAACTAATAACTGCTCAAGTGACACACCTGTGCCTGTAGAAGTGACAGCGCAAATTACAACAGTCCGTGCTGCTGTTACACTGAAAAATAAAAGGGGGAAGAGTGAAAATGGGTCAAACTATATACATTTACAAAATCCTTACCGGGCCTCCAACATTCTGGCACTGTGGCGTATCAGCTTTAGGCGGTGACTTGATAATATAGACCTCCTTCGATGGACTTGGCAAATCAGAGAGTCCAACGACTTGGACCTGATCAACTGGCGCCTTCAAATCAGTATCAAAGATTCCATTGAAGCCAGGCGTCTGGGAAATGGGAGTGCGGTCATCTATCTTCTTGGCACAGGTACTGAGGTAGGTCATGCACTTGTGCGAGCAGCACTCCGCGTGGGTCTGACACTGCCGATTTAAAGGGGGAGATTTAGTAATGGTACCCACGATCTACGATTAATTATATATCTTACACGTTCTCCAATCTCTTGACACTGAGGAGATCCAACATCCTGACGAGCTGACACAACCCACAGGACGCACAGGAAGAGACCCAGTTGCATTATAGACATCTTGACGCTGGAAATGTAAACACCGAACTGAAGCACTCGGATTGTGGATTGCGACTTATAAGCGATCTCTGTTATGAGAACGACGTAAAGAGAGCGAAAACAAAATGACTAATTGCTCGACGGTATTATTGCGACTATCTGCTACCGCCTAATTAAACCTATTTATTCGTATTCACGTGTATTTCTCAAGAATCAATATGTCTAATATATGCGTAAGCACGAAGTCAAAAATAATATTTGTCACTCACTGGAAGCGATGTTGGTAATGAAAATTAGATCAGTTTCCGGCTTCTATGTTTAGAATAACCACAACCTTTCTTTCATCAATAGCTTTTACACCTTAGCGAAAATACTTTCTGATAAAGACATTTAATTCTCTTTAATCACAAAATATTTTGCAGAGAATTTTAGACTAGTCAGATCAGGATTAACAAAGAGGACCTAGATCTTGTACATGATCTTTGATGGTAATTAAGGGGGACTGTCATTGGGAAAATCAGCTACAAGGATACACAGATCTAATTATCTTTAGGTATTCGTAAACACGCGTATTTGTTGTAGATCATAATTTATAAAAGAGAGGTAACTATCTTCGGGAAGTTTATATACCCTTGCAGTTTTCAATTGAATTTTTTAATACTATTGGAAATTGATTATACCTAAGCTTAAAATATTCACATTCTTTTGATCGATAGTTTTCTATGACAATTTTTTCGACACATCAAAGTTGATGCTGATCAAGACTATATGAGATTTCTAGGTTCGGAAAGGACTTCTTCAAAGCGTTACAAGCTTCTGACTGAAATTAAAATACCCTAAAAGGATATAAACAGATTCTGAAGTATTTAATAACATTTATTTATTTCAGCAAGCTGACGAAACACACAGTTGATGAAATAACCCCATTATATATTCCTTAGACAAAAAACAGGTTCACAACGATCGGGAAAATGGGATATATAGTTATCCCTTGTTTTAGGGGTTGTTATTACTCCTGCTCAAGGAGTACAAGTGCTGGGCATACCCCTAGAGATGGATGCACCTGCTAGCACTCGAAAAGAGTACATTTTTTGGGCGGATGGATGGATAGTCAACCCGCATGGCAGGGCGAGTCGTTAGTGTGCCAAGGACCGCACCGTGACCTGCTCAACGCCACTGCCTCGAGTGTTGTCGTCGTCGTTGTCGTTGTCGAATGAGTACGAGTGAGTACTCACAGCCAGTGAGTACTCGTATTTGCAGAGCACTCTTATACTCGAACCCAATCCGCTCGACGTTCTCATCGATCAGCTCAGCCAGCTCCGCGCGGCTTATCTTATCGGGACAGGCGGGCTTTAGCCACAGATATAGCCGTGTGGCCACTCGTCGCCGACGCTCAGTCGAGTTGCGGTTGCCAGGGCGCGAGCAGATACTGCCTTCGAACCGAAACGATTCACAACATTCGCGTTTTCCGTATCACCATGATCACGCCGGCGCTCTCGTGTGCTTTTCTCTTGCTGGCGACCCTGCTGCTGGCCATTCCGGTGGTCCGGGGATCCCTGCCAGCCCGGGATCGACCATCTCTCCGCCTGCCCAACGAGACCTATCCGCTGTTGTACCGCCTGCACATCTCTAGCGACATCCACCAGGGCACCCTACTGTTCAGCGGAAACGCCACCATTGACGTAGCCATTCGGCAGTCGACAAACGAGATAGTGCTGCACGCCAAGAACCTGACCAACATTCAGATTACGGTACGCCAGCTGACCGGCAGCGATGTCGACGGGGGCTGGGAGGTTGTGGATGACCTGACCCACACGCTGAACCAGGACGCGGCCTTTCTCATTATCCATCCGCGGGAGAACTACCAGGCCTTCGAGGCAGGGCAGCGTTACCGCCTCGAGATCCTCTACACGGCTATTATGAAGTCAAAGCCCATGGGGCTCTACTATATGGATTACAGAGATGAGCAGAGTAATCGCACTGTGTAAGTAGTATTACGTCTATCGATCGAGCGGAGATTAGGTGAGAATCTAGAGAGCCTAGGGGATTTGAGACATATTTACGATTATTACAGAAGAGGGATTACGATGAATGGATATTATTCATGCTCAGTGTGAACCTGGAACTAATTAAACCAGTTTTTAAAAAATGAAAGAATTTAATTAGCATTTTGAACGATAATGCCGCATAATCAATTAAATAAGAGGCACCTTTCCTGATTGATGGGTTAATCCAAGACATGCACGCGCTATTCGAGGCAAATAGTATTCTCTTACATAACCGGGAGGGACTCGTTAAATCAGTTCACTTTGTATATACATACGCCTCCTCTCACTTTTATTTTGTTATTTCATTTTTTACTTTCTGTTATTATTTGTTTGGTTTTTGCTTTTTAATTACTTTGCTGCCGTAGACAGAGCCCTCGGACTTTATCGCTATCAGTGTATACTACCTCTACATAGTATATAGACCCATGCCATATGGCATAGGGACCGCGTCACCGGGGTGACAATGTAAACAATGCGACATAGTGAGAGTACTGAATGGGGGGATTCTTTATAAACGAAACATGACTGTGTTGTGTCCACGCACAATCTGGGAGCTTCGGCTTATCATTTCCTCTGATAGCTGGAAAACCTCAGCGGGGTATTTAACTTAAGGCGTAACCAAAATCCCGGTAATGTTTTCATTTCAATTGGGCAATCGTTTCGCATCACTCATTATTTTTGGGTAAATATATACACAGTATAATAAGCTCGGATTGTTTCGAGAGGGAGCTCGGGAGAAGCTGGTTCTCGTCGTGATTGATCATTCCGGCAGCCGCAGGCTTTAACTGGTTTTTCTTAATTTTTTTTCCTTACTTAGAGTTTAACGATCTTGGAATTGGGACTTTGGGATTTTTGGCTTGAAACAATGTTGTTTAATTATATATTATTCATAGTCAGATGTCGAGTACACTTGGCAACAAGTAATGATCTGTGAATAAAAAATAAATTTGATAAGTCTGGCTGATTAGGAATACTAGCAATTGTGGGTAGTATTATACTTCATTCATTAAATTATACAGAGCAAGTTTTTAAAAATTTACATATTTTTAGGTACTTAATTAATATTATAAATAAAAGATTATCAATGCCAATGCTTTCTCGAACAAAAATTGCGCGGCATATATTTGATTTTGTTTTCTTCTTAGTAAATATATTCCTTATTAAGCATTTTTACTAAGAAAAGCTTATCAGAATTGCAAATAAATAATTCAGGCTTAATTGACCTATTGGTAATTAAATAATTAAATAATAATACTGATGAAAATTAAAAGAATGCCCAGAAAAGTGTATTAAAATCTTCTTTAAACTGGGTATGATCTCTCTATTTTAAGAGAATTTCACCTTAGAGGCGTTAATCAATTATTCAAGCATTATTTAATCGTTTTAAAATATAATATTTATATAAATCCTGACAGATATGTAGCTGCCACTCAATCGGAGCCCACATATGCCCGTCTGATCTTTCCCTGCTACGATGAGCCTGGATTCAAGTCCAACTTTAGTATAAAGCTAACACATGGCAATAGCCACACGGCCATATCCAATATGCCAGTCAAGGAAGTCTTTTCTCATGGGTATGCTTAAAGCTTGGATTTTTTAATTAAATTTAATTAAAATTTTCTTCTGTTGTACAACAGCGACTTGACAACGACATTGTTCCACCCAACGCCGCCCATGTCCACTTATTTGGTGGCCTTTGTCATCTCTAATTTTGAGAGGATTTCGGAGACCTTTAGAGGAGTCACTCAGAGCATTTACTCCTCGCCGAGCACCAAGGAGAAGGGCCAGACTGCCCTGAAGAATGCAGTTCGAACTGTGGCTGCTTTTGAGGATTATTTTGGCATATCCTATCCGCTCTTGAAGCTGGATCATGTGGCGCTGAAGAAGAACTACGGAGCGGCTATGGAAAACTGGGGACTGATCACCTTCAAGGAGGTCAATCTGTTGCAGCAGGACTCTGAGGATGTGCACAAGCGGGTGATGGACAAGATCACCCAGAATCATGAGATTGCTCATCAATGGTTCGGTAACTTGGTATCGCCCGAGTGGTGGACATATGCCTGGATGAACGAGGGATTTGCCACGTACTTTAGCTACGTGATTACAGATTTGGTAAGTCAGTAAATATATATGATTTAACATTTTAAGTGGTTAGATGACTAACTCTAAAATGTATTTATTATTGCATATTTTGTGGCTGATTAAATAAAACATAATAATCCACTTTCAGCTATATCCCGAGGACAAGGTGATGGACATTTTCGAGGCCGATGAAGCGGACAGTGCCTATAGCTACAATAGCTTCTTCGACGTCCGCCCCATGTCCTCGTATGTGGAGAAGGAAAAGGACATCATGGCTGCTTTCGACATCATCACTTACAAGCGGGCGGCCTGTGTGATCAAGATGTTCCATCATGCCTTCCGCCAGAAGATCTTCGTGCGCTCCATCAGTCGCTTCCTGGAGAAATAGTAAGTAATGGTTACCTATCTCTCGAACTGATCAATTGGAACTCATGGGTCAAAGTCCTTCGCTCTTCCCTCTCTCCCTCGGCTAGTCGTTACAGCGTGGCCAATGAGCTGAATCTCTTCGATGCACTGCAGGCGGAACTGCAGGAGGACGAGTACTTCTCCAATCAGGTGTGGGTCTCTCGAATACGGGACATCATGCTGTCCTGGACGCACAGCGAGTGGATGCCCATTGTGTTGGTCACCAGGAACTATGAGAATAACTCCATTACCTTCAATCAGAGATCAATACACTCTAAGGATGAGCTCTGGTGGATACCTCTGAATTTTGCTACTGCCCAGACCCCAAGCTTCGAGGACACGCAGGTGGATCTGTTTATGCCACCGCAGGCGCAGTATTCGGTTACGCTGGAGGATCTAAAGTTGCAGCTGGGAGGCCGGGACTGGATTATAATGAACAAGCAGCAGACTGGCTTCTACCACGTCCACTACGATACGGACAATCTGAGGGCAATTGCCCGTCAGCTGCAGACGAACCATTCGCTCATTCATCCGGTTAACAGGGCTGCCCTTTTCCGGGATCTGAAGCCTCTCATCGAGCACAACGAGATGGAGAAGGTGGATGTGCTCTTCGAAATGCTCAAGTACATGGAGTATGAGGAAGATATGCTGCCATGGAACCAGGTGGCGGACACTATAGAATTCCTACGGCGCAACCTGTTCGGCACCGCTTCGGAGAATCTGTTTAATGAGTTTGTGCGTCGCCTGGTCAATCCCATTTTCCGTCGGCTGTTCCTGGACCCAGCAACGGATCATACCTCGAAAAGCGCTCTGGATGCCGGCCTGGTGATTCTCCAGATGGCCTGTCTGGCAGATTCCCAGGAATGCCTAGAGTACACCCGCCGGTTTGCCAAGGAGTACATCTTCAAGAAGATTAACCTGACTATCGATTTCGACTACTATGCCACCTACGACACGGTTTTGTGCATGGGCATGAAGTACCTGAGCGATAGGGACTTTTACGCAGTCATCGATAAGATGCAGGCTGCGGACAGGAACACTGTGTATTATGACGATTTGATCTACTCCCTGCGCTGCACTCAGAGCCACCGGCACCTGCTCTACTACCTAGAGGTACTGCTGGGCGAGAACTCGACGCACCTGATACTCAGTGATCCAGAAGCCATGATGTATCTGTCCTATGTCTTCAAGTCCAACTTGGCGGCGAGGCCTGTCATTTGGCAGTACATCGATCGCAACTACAAGTTGCTCTGCCGGTCGCCTAATTTTGTGGAGCATTTCAACCAAATCGCCGAGTTTGTGCCCAGGCAACAGAGGCCTCAGGTGAGATCAGAGCCCCTATAAAGATTATACATCTATTCATTATGAATCTCTTGCAGTTTGAGAGACTTCGCCAGGCCATTGCCAGTCACATGAAGTTGGAGTCGCTGAGTACAATCGAGGAGTTGATTGAGTCCAACTCGGTGCTGGTGGGCAAGAAGGGAAAGATCAGCGAAAACTTCCTGGACAAGTTCCAGCAGCAGATCCATAATTGGCTGATAAGAGAGGTTCCGCCAGAAGCCGCCAAAAGTGATGCCATTCTGGCTGCCTCCCTCAGTGTGGCCAATGGATCCAGCCGGCCCCAGGGAATCCTCAAGGAAGCCACTCGGGTGGTTCGGAGTGCGTTGCGGTCCATAGATTCATCATTCTACAGATGATTGCCATGTGGCACTACTCTTAGGGACTATATAAGTACAAGCTCAATTATAAATAAATTAATTCCCCTAGAACAAGACAAGATTCAAGTCATGCCAGCATTATCAATTAGTGGCGGGAATAGAGCTTTTACCCACAACTCTTAGGATGAACGATAAGGCCTAGACGATTGGTTTTAGAGGGGAATCGATAAGCAAGTTATTATTAATGGCCATCACAACCCTATCGGGTCACAGTCTGTTGCACAATCTGCCTCCACGCTTCCCTGTCCTGGGCCCGCGCTCGCCAGTTGGTAACACCAGATGTAGACAGGGCTTCCATCACCTGGTCCTGCCAACGTATCCGGGGTCGTCCTCTCCTCCGTTTTCCGACGATTACCGCATCAAATACCTTACGAGCCGGAGCGTCTTCTTCCATGCGGGCGATGTGACCCAGCCAGCGGAGTCTTTGAATTTTGACTCGGCTTACTATATCAACATCCCCGTACAGCTCATACAGCTCGTGGTTCCATCTGATGCGATAAGCATCGCCAACGCAGATTGGACCAAAGATTTTGCGGAGAATCTTTCTCTCGAACACTCCAAGAGCAGCTGCATCGGATTGCACCACTGTCCAGCACTCCGCACCATATAAGAGTACTGGAAGAATGAGCGTCCTGTAGAGTGTTATTTTTGTCGGTCGAGAGAGAGCTCTACTGTTAAAGTGCCTACTGAGCCCAAAGTAGCACCTGTTGGCAAGTGTGATTCTCCGCTTAATCTCCAGGCTGACATCATTTGTGCCACTTATTGCAGATCCAAGGTAAATGAATTCCTTCACGAACTCAAAGCTATGGCTTCCTGCAGATAGCTGGGAATCAAGACGCCGCGATTCCCTGCTAGAGCACACCATAAACTTTGTCTTATCCATGTTAACTGCCAGTCCTACTTTAGCTGACTCTTTTTCAATAGCCCCGAAGGCTGCTGTAACATCACGCTTGGTTCGGCCAATGATATCAATATCATCAGCGTAGCCAAGGAGTTGGACACATCTGTTTGTTAGAATAGTGCCCGTCCGATGCACTCCAGCCTTCCTTATAATACTCTCCATTAGAATGTTGAAGAGCATACAAGACAGCGAGTCGCCTTGTCTGAGACCACACTTGGTATAAAAGGTTTCGGATTGGTCATTTCCTACCCTGACAGAGCTGATGGTGTTGCTCAATGTCATCATGCAAAGCCGTATTAGCTTTGCTGGTATACCAAGCTCAGACATGGCGGCATACAGGCGATCTCGCCGGGGACTATCGAATGCAGCCTTGTAATCGACGAAGAGGTGATATGTGTCGATCTGGTCGATAAGCAAGTCCTAGAACTAAAAGTCATTGGCAATAAATGGTTATCTGATCTGTAAAACATTTGTATGGCCCTAAAGTTTGTAGAGGGTAAAATCGAGGAGTTTCAAGACTTTCAATCCTAAGTAAGAATTTACAAATTTCTCAAATTTTCTTCAACTGAAATGATATTATTTATTGATGAACTTATAGAAATACCTTATATTTGCTTATAATCCAACTACTCATCATTTAAGGCTACGCACTTGGACGGTTATAAGAAAATTTATAGCTGTTGTGTATTTTCCTAGTTTATTACCTTAACAACTTGCATTTTTCTAGTGTCGCCTCAGACACACCGATAACCTAGCAATTTACGGCGCTATTAAGTTTAGACCTATTAGCCAATAATAATAGAATATCAATGGCGACCCTTATCCTGCCAACGATAAGGAGTTGGCTACTGAATCATTTGAATAGTGACTCCCCTCTTAATACCATTTAAGATCTCCAGAAGAACTTGGCCTAGTTGAGCCTCTCAACTTGTGAGGGCTTTAAGGAACCGCCCGATAAATGAACGTTTTACTGCCTAATTAATCGTTAATGTTCGGCTTGGCCCAGTGCACTCTAGAACAATAATAGACCCTGTGCCTCTTTTATCGAGTGTTGCGCAACAATCTTTATGGCGATCGTAGCTTAGGATTAGATATGGGTTTGTCCATAAATAAGACGGCGTTGCGCGGCGGCCATTCAATTAGCAAATAGTCGAGCAGCCAACATGGCAAAGTGGCTGCTAAACTCGTGTGTCCTGCTGCTCTTGGCAGTGGGTAGCCTGCAGGCGCGCCTGATCCTGCCACAGTCCCAGGATATTGACGGTGTCCAGCTGGAGACCAAGGGAACGGAAGCTATCTCATATGCCCAGGCCAGTCCCCGTGTGGATGACAATAGCGAGGGAAACTACCGACTGCCGAACACTACGGCCCCAGAGGCCTACGACGTGGAGCTCTGGACTAATGTGCACAGTGGAATCAGGGAGTTTAATGGAACCGTCAAGATAGATCTTCAGGTGCTGGAGGCAACCAAGGAGATCAGGCTGCACTATCGTCAGACCTGGAACTTTTCGGCCGAGATCATTAGTCGCGATCTGGCTCAGGCTGTGGCGATTCCACTCACTTTTACAAACGAGTCCACTCGTGAGTTTCTCACCTTTTCGCCGGTGGACACCACAGTGACCTTTGCCCAAAACACCAACTGGACTCTGAGCATCAATTATACCGGCTTTCTGCGCTCCGACATGGGCGGCTTCTATATCTCGAGCTATACGGATGACGATGGCACAGTGCAGTAAGTGAAATCTCTACGAGATTAGTTCACTTGTACTAAATATTTTACCTAGTACGAGTTCTTATCGATCTATAAATGTCGATTGCACTTGAGCACATTTAGTTTCTTATCAACATGTAGAGTTGTGCTTATCATAATATGGTCCAATTAGTTTTTTCTTGTTTGTGAAATGAAATTATTAAATTTTAACCCTGATATTTCCAGCTACTTGGCCACCACACAGTTCGAGAGCACCAATGCCAGGCATGCCTTCCCCTGCTATGATGAGCCTGCCAGGAGAGCCACCTTTAACATTACCATCCATCACGATTCCAGCTACAAGGCTGTCAGCAATATGCCCGTGAATGAGGCTGCCACTAGGTTGGTATTGAATTCAAAAATCAAAAATCAAAAAAATCTGCTAGAAAATCTTTCACTTCAGTTTGGTACAACAGTACGTATGAGTGATAAAATTACTCATACGCAATGTGCACCCTGAATACTTACCAAGAACTTGTTTAATTCGTAAAATTTAATTTTGTTTCCTTGTCAGCACTGGTGTCACCGCCTTCCAGACCACTCCCAAAATGTCCACCTACCTAATAGCCATCATTGTATCCGATTTCGAGTCCACAACTGGTGAGCTTAATGGCCTGCGGCAACGCGTCTTCTCCCGTAAGGGTAAGCAGGATCAGCAGGAATGGGCCCTTTGGTCCGGCCTGGTAGTGGAATCCAGTCTTGCCGGCTATTTTGGAGTGCCCTTTGCCCTGCCCAAGCTGGACCAGGCTGGCATTCCCGACTTCTCTGCCGGAGCCATGGAGAACTGGGGTCTGGCCACCTATCGCGAGCAGTACATGTGGTGGAACGAGCAGAACTCGACGATTAACCTAAAGACGAGCATCTCCAACATCATTGGACACGAGTACGCGCACATGTGGTTCGGTGATCTGGTGTCCGTGAAATGGTGGACCTATTTGTGGCTCAAGGAGGGCTTCGCCACGCTCTTCTCCTACGAGTCGAATGACATTGCCTTCCCGAGTGGGACACCTACCAGATCTACCATGTGCAGGACTACAACAGTGCCCTGCTCAATGACGCCCTGACGAGCGCTGTGCCCATGACACACTATGTGCAAACACCCACCGAAATCTCCAATAGGTACAACACCTTCTCCTACGCCAAGCCCGCCAGTGTTCTGTACATGTTTAAGAACGCCTGGTCGGACAAGGTTTTCCGCTCTGGACTGAACAAGTACCTGACCAAGAAGTGAGTAACCATGTTCCCCAGTCAAGTTTCTCCCTCTTATCCAAGCTTATTCACTCCTGTACAGCCAATACACTTCCTGCGATGAATGGGATCTATTTGCCTCCTTCCAAGAGGCGGCTAATGAGAACAACCTGGTGCTGCCCAGCTCCGTGGACAACATCTTTAGCAGCTGGTCCCATCAGGCGGGTTATCCACTGGTGACGGTGACCCGTAACTACGATACGGGTGCCATTACCTTAAAGCAGGAGCGGTACTTGGCTGACAAGGATAGCGGCAATACAGCCACCTGGTATACGCCCATCAACTTCGCCACGGCCTCCAATCCCGACTACCGAAACACAAGCGCCTCTCATTATCTGCTGAATGTGACAGAAACCACGATCACGGATGTCCAGGCGTCCAGCGATGGGTGGCTGCTGATCAATAAGCAACAAGCCTATTACATTCGCACCCTGTACGACGAGCAGAACTATCTGCTCCTGACCAACGTCCTTAACACCGAGCCCTGGCTGATCCATCATAGGAATCGCGCCCAGCTGCTCTACGATGCGTACATTTTTGTGACCACGGGTCGTCTGAGCCATAGGATCCTGTTCAGCCTGCTCACCTATCTGAAGAACGAGGATGCGTACGCACCTTGGTCGAATGCCAACAGCATCCTGACCGTCTTCGATCGTTATTTGCGTGGCGATGATTCGTACTATAACTTCCGGAGCTTCGTGCAGCGTCAGATTGAGCCCATCTTTGACAAGCTCGGAGTGAATGCAATTCCTGGCGAGCATTATCTCAACAATTACTTGCGCATCATCACGGTTAGCCTGAGTTGCCAGGTTGGCTATGTGGATTGCTACACTCGATCCGAGAAGAAGCTCTCCGAGTTCCTCTTTAACGGAACTGCCATCGAGCCAACTTTGAGGACTCAGGCCTACTGTGCCGGTCTGCGATCCCCCTCGGCTGAGCTCTACAGCCGAGTCAAGTCTGATCTGCTCTCCTCCACGGACGCAACCGATCGTAGCCTATTCATCTCGTCCCTGGGCTGCTCTGAAAGGGAAAACCAGCTAGCTGAATTCCTGAATCTGTCCTTGGACACGGCCAACGGTTTGAGCTACTCGGAGCGTACCTCTGTGCTGAACTCAGCCTACTCAAGGAGCGAGGACGGTTTGACCGCCAGTCTGGTGTTCCTTGAGAGCAATTGGGAGGCATATGCCAAACTATCGGAGACTAGCAAGCCACTTGATTTGGCTCTGAGAGGTATTGCCACATATGTGGTCAGCGAGAAGCAGAAGATAAGGGTAGGTGGCCAGTACTTAAAACTAGTAAAATCTCTTATAATTAATGACTTGATCCTTTTCTTAGCTTAATGCCCTGGTCGATGAGGTCAAGTCAAAGGAACCTAGCTATCTGAATGATGATCTAAACACCGTCATTGACTCTCGCATCCAGGCCAACTTCGACTGGCTGGACGTGCATCGCGATGCTACATTCACTTGGATTGCGGACCATTTGTCGGAGAATGGCAGTGGAGCCTTAACAGTGCCCCTCGTAACGATCCTGATCAGTACGATGGCCCTGCTTCTGTCACGACTATTTTAGACTAATTGGTCAAGTATTATATATATTTTAGATCCCATAAATAAAGATTAACATGAGTCATAATTGATTGCCATCTATATGGATTTCTTGATAGAATTTTGCGAATGGATTCCCCCTGTTGGGGGCTCAAAGTTTCCCAAGATGGGATAGTGATATTAGCGATTACTGTGGATTGATCGGTTTATGGCATTAGTGAATCTTATCTTGTTTCTGGGAATAGAATTATTAGTTGATAAAGTACACAGATAGATGGGCTTATGACCGAATTCTAGTATAAAGTGGATATTTACAATGTTACGGAAATGGTTTATAGAGTTCACGTGCTTATATCAGTTAGTTGGATTTTGTTTGATTTTGGAACCTTCAAGAACAGGGACATTATATTCTTGGAATTTAAGCCTAATTGGACACTTCCTATACCATTAACCAATGGGTTTTTACCAAATTGCTCAATTGATTGCTTAGTTTCCGCCATTTTGCTGAGTAATCCACCACAGATTAATGGCTGGGTCTTTATCTCAAGAGCAACTGTTGAAGGGTCCATGATTTAGGGTTGTACACACCGTTTTTTATAACACAGTTTGTGGAGTATGCTTGAACCGAAATTGTACTGGAAGAGAAGTAGTTCTTTGTTGGGTTGAGAAAATAAAATTTATTTTCTTACTGTGATAAGAGTCTGGCATACTTTTTGGTCATAAAGAAGAGAAGATTTTATAAGCTAGATCTGAATGAAAATCGTGAAAATCTACACTAATGGATGTCGCTAATACGCACCTTTATCAGATCAAGGGCAGTCCCACTTGTCACTCGGGATTTTATCAGCGTGTCTATCTTGAAAGAAACACACTTATTGGCCATTATCTCAGACGCTAGCTGTTACCAACCATTGCGAAAAAACACGAATTCATTGGCCAAGTAACGATAGGCATCCGAAGGGTAGTAGTCGTGGAATCGAAAGGCTGATTTACGGCCTAATGCGGCTTTATAGCACTCCCATACGACACACTTCGGGCCAAGATTGGGGTAATCTTTTTACTTGGGCCCCAGATAAGGGGACGGGCATCGCTTAAAAGTGGCCGGCCGAAGTGGATCGTTTCAGTCTTGTCGCGCTTTCACCATGAGTCGCGTCCCGATCCTGTTGGCCGTGTTTCTGGCCATTTCTGCCGTTACCCAGGCGGCGGTGGTGCGCACCTTCCCGCCCCTCGAGCAGTTCGGACAGCTCCTGGAGCAACCCAATGCCCGCGCATTGGTTCCGTTCGCCGACGAGGATAACTATCGCCTGCCCAACGACACGATCCCCAGCCACTATGCTGTCAGTCTGACCACGAATGTCCACACGGGCGAGACCAAGTTCACTGGCACCGTGGCCATCACTCTGTCGGTAGTGACCACCACTTCTAATATTGTGGTGCATGCCCGCCAGCTGGAGAACTTCACCGCCAGCATCATCCAGCAGGGTGTGACTGGTGCCACTGCCCAGGAATTGACTTGGTCATACGAGCAGGAGCGTGAGTTCCTCACCCTCAGCAAGACGGATCTTTCGTTCACCGAGGGCACCACCTGGGTGCTGACCATCAACTACGAGGGCAACCTGCGTACGGACAATGGTGGCTTCTATCTGTCCACCTTCACTGATGACAGTGGGGCCACCAAGTATCTGGCCACCACCCAGTTCGAGTCCACTGATGCCCGTCACGCCTTCCCCTGCTACGACGAGCCCGCCAAGCGAGCCCAGTTCACCATAACGGTCAAGCACGATCCCAGCTACAATGTGATTAGCAACATGCCCAAGGATGAAGCTGCCTCCAGGTGTGTATTAGGAGAGGGAAGAATAATTAGAAATTGGCATATATGTATATGCTAATGAAAGCAATATCTTTTTTGATTTGTTTTCCTTTAATAACTTAATATATTCTTGTTTTAATTTACTTAAATTAGGAAACTCTAACTCTGACGTAATAATATTCCTTTATCAAAGCATAGTTTATTATAGCCATAAAAGCTACGTGGTTCGCGTGAACACTATCACAGTCCATAAATATATTTTATTATCTTTTATGGTAGAAGGCAGAATATAGGAATATATATCACTTACATATCCATTTCAAATTCTACAAGTTAATGCTAAATCTTTAAACCCATCTTCAGCTCCGGCGTCACCGCTTTCCAGACCACCAAGGACATGCCCACTTACCTGGTGGCCTTCATTGTCTCCGAGTTCGTGTACACCGAGGGTGAGTTCAATGGTCTGCCGCAGCGCGTCTTCTCCCGCAAGGGAACCGAGGGCGACCAGGAGTGGGCTCTGACCACTGGTATGTTGGTGGAGAAGCGCCTGTCTGAATACTTTGATGTGCCCTTCGCCCTGCCTAAGTTGGACCAGGCTGGCATTCCCGACTTTGCCGCCGGCGCTATGGAGAACTGGGGTCTGGCCACCTACCGAGAGGAGTATATACTCTACAACCCGGAGAACTCGACGATTAACACACAGACGAACATTGCCACCATTGAGTCGCATGAGGATGCGCACATGTGGTTCGGCGATCTGGTGGCCATCGAGTGGTGGACTTTCCTGTGGCTGAAGGAGGGCTTTGCCACCCTCTTCGAGAATCTGGCTGTGGATCTTGTAGGTTTCTCCTCAATTTGCCAGTTTTTGCCCTGAAGCTAATCCGTTTGCTTGACAGGCCTATCCCGAGTGGGACATCTTCCAGATCTTCCATGCCGGCTCCTACCAGAGTGCTCTGGTCACCGATGCCAGCCCCTCTGTCCGTCCCATGAGCCACTTTGTGCAGAAGCCTTCGGAGATTGCTTTGCTGTATGACTCGGTGTCGTATGCCAAGGCTGGAAGCGTTCTGGATATGTGGCGCCACGCCCTCACCAACAAGGTGTTCCAGCGCGGTCTGCACAACTATCTGGTGGACAAGTAAGTGACTGTCTTTAACCCTTGAAAATTAATCCTTAACGCGGTCACCTCCTGCAGCCAATACAAGGCCGCGAATCCCACAAAGCTGTTCGAAGGCATCGCCAAGGCCGCCGTTGAGGAGAACTATGCCGTGCCCGCCACCGTTGCCGAGATGATGGGCAGCTGGACGAACCAGGGCGGAGTGCCGCTGCTGACCGTGACCAGGGACTATGAGGCTGGAACTTTCACCGTCAAGCAGTCCGTGTACACCAACGACAAGGACTACACCAACGACAAGCTGTGGTACGTTCCCATCAACTATGCCGACTTCTCGAACAATGACTTCCGGAACACGGAGGCCACCCACTATCTGCTGAACAAAACCGAACTGGTCGTCGACGCCAAGCTTGACAGCGAGAACTGGCTGGTGCTGAACAAGAAGTCCGTATTCTATTATCGCGTCAACTATGACTCCCGCAACTGGCAAATGATCATCAATACCCTGACCACGCGTCCGCATACGATCGATCCCCGGAACCGTGCCCAGTTTATCAACGATCTGTATCGCTTTGTCACCAGCGGACGTGTGGAGCACTCTACTCTCCTCCAGCTGCTGACCTACCTGCCTCACGAGGACAAGTACTCGCCGTGGTCTGCCGCCAATACGGTGATCACCTTGTTCAACCGGTATCTGAGCACGGATGAGGCTTACGGAGACTTCCAGTTCTACGCGGCCCATCTGGTCAGTGATCAGTACGACAAGTTCGGTGTGAATGATCTGCACGGTGAGCATCATCTGGTGAAGTATACCCGCAATGTGGTGATCAACATTGCCTGTCTGGTCGGTGTTCAGAGGTGTTTGACTGATACCACGGCCAAGCTGACCGCTCTGGTGGAGCAGGGCACAGCCATCGAACCCAATTTGCAGTCGCAGGTTTACTGCAATGGTCTCAGACAGGCCGACTCCAAGATCTTCGACTTTGTCTACAACAAGCTGATGAACTCCAACGACCAGGCTGAGCGCCGCCTCCTGATCTCCGCCTTGGGTTGCACCCAGGACGTCACACTGCTGGAGAAGTTCGTGTCCAGCAGCATTGACCAGACCAACAGCCTGCGCGTCCAGGAGCGCATTACGCTGCTCAGCCCTGCTTACTCTCGCGGTGAGGTGGGTCTGCTGGCCTCGATTGAGTTCCTGCAGAAGAACTGGGAGGAGTACGCCAACCTGAACAGCGGTTTCGGTGGTGTGAATCCCCTCTACAGTGATATTGTGGGCATTTCTGCCTACACGGTCAATGCCAAGCAGCAGGAGGAGCTCCAGAAGCTGGTGGATCTCGTCAAGAATTCGTCCTACGTGCCAACAACTCTGCAGGATAGCGTGGATGCCAATGTGAATGCTAACACCGAATGGCTGACGGCCAACCGTAATCCTCTGATGACCTGGGTCGCCGGTTTCCGCAGCGGTAGCCCCGCCTTGGGAGCCTCCCTTCTGGCCGTGCTCCTGTGCCTCCTGGTCGCCAAGTTGGCGTAGATTCCAACCCGCTTGTAGTCTCCTAAGTTAGTTGTAGATCCTCGCACTCGTGAGCTAATAAATTTCAATAATTCCCTAATTTACAGTTTCTTTCGTTGGTTTATAGGTGGTGGGTTTATGGGTGTAGGGGTGATCTCATAAATTCACCCATCGAAGGCGCAGAAAACCCAAAGAGTTCTTACGCTCGTCCACGAGCTAGCCATAAATATATCCGTAATCAGCCAAAAGCGCTAATCATGGCCTTGGCAACGAAATCCATCGGTTTGCTCTTCGCCTGAAGCTCTCAAGTATACTGTGATTAAATAGGTAAAGCCCATATTAATTTATAGATTTTTAAAATTAAAACAAAAGCCTGAATATTACGTTTACATATTTTCTGAAGAAGAATTTATGTCTTATCATCTGTAGTGTCCAATAAATAAACAGAGATCAAGGTCTCTATTTGAAAAGTCAATCTTATTTATTAATTTGCTGGGAATTATAGATAATTTGCTTTTAATTATCTATATCGCAATGGGGACTTTGTATTTTGAAGTGCTGACTAAGAGATTGACATCTAGTTGCAAACGATTATGGTTGTTTGTTTAATAAAATTGATAATTGATGATTAACACATAGAACTATGGTTTGAGTAACCTTATGTTTTGGGTAGAACGTTTATTTAAATTGATAAAAAAAATCTAAATAATATTTATAAAATTTATTATTATATTTTTGTACCTAGGTGGGACTATAAATTAATGGTATTTTTATTATAATATAGCTTCGGACACGCGTCAATCAATATTATAAGAACGTCTAGGTATAGAAAAGATTCTGAAAACCAATGGTTGCTAGGAAATACTTGAACAAGTTTTTTCCTATTAAAAACATAGATAAAATAATAGACAAATACAATTAATTTGACTTGTTAAATGGCAAGTGGTATTATAATTTTAGTCAAAACATCGAAACGTACTGAAGATGTCATTTCCGGCCCTATTAATCATATTATTTTTGATTAGAATTTAAAGCTGAATCGATCTAGCCATGTCTGGTAAAAAAAAAAATTTGTCAAATTTTTTCGAAAATTTCAAAAAATGTAAGGGGTTCGTTAAAATTGTCAAAATTTGAAGAAAAAATTGAACATCTTAAAATTTTAAATTGAGTATGCAGATTTATTGAACTAATAAAAACTAACATAGTAAAGCTTTCCGATTCGAAATTAATGCATTTTTGGGTTAGTTATGATCGATTTTAACTGCTATGATATACAGGTTTCATTCTTATTAACTTTTGAGTCTCCTCAAATATTTCTTAAGATTCGTTTAAAGACTTATAAAGATTATATGAATATTTATAACATCTCAATAAAGTGGATTTCAAATGTAATAAAAATATCTTAATGCTCTTCAAGATTGGTATTCGCAATATGCGAGTGATGAAAAATACATTTAATAAAATCCTTTCAATCGACGAAATAAATCCAAGACTTTGTTAGTAAGACACCATGATACAAGAGACAGCAGCTGAAAAGTCCAGAGATACATTGTTTAAAGTATAAGACTGCAAATCACTCTCGATAAGATTGGCGGAGGCAGTGCATCATAAAGTGGTGACGCTTCCACAGAACAACCAGTGCAGCGGAATCCAAATGTTATGCCATCGTCTGGCACTGGCCATATTCGACGGCTTCCATTGGTGACCGATGGCGGAGTGCGTAAATCACCGCTCCGAGTCCTTATCGTGGCGCTTAATCTATAGACCGGGCCAACAGTATCTGGGCCGAAATAAAATGCTAAAGGCTGTAGATAAGCCGTTGATAAGGGGCCAAGTCTGAAACGGGCCAAGTACCATATAAAACGGTCCCCGGATCGCCCAGCGTTTAGTTGTCGATACGAATCGCGTGCCGAGTGGCGTGCGAAATACCAATTCTAGTCCTGGGTCCGTGATCGAACCCTGAAAATAGAAAAAAGTGAGTGTCCGTGTGCTATATTGGTTATATAAGTGTGGATCAACACTCTGGTGAAATTCGATCGTTGATAGCTGATTAAATAAGAACAAAGAGTGAAAAGTTAAGGCTTAAAAGTGATGATTTTAAATGATTTTCCCCAGCGAGCTGTGTAAAAGGATATTTTTTAATTGGAAAGAATTTCCTATTAGTTACTATTTTTCTATAAAGTGCTAAGCTTTCAAGGATAGTTTTTAAGAAAGTTTTTATAAATGAATTTTCCTAATAGTTTTAGTTTTATTTATCATACCGAAATATAACTTGTTTTCTAACCATTTTTGCTATTAAAGCTTATGATGTAATTTAGATATAGCCAGATTTTATCAAGGCCATAATTATGAATTGACTATAATTCAAAAAGCTTATTTTTTATGCCATTCCATTAAGGCATAAATATCAGGCACTCTTTCTATAAAGTTTACCACTACAAAACATTATTTTGCAACTCTAAATATATTTATTATCGATCCTCGATAGGCATAATGTTCGCCCTGCGAGTGGCTCTCCTTTTGGCCGCTTGTGTGTCCTTGGCCTCCGCCGGAACCCGGCAGCTGGTCCAGGATGTTCAGCCGCCAGTTACCCTAGCCACCACACTGCAAGAATACCGCCTGCAGGAGACCATTAAGCCGCAGTACTACAACATTACCCTGAGGCCCTACCTGCTGGAGACCGATGGCACCAAGCGTTTCACCTTCGATGGTGAGGTCTTCATTGAGGTGCAGACCAGCACGGCAACCAACAGTGTACATCTGCACTCGAAAAATCTCACCTACTCGGTCTCCGAGTACTGGGAAAAGCCAGCTGCTGGAGTGACTACCACTCCGACGGGCATCAAATTCAATGCTGCCAATGTGACGGATACGGATACGGATATTGTGAAGCTCTCCACTTCCGCCAATCTGGAGGTTGGTAAGAGTTACATTCTGCATTTCGTGTACACTGGTCTGATGGAAGACGATATGCACGGCTTCTATCGCAGCTACTACGTGGACGACAACAATGTGACCAAGTGGGTTTTTACCCTTTACCTTAAGGTGATCTTTGTTGTCTAAATGGATCGATTTCTTTGCAGGTGGCTCGGCTCCACTCAGTTCCAGACCAACCATGCCCGTCGTGCCTTCCCCAGCTTCGATGAACCCCAGTTCAAGGCCAAGTTCGATGTGACTTTGATCCGCCACAGGACCTTCAACACGGCCAGTAACACGCGCCTGATTGGAACCTATCCCCATGCCGAAGAGTAAGCTAATCAAGTGTCTAGGTTGGACTCAAATAATCATCTTCTTTGCTTGGATAGGGGATACTATATTGATGTGTACAAGACCACGCCGACGATGTCCACTTACATCCTGGCCTTCATTGTTTCCGAGTTCACTGCCCGCAAGGATACCGAGTTCGGAGTCCTGGCCCGTCCCGAGTACTACACACAGACACAGTACCCCTACAATGTGGGCAAGGAGATCCTTAAGGAGATGGGCAAATACCTGAACCTGGACTACTACACCATGGGCAACGACAAGATGGACATGGCCGCCATTCCCGATTTCTCGGCAGGAGCCATGGAGAACTGGGGTCTGCTTACGTACAGGGAGCGCAGTCTCCTGGTGGACGAGTCGGCCACTACCCTGGCCTCGCGACAGTCCATTGCCGCCGTGGTGGCTCATGAGCAGGCGCATATGTGGTTCGGCGATCTGGTCACCTGCCAGTGGTGGAGCTACACCTGGCTGAATGAGGGCTTCGCCCGCTACTTCCAGTACTTCGGCACTGCCTTCGTCGAGACCGAGTGGGATCTAGATAAGCAGTTTGTTGTGGATCAGATCCAGTCGGTGATGGCCATGGATTCAACCAATGCCACCAATCCGTTGAGCGATGAGAACACTTACACCCCGGCTCACCTTAGCCGCATGTTCAACAGCATCTCCTACAACAAGGGCGCCTCCTTCATTCGCATGATCAAGCACACCATGGGCGAGGAGAACTTCCAGAAGGCCCTGCAGGCGTACCTGGTCAAATAGTAAGTATCCGTACCCGTAACCGTAAGCGGAAGTAGACTTAACACAAGGGTAACGCTCTCCCCACAGCTCCTACCAGCCATCGATTCCTCAGTACCTGTTGAGCTTTTGGCAGCAATTCTGGCCCAACAACAGCTACAATGAAAGCTCCGAGGCCATCTTTAATAGCTTCACCACACAGGTGGGTTACCCGGTTATCAACGTGGAAGTTTCCGGCACCACGGCCCGCTTCACCCAGAAGCGCTTCCTGCTGAAGGAGGACGATGGAGCCGATGCCAGCCTGGTTTACACGGTGCCCATTTCTTACGCGCACAGCGAGAATGCCAACTTCCAGAATGCCACTCCCAAGTTCATCCTACGCGCTGGTATTGCCACTACCGTCTCCTTTGCACAGCCCCTCACATGGATCATTGCCAACGTCCAGCAGACGGGCTTCTATCGCATCAACTACTCGGAGAACAACTGGCATGCCATCCATCAGGTGCTGAATACGGAGGAGCATGGAGGCATCCACGAGAACAACCGTGCCCAGATCGTTGATGATTTGTTCAACCTGGCCAGGGCGGGACATATCGCCTACAACCTGACGCTGCAGGTCATTGAGTACCTGGAAACGGAGACCAACTACATTCCCTGGACCTCGGCCTTCAATGGCTTCAACTTCCTGACCATCCGGTTGGGCAACGACACGTCCAACTTCAATAGCTACATTCAGCACCTGACCCAGAAGGCATACAACAAGCTCGGTTTCAACGAAACCTCCGAGGACAGGGCCCTGGATATCTATCTGCGCACCAAGGTTCTCTCCTGGGCCTGTCGCTACGGCAGCTCCGATTGCATCAACAAGGCCAAGGGATACTTCCAGTCCCTGGCCACCGTGCCCAAGAACATCCGCGCCACCGTCTACTGTGTGGGTCTCCGCGAGGGTGGAGCTGCCGAGTTCCAGGCTCTGTATGACAAGTTCAAGGTCGAGACTGTGGCCACCGAGGAGACCCTGCTGCAGAACTCCTTTGGCTGCGTGAAGAGTCAGGAACTGATTGAGCGCGTGTTCAACCTGGTCATCAGTGACGAGATTCGCCGGCAGGACAAGTCCTCCGTTCTGGCCACTCTCTACACGGAGAACAATGAGAACGTTAGCCCAGTTTTTGCTCTGGTCACCAAGCAGTACGAGCAGCTGGCCGAGGCGTAAGTACTCATTTGACCTTATAAATAAATAAATTAATTAATGAAAACTTTCCTTTCTTGCAGCATGGGCGGTTACTCCGCAGTGGCCACTGTGATCTCCAACATTGCCTCTCGCTTCACCACCCAGCAGCAATACGATGACCTGGTGGCCTTCAATAAGGCCAGCGGTTCCAATTTCGGAACCTCTCAGGCCACCCTGACCGCAGCGGAGGAGACGGTGGACGAGAACTTGAAGTGGGCGGAATCCAAGTTGGGTGACTTCCGCACTTATCTGGCCAACCGTAATGGAAGCGCCGTGGTTAATGCCTTCAGCGCTCTGAGCCTGCTCCTGGTGGCCCTGGTCACCATGCTGCGCAACTAGACATGGCTCCTTTCCCTAGGGGGACTGGTGCCCCTCCTCCGTCAATCCATAAAGTATTTGTACAGTTAGAGCACCCAATAAAAGAACAAGAACACCTTTTGTAGATAACATATTGCCGTATATTCACTTGGCTTAAATGACCTCCCTGGCGACTAAGTTTACGATCTGATTAGCGCCATTACTCGCACTATCGTTCGGGGATGATTCAGTTTGCAATCTTTAGGGGATTTCATTGAACTAAAGTGCCTGTCATAAATACGTTTGGGCTGGGCTGTAAACTACATATTTAATTTTTCAGTCGCAGAAGACATAGGATTTTGAGGGCCTTTTGTTTCGAAACTACTTCATGGGTAATATACCCTTTTTTATTGCCTATTCTCTAATCGATCGGTTATCGGTTTTGCCATAAATTTTTATCGGTAGAAGCTTAGCGACTGCCAGATACCAAAGTAATATGGAAATGATTCAGATCCTTATCTAAGGTGTGGGTTTTCGATTTAACGAAACTATTTAACCTTTTTGGTGTCTCTATTGGCTATTTAGTGTGGTCAAAATCACCTAATTTTATTAACAACTTTATCTTTTTATTTATTGATCATTTCTAGTTAATTTGATTGATTCATTTGATATGTTTCCGGACATGTATGTAGTTGATAAGCCATAAAGTCCTTATCGTTTCAAATCGATTTTCTCTTCTAAGAACCTCAGCTGATTTTTATAGATTTCATCATGTTGGACTTTTGTTCCCATTATGTGAATGACGATGGCGCCGTTGGGGGTTTTACTTATTTATTGTGTTTTATCAAATTTTTAAAATGTTGTTTCTAGGAACTATTACCTATTGTTGGGCAATCATAAATTATAGAAATGTTGACATGTATTTATTTTTGAACGCTTTGCAATAGAGGTTTCCCCGAAAAAAAGCAAGTACTGTGAATTACTTTAAGTAAAAGAATAGTATCGATCAATTGGATTGATTATTATAACAAAACTATTGATAATATCAAATAATATAATATACAAACTTCTTGAAATACGAATTTAACTTAGTTCTTAAGTTACTTTCTATTTATAAGACTGTTGGTTAAAATATAATATTATCATTGTATTTTGAAGTTGCTTATGCATTATAGTTGAAATTTTAAACTCTTTAAGGTACATATAAGTTTTATATTTCTTATCAATATTAAATTAAATAATCAATTATGTCTGTCCCTCGGTTTGTTAGTTTCTAATTAATTTAATCTCTTAGATTTAGAGCTGGGATTTCTTTTCCTGTTGAGTTTTCTTTTTCTTGCATGTTTTATAAATCTACCATAGAAAATGATTCTAATGCTATATAATTAGATATAGTAATATAGCTTTAAGGTATTTTAATATTTATTCAGATATGTGTACCTTTTTGCAACTTCAGATATAATATATCCTTCTCTTCTACATTTTATACCCATTTATAAATATGTATTTAGATGAAAAAATAATTAACATTAATAAAGATTGGACAAATAAGCTTAAAATTTACTTTCCTAGAGACACATTTCCTTCTAGTTTATTTGAAATTTACTAAATTATTTAAATTATAAATTTTTCTCATTTCCAAGCCATGGATCTCGTTAGGTTTCTAAATGAGACTTTAATGAAAATTTGTGATTCTTTTTAATTAGCGTATTAGTAAATTCTTTAATACCTAAACTAACCAACTGACATGTCTGTGGTTGCAAAGTAAAAATACTAGTTAAAGTTTATTTTTGAGGAGATTATCAACTTCAGCGATCTTTGCCGAATCACGCGACTATTATATTATAGCTATTGGATAGCTATTATAGATTATAATTATTAAGTTTAATTAAGAACATGTGCGACCAGAACATATGTTTGTGTAAATATTTATGGGAGGTGTGACAGCTTGTTATATTGATACGAACAGGCCGCGTAATCTAATCATCTTCAGGGGGGACTTTTATTTGCGCTTTCTGATTTCGGCGCTCCGGCAGAGTGTTTAACTCTCAGTATTCGAACTTCTGTCGCCATGAACGGATCTTGTTTGGGATCTTTTCTGGCCCTTGTGGGGCTTCTCTTCGCCCTGCTGACCGGCTCTGTGGCGGGAGCAAGTTACCGGCTGGATGGTAACATTGCTTCCTCTCACTACAACCTGACCATAGGTGTGTTGAGGGACTCCACCGATTCCACTCTCTTCGATGGCGAGGTGGCGATAACTCTGCAAGTGGTTGGGAGCGAACCTGTGTCCGTGATTACACTACACTCTGACGGTCTCAACATATCGGAATGCTGGCTGCTTGATGGCGCAACAGGTGCGCAGGTGGAGGCTATCGCAAGCAACCGGCTGACTTATGACGTCCCCACCCAGCAGGTGAATGTTCCGTTAACGCAGGCACTGCAGTCTGGACGTAACTACACGCTGGGCTTCAAGTACGTGGGACGCATTCGCACGGATTTGGTGGGTCTCTTCTCCGCCAGCTATGTGGAGCAGGGTACCAATGCCACCAAGTGGATGGCCGTCACGCAGATGCAACGCATCAATGCCCGACTTGTCCTGCCCTGCTTTGATGAGCCTGCCATGAAGGCCAAGTTCCAGCTGCAGATTGAGAGGCCCAATGGCTACCAAGCCATTGCCAACACTAGACTAATAGAGACCACAGCTGTAGAGTGAGTTAACTCTTTAACTTTATGAGAAACCTTTTTTCAATCTGTAATTAATTGAATTCCAGTCAAGGTCGCTTTGTGGATCACTTCCACGAGACCCCAGTGATGTCCACTTACCTCCTGGCTTTCATGATTGCCGGTTACACGGCCCGCGGTAATGTCAGCGAGTTTGCAGTCCTCACCCGTCCGGAGTTCTACAACTACACGGAGTTCAGCTACCATGTTGGTCAGCAGGTGCTGCCCGCCTACGAGAAGTTGTTCCAGAGTCCTTACCAGCAGCTGGGCAATGATGTCCTGCAGTATGCCAGCTCCCCTAGGTTCCCGCACAACGGCATGGAGAACTGGGGCCTCATTATCTACAGCGATGATGTCCTTATCCAGGAGCCTGGCTACACGGACGACTGGTCGGACAAGGAGTTCACTGCTCGCATCATTGCCCACGAGACCTCGCACATGTGGTTTGGGGACAGTGTTACCTTCTCCTGGTGGAGCTACTTCTGGCTGAACGAGGCCTTTGCCCGTTACTACGAGTACTTCATGACTCATCAGGTGGGATTCTGTTTGCAGGATTTTTTACAATATATAATATATGCTTGTTTCTTTCCAGCTCTATCCGGAGTATCACTTGGACGAGCAGTTTGTGGTGCGTCAAATGCAGTTGATCTTTGGAACAGATGCAAGGAACTCTACGCAGCCTTTAACTAGTCCTGAGTCTGAGATTCAAACTCCTGCCCAGATAGCCTACAAGTTCAGTGGAGTCACATACGCCAAGGGTGCCTGCATTGTGAGGATGTGGCGGAATGCCATGGGAGCGGATAACTTTGACACGGCCATCAGGAGCTACCTGAAGGAATAGTAAGAGATATTCCTCAGCCTGAAAGACAAAATCCTTTAACAATCCTTCCTCTTTTACAGTCACTTGGAGAACACAGTTCCCCGGAACCTATTCTATTATCTCTTCGAAAACTGGCCACAGACTCCCTATGTAGATCTGGTCAACTTCTTCGCAGACTACACCGAGCAGGTGGGCTATCCCATGCTGATGGTTAATGTGTCAAGCGAACACTTCATCCAAGTGGAGCAGAAGCGTTTCCTGCTGAATCCCTCGGATGGCAGCGATGAAACCCTAAGGTACACGGTGCCCATCACCTATGCCACCAATCTGGCGCCAAATTTCTACAACTTGACACCTTACGTTTACATGGACAAGCTGGTGGATGTGGTGAGACTGTATTTCGAGGATCCAATCGATTGGATTGTCCTCAATCTGAGGCAATCCAACTACCAGCGAGTACTGTACGATCCCACCCTAATGAGTGCCCTGCAGGTGGCTCTCTCGTCCTCCAATCACAGTGGTATTCCTGTCGAGAATCGGGCACAGATCATCGACGATTTGTTTAACTTTGCTCGTGTTGGTTATCTCGACTATGCCGAGGTCTTTGAGTTCTTGGAGTACCTTAGTGGGGAGGTGGATTATGTGCCCTGGTATGCTGTCTACGAGAACCTGAATCTGGTGGCCAAGCGTCTGAAACCGGAGCAATTGCCCAACTTCAGGGCCTACCTTGCCGACATCACGGGCGCTGCATTCGAGAAGCTGGGATTGGGTTGGAGTGCGAAGGATACACCGCTGGATGTGGCCCATCGGAATAAGCTGGTGACCTGGCTGTGCCGATACAAAATCAATCAATGCCGTGAAAAGATCAATGTGATGTTCGTCACGGAGCAGGAGATACCTACACCGGATTACCGGGAAACCTTCTACTGTGCCGCTGCCAGCGATTACAATTCTTTAATGATGGTTTGGAGCCTGTATTTCCTGGAGACCCGACCGAGCGAAAAACAGATGCTCTGGATGGCCACGAGTTGTACAAGCAACTATGAGACGTACTATTACAAGATGATCCTAGAGTGGAGTGTGAGTGTGGAGAACAAGAAGGCGGGAATAGCTCGTCTTTATGAGCAAAATCCTGACCTGGTGCAGCCCATCTTTGAGATGATAACTCAGAACATTACCGAGCTGGCATTGGAGTAAGCTTTTGAATAATATTTCTTTTTTATTTTTTAATTTATTCTAATCCATTTCAGCCTGGGCAGTTGGTCGGACACAGCCGAGGTTATTAGCGACATGACGGAGTACTTTACGACGCGGGAGCAGCAGCAGCTCTTTAAGGACTTCTACCAGGACAATCAGCAGCTCTTCGGGCAGTCAGCTTCAGTGCTTTCCAAGGCCTTGGACACGGTCGAGCAGAATCTGCAATGGGCTGAGCAGCGTCTGGACAAACTGGTCATCTTTTTGAGCCGAAGGAATGGCAGTTCCGGGCAAGCAGCCACCTCTATTCTGGTGCTACTGCTGGCGTTGACCAGCGTTTTGGCCTGGCTCTGATTAGCTGAATGATGTCTGTGTGTGTGAGTGAATGTGTGTGGAGGGGAAATAAAAAGAGATTGGCGTGGTCGTGCACCACGGGAGAAATGCCATTTTCGTGTACGCAATTACTAGGCAAAAAGGTTTAGGCAGTGCGCAGCTTTATTAGGCCATAATTCACACAGTCGGGCCATTACTGTGACTTCCGTTGGGGAAGACGGTACATATAAGGCCGCCGGCAGCGGGCAGGGTCTTCCATTCCTCGCGAGACACACTCGCAGCCGGGCCGACGAGATGCTGCGCCACCTGTTACGCCAAGAGAACAACAAGCTCTTCGTTTTGGTCCTGCTCTACTGCGTCCTGGTCAGCCTCCTAAAGCTCTGCACCGCTCAGGCGGATAACGCAGTGGCAGCCACTGAAAATGGTAGGTAGGATACTACCTATAGCTTCCATGGTTCTCAGGAATTTCATTCCCCTTTCCAGATATCACGCATTTGGGTGACGACTGCCAGGTGACGCCCGTCATCCATGTACTCCAGTATCCCGGATGTGTGCCCAAGCCGATACCCTCATTCGCATGTGTGGGTCGCTGTGCCAGTTATATCCAGGTGGGATCTAGTGATTTCCAGAAAATGGAGACTCCTGGTTATTTATTACGAATTTCCCGATAGGTATCTGGCAGTAAGATCTGGCAGATGGAGCGCTCCTGCATGTGCTGCCAGGAGTCTGGGGAACGTGAGGCCGCCGTTTCGCTCTTCTGTCCCAAGGTAAAGCCTGGTGAGCGGAAGTTCAAGAAGGTGCTGACCAAGGCACCGCTGGAGTGCATGTGCCGACCCTGCACCTCCATCGAGGAGTCCGGGATTATTCCACAGGAAATTGCCGGCTACTCGGACGAGGGTCCCCTCAACAATCATTTCCGGCGCATTGCTCTGCAATAGATCATCATTCCATCATACATTTTTTGCATCATGAAATAAATTAAATTTTGCCGTATTTGCTTGCTACACAGTGAGAAAATGTGATCTTTACACTGAAGAAAGGGATGTAGGCTTTTAAATTATTTAAGCGAGTCTATAATTCTGCAAAGAAAGTTATTTTTTGGCCCATTTGAATAGTAAATGAAAGACTAAAACCTTCCCAAGCTTAAATAAATATACATTTAGCTTAGACTTTAATTTAATACTTTAAGCTTGTGATTACATCCTTAAACTTGTGATAGGTAAAGGCCATGCTGGTTGTCACACACCAAGCTGAGATTGGGAAAGTCCCAGGAGGCGATTGTGTGGTAACCCATGTTGGTCAGCACCACGACGTACTCGAACAAGGCAAAGAAGGTGTAGATTCCCTTCTCGCAGTGGGAATTATGCCTAACGAAGCAGTATCCCGCCAGGCCAAAGGACAATACATTAACCAAAAATAGGTTCCGCTTGTACCTCAGTGATTTTGCCTCAAGCGACAGTAGTCCTACCCCCGCAGCATTCCTAAACAAGAGGTAAGAGATTAGCATGTAGGACTCAGAGCAGGCAATGAATAACAAAAAAGCGTTCCGATGCGTCTTGTAGGAAGTCGACGACGACCAAAAGGAGAGACAGACCAGGGCAAGGACCTCCACTACGTTGAGGAAATAGGCCAGGAAACCCAGCAATTGCCTGCTGCGTCTAAAGTCCTTGAAAAAATGCTCCAGGTACGCCTTGGCCAACACCAGCCGGAGCGGAAAGTGCAGAAAGATGGCCACTTGCCAAACCGTTCGCTGAGGCTCGTAGCTCCCAATGGCCGCCGATATGGAGGGCAGATAGTTGGTCACATGGCAATTGGTATAGGTGCTCCGTTCAAAGTCAAAGACCAGCGACCAGGTCACGCCGAAGAAAAAGCCTACCAGGGACAAGGTGACGGAAATTATGGCCACCCAGGGAAAGGGGAGCCGGAAGTAGACGCTCTTCGGGTCACTGAGACGCTGGTAGGTGGGCAGCATCTGAGTTCCATCTGCTTTCTCCTAAATACACAATTAATATATTTATGTATATATATATGAGTGTTTTAGTTTTGAAATGTGTCAAAAAGCTTAACAAATCATATGCCCCTTAAAGCTACTTTTCCATTTAATCCATGAAGCAAACTCCCCAAGCTTATGATTAATTTAAATCGTAATTTATTTCTCAACTATCTCATATCATTGCTACTAGTTCTCTAAATGTTTGTGGTTCCTGCTTCACATAGTTCGTAGATGCATAACGCGAAAAAAACAAAGGTAATCTCTTTACACTGCAACTGGATCGATCGTCTAACAATAGGAGGAGCTCAACTACATACATCGCCTACAAGTACTCGACGATATCGCATTTGATGGATATATTCGGGCAACTCTGGCCCACGACACTGCGGCCCCGATAGTTGGGGCTCTTCTCGGTGAGGAGCTTTCGGAAGATGGGCAGGATGGCGGTCTCGCCCTCAAGCAGCTCCGTCTCACTGCTGGCCCCGTAGATGCTGCTGCTCTCGTGCTTGCCGCGCTGCTTGCCCCGTTGCTTCTCCGGTGCCACATTCGGGGAGCTATGGTGATGGGCAGCATGTTGGATGCTGGAGTTCCGGCTTATCTTTCGCGTCTGCACGCACGCCTGACTGCTGGGCGGTGGATCCCGCTCCCGCTCGCTGTCCGTCTCGCTCTGACACACTGTGCCCTTCTGTGGCTTTGGGCGGTGCTTGTTCCGGTTCTTCTCGGAGACGGACCGTTGTATGGGCGAGGTGGTGTTCGTTTCGTAGGCCATACCCATCCCGTGACCATGGTGCTCCGTACAGCGCTGCGGACTGGCGTAGTTGCGAGGCGACTGACGCTGCTTGGCGTGCGACAGCGTGTGCGTGTCCCAGAGGTCACTCTGCGACACCACAAAGTTCGATTTGAGGGCGGAGCCCATGCTGGTCCGGCGATTGTCCGAGGCAGTGGGAGCTTTTTGTAAGGGAAAGGTATAAAAATAAATATCTCACAATGTTCCTAGAGTAGGGGAACTCACTCTTGATCACACCCGGAGTGCTGGGCTTGGTGTGCGGACATATGTTGCTCAGCTCCGACTGTGAGGTGGAGATGTTGGTGGAGGAGTTGCGGTGCGAGCTGTTGTACTTGGGCCTAGCCGTGGGCGTCTGGCTGCCGCTGTCGTAGTGACGTGAGGCAGTTGATTGACGTCTTTCCCGAAGGTTGGAGCAGTCGCCAGTGCTCCGCTTGCCGGCAGTGCTGGTGATGCTTCCGATATTGTCGTCCGTCTGGGCAGACACTGAATTCCGCTTCTCCAGGTGGCGGTGATGCTGTTGCTGGTGATGTTGCTGCTGCATTTGTTGGTGTTGCTGTTGCTGCTGCTGTTGGTGCTGCTGCTGCATTTGCTGTTGCTGCTGGAGATGCTGCTGCAGCTGCTGTTGTATGGGTTGCATCATGGTGGGAGCGGGCACATGTGTGTGGTGCTCCACAATGGATTGCTTTTTCTTTTTTCTATATAAACCAATTTATTAAAATTAGGTTTAAGATGATAAGCAATAATAAATTCTTACGGGGGAAGCGATGGGGCCAGCACTGTGGACTGCACCGAGACAAAGGAGTTATCCATCTCCACATGCGTCGAGGTCACACTGTCCACGGACGTCAGCTCGGTAACTTCTATGACGAAAAGGGCGCAATGCATGAACATGTCTCGGAATTCATCTCCCCTACGACTACTCACCTGTGGTGCTGGGCATCTCCCTTCGCACTGGCGGAGCCGACAGCCTGGCCATGTCATCACTTAAAATGGGTTCCAGTTCGCTGCCAGCAGTAGCTCCACCTCCGGAGCAGGTCACACCATCAATCCACTTACGCGCCTCAGGTCCCAGCTTCCGGATGAGGGCCTGGAGCTCGTTTTCCTTCTCCATGAGTGCCTTACGGAAGCGGCAGTTTGTGTTCTTCACATCTCTTAGGCGCTGCTCCAGCTCACAGACGGAGGAGTCGCGTCGATTCTTGGACATGGGTCGCAGGGTGGCTCTCACCCGCTTGTCCACCACGCCCTGGGGATTCCGTTTCAGCTCCACCAGCTGCAAAATGATTGGAACGAGTTAGCTAACAATTCGTACCCAAAGATTACATATAGGAAGGAGCAATGGCTACGGATAGTGAGATAGGATAGACACAGACTTAGGTGGGATTGCAGCAGCAGCCAGGCTATAGCGTCCAGCCTGGTTGCTGCTGCTGATCGAGAAGTTTAAGTTCAAGTTTATAGTTGGTCTGTAGTGTTATATAGCTTTTCGAGATTGAGAATTCAGAGTGCGTGTTGTTTCTGTATCAATAATGTGTATCAACACCAAGAGAAAGTATCAGATCAGAGGACGCACGGTGAAGTCCGATCGGTTCGATTCGAGTGGATCTGAAACCGATCGGGCCGACACCGCCGCTTCGAACAACATTCATTTTGCACAAGTATATATGTTATAACAGCTACAAAAACTACAAAACTTCCTTACTACCAGTCTTACTTTCGGTACGAACACCAAACACAAAGTGGCTGTCGTACAAAAAATGATAAAAAACGAGAGTAAGACAAAAACTAAATCCTTGCGATCCGATAGCACCAGGGATATGGCCGCTCCGGCCAGACACGTGATGAACACATTGTAAACGGAGAAGCCGATGTGCTTGGAATCGTTGAGAGCGGGTATGGAAACATGCCGGGTTTCCCAGGCCAAAAAGGCGCCAAATACCTGAGGATTACATTTTAATTTAATTAATTTAATAAATTAAATGTTAGCTCAATAATTACTAACCAATAGCAGGCCCTTATAAGCATAGATGATGCTGACAAAGATGGTCATGTGCTCGGACTGGCAGTACTCGTTCTCAGGTATCACCAGCACATCATCGATGTTTTCATGGTGCTGTAGTGAACAGATATTAGTAAATATTTCCTTAAATATAATTTAAATAAAGTTACCCTTGGCTCCAATTGCTTTGTTTCCCGGTAAAAGGGATCTGCTATCTGCCAGGTAGTTATAATGGCTATATCGATGGCCAGCAGCACGCCCACCACCATAAACAACTGATAATCCTTAATGACCTTCTTGTTCAGCTTTAAATCAGTAAATATAGAGTGGACCCGCCATGTCTTGGAGAACATGGCTCCGAAACTGAGACTAAAGCCAGCCATCAAAATCCAAGCCCGGGCTGTGCAGATATATGGAAAAGCAGCCACGCTGCTCAATGTGGTATCCAGACCCAGGAAAATAATGCTCAAATAGGTCAGCATACAGCCTACAATGATCAAGTTATTCAGATGTGGACTGGACATCTTGATGTACCTATAATATAAGATTAAATACAGAATTATATGGAGTTATAGAAGATATAGTATATAGCCCACCTCTGATTCCGGTACTTGATGTTAAAGGCCAGAAAAACTGTGGCTATAATCACACCTATGACCGAGGCACTGGCTGACACTATATAGATGGTGGGGTTCACCTGGCTGTGCTCGATGTAGATGAGGGTTCTGTCCTTGGGCGGAGTTTTTCCCACCCATCTCACGGGCTTGCCTAGACTCAGGTCCAGGTGCGATTTCTGTGAGTGATATTCACCAATCTTTTCCATTTGACCCAACTGGAACTGGTTGATCAGAATATTAGCCTTTCGCTCGTTGTTGTAAAACCGCACAGGACCCTTTAAAAGAAATTATCAATTAGTTATTTATATTATAAATATGTTTTAGATGAACCCACCGTGACTCCCTCAAAGGAGGTATTCCTCAAAGCCTCGAGAAAGACGCTCTCCCAGTCCTTCACCCTATAATCAAAGTGTGTCAGCAGATCCTCGCGCTTCTCGGCCACATACTGAATGGCCAAGGCGGCAGCCCAGATGCCATCATAGGTGTAGCCATGAAAGCGGGAATACTCGGTTCCCCTTAGTCTGTCGTACTCCACCAGATACTCATCCGCTGTCTATTGGAAGCATTGTATAAATTATAGATTTAAGAGAGAATAAATATTTACTCACAATGCCAGCTACTGTAATGTCTCCACTCGTGGACAAAGGCAGCAGATCCACTAATATGGCACCCTCTAGGGCCGTGGAGATCTCCTCCACAGTGCACTCACTGTCCTGAGTGACATTCCACCAGTCTGTGGTATAGGTGGCCATGATGAGCCACTGATAGGCCCGGCCATACATGTCCAGCCTTTAATGGAGAGGAAATAATTGTCAATAATAATAGAAAAGGTGAGTAAAGTATAGAATGACACCCACTTGTATGCCTCGCAGAAGGCCTTGCGTGCAAAGTGCTCGTTGAAGTTGCCCATGATAATCCTCACGTCCTTCTCCCGTAGCTTTTTTAGCGATTCGGCCACATCGTTGACGAAACTCTGTGTCTCCACCACCTCCACCTCCATGGAATCCAGGTCGGCCACCATATGGTTATGCGGCAGCGAGTACCTCGGCTCGTTCTGGTAAACAGTGCCCACCCTCGTCCAATTAAACTCCTTGAGCAGGGCCAGTCGCGGCGCATTGAAGGCGTTCTCCGAGGGCACCACCCGGAAGAAATTGGGGAAGGCGTCCTTTGTGAACATGGGATGAGTGTCCGCATAGCTTAACTGGGTCAGGTGCCAATGCTTGCTGGCCTTGGCAATGGGATCGGTGACGTGCGTGCAGGCGGCTCCAAAGAGCATCACCTTATTGGGTCCCGAGTGCATCATGTCAAAGAAGGACTTGACGCCGACGGCAGCATTGCACTAGATATATAATAATTATTAATGATTCTTTAACATTTAAAGATCCTTATAATTAAAGAGGGATAATGAACTCACCTGCGTATCGTTCCACCACATGTGCAGTCTGTAATTGGCCAGAATCTTGCCATGCTCGTTAACATGGCCCAAAGCTAACTTAACACTGGGCATCACCCCGCGTCCCGTATACGAGTTCTCCACGCCATCTCCGTAGGGAAAGAAGCCCGCTATGTAGACGTCCGATCGCTTGGCGGTCCTGCCCCAAGCTCCGCTCCAGGACAGCAGGAAGAGCAGACCAATGACGACAAAGGGTATCCGGACACTTGGCCGTTGCAACATGTTGACCGCGTGGGCTGCAAAACGATTCTGAGTGTAAATAGGGCTTATCGAGGACGTGAACTTGGTGCCAGGTGGGCGGTGGCAGGTGGCAGGTGAGCCAAGCCAAGGCTGCTCGAAGGCAAGGCTGCGCCCCGTATTTGTGTGGGTTCGCATGCAGTTGACGGGGCTGATGGGGGCAAGGCTAAGGCCAGAGCCAGCGAAATTGCCTTAAATTGCAGCAGTCCAGCTGCCCCTTTTAGTAATTATAAAGCAATTTAATGATTTAATGGCCATGCATTATTTAGTATCCATTTTCACGCGAAGAGCCCACCGCTTCACAGCTCCACCACAGGCACAGCACTCTAATTTGGAACTCTAATTTAACCCACCAGCTTTGCTTATCCTGCAGTTGCAATTCACTTCGCCGTCATTCTCATTTTATTCACGAATTTTTTAACTAAACTCTCGGTCAACGAAGAACTTTTGCAGTGCGAGGGTCCGAAAAATTATGTATCCCCCTGACTTGACACTTGGCTGACAGGAAAAACTCGACGCAGGATGTGCGCATGTCCCGTTTGCCGCGAAAGCTGTGACAGCTCCGCCTTGGCCTAGGCTTTCCGGAACCCACCCCCGGGACACATACCCGGAACGTTGGCGTTTGTAAACATGCCGCCGCAACAGGTGGTGGCTCCGTCCGTCAGCTGGCCACGCAGCGTATTTGTTGTGACCGTTACCACGGACGACGGAGAGTCGGAAAAAATGAGCTACTCGTCGGGGCAATTACCAAATTGAAAATTGTCAGTGGTGGTCACAATGGAGGAATATGCGCCAAGTCGCTATAAAATGCTCGAGAAAATCGGCGAGGGTGTCCATGGCTGCGTTTTTAAGGCCATCGATTTGCAGCGCAACAAGGAGGTGGCCATCAAAAAGGTGGCCCTCAAGAACAAGTTCGGTAATATAGCCCTAAATACCTTGCGGGAGATCAAGACCCTGCAGCTCTGCAAGTCGGAATATGTGAGTTGTCCTGGTAAATATTAGAAATTCCACTTATTACCCTTGTAATTATAGATTCTAGACATCATTGAGATATACCCCGACCTGACTGGCCTCTCCTTGGTGCTGGAGTATCAGCCGGATACCCTGTACAGTCGCCTCAAGAGCGAGGTAAATCCCCTAAGTCGTCAGCAGGTGCGCAAGTTCGCACATCAAATGTTCAAGGGCATCGCCTACCTCCACGAGGCAGGTCTGATGCACCGGGACATAAAACCAGCCAACCTGCTAATTAGCGACACCGATATGCTTAAGATCGCTGACTTTGGCCTGGCCCGTCTCTACTTTCCTGAGGAGGAGGCGCGGCTCTACTCGCCGCAGGTGTCCACTCGCTGGTATCGAGCCCCAGAGATCCTCTGGGGCAGCCAGAAGTACGGCACTGGGGTGGACATGTGGGCAGCAGGTGAGCTTTTCTTTTGGTATAGCTTTATTTTTAAGATATATCTTGATTCTGCTGATTATGATACAGGTTGTGTTGTGGCGGAGATGCTCCGGGGAGTGCCACTATTCGCTGGTACCACCGACATCGAGCAGTTGGCCATCATCATTCGCACTCTGGGCAGTCCCCGGCTAAATCAGTGGCCAGAGCTGACTTCCTTGCCAGACTACAGCAAAATACGGTGAGTTTCGATGCTGAATCTGAAGTACTTAAGATTATTTAACCATATCCTTAATTAGCTTTCCCAACTCCGTGGGCATTCACTGGGATAACCTATTTCCCAGCTGCACACACGCGGTGGAAATCAATCTAGTCTCAAACCTGGTTGTTTACAATCCCAAGAACCGCCTCAAAGCCAGCGAGGTAGGTTCGATTGACAAGTTGGAATAACCGGTGGTATTAACAAATGTATATTCTATATTTTCAGGCTGTCGAACACGATTATTTCCACTAGTTGTTAAGTCTATATACAGAGGTAGTGTTAGCATCTAAGAGTTCTCCGATTCTTTGAATCTGCAAAATTGAAAAATAAACAAACTTAATCATAGAAAATGGTTGGAAATATATTCTGATAACACTTACTTGCACTTCAGACACGTAAAGAACACCGTCTGCCCTTCATCCGCCGATCGTAGCTGCAGGGTGGCGTAGGACATCTTGTCGTGGTTGCACTTGGGACACTTTCGCTCCACCACCGGGCCATCTGCCTCCGAGGACTCGGACTCGCGCTTGGTTCGGTTAAACACCTTGCTGGGATCGTAAGTGTTAAAATGGATGGTGAACTCTGACTTCTCCCCGCTGTAAACTGTTGAAAATTGATCAGTTTTGGGAAAATGTGCGAATATGGATTGAATTCGTCGTTACCATCCGGCAGGAACTCCTCCTTGCAGTTGTAGCAGATGACGTTGCCTTTGACCTGTAGCGGGGGCAGAATAGAGCCACAGGATGGACAGAAACCAGCGCAATTGTTAAAGGTTTCCATTTTAAAACAATTTTACGGAACTCTACGATTGTGTTTTGAAGTTCTTGTCACGTTTAGTTGGTAATGTGCCCACCATAAAGTCCGTTGATAATACTGAAAATTGGTATGGGAGAGCGGATTCCACGACAGCTGGTCACACTTAAGCGAACAAGAACGTAACCAAACTACGTATGGAGCAAAAAAGTAACGGTTTCACGTAAGAGATTTAAAGATTGAACCTCTTTGACGTGAGTGTATACATAATAAAAAAAATAAATATAAGCAAAAACAATTTTAAACACAACAAATTGGAACCATAGGTCTGTACTTTCATGTTTCCCACTTCATATATTATTTAAATTCGCAAATGAATTATTTATTAAAAGTGAAGTTGAAAGTGAGCTCAATCAGATAACATTATATATACGCTTCCCAGTAGAAAATAAATTAAACGACATATTTTCGACTTTGATCAGTATAATTAGCGTATGAAAACTAGTACAGCAATAAGGCGATCTTACGGGCTAGTTGGCTAAAATGCAAGTCAGATGTGTTGTTACTATAGATCTGGATTCAATTAAACTACCTAAAACTATCACAGGCAGAACAGTAACTACGCACTAGAGGACCTAACTACAACTACTCATCTAGGAACTTTTGATCCTTGGCGGCCAGACATATCGCACAGTAAAACTACGACTCTTTAAAGGATACGAAAATAAGTACCTTTTGAGTTGAAAAACATCGTAGATATGAGTATTTTCCTGTCGACTACCGGCTGGGATGACTCTGCGGCATATTGAGCTCCCAGAGCTTCATATTGTTGTCGAGGACCTCGTGGAACCAGCTCTCCTTCTCGGGCTGCTCCCGGAAGACGGGATTCAGCGACTTGAGATCGAGCTGGAGGATGGCATCGTTGCCCAGCAGCGCATCCAGCGAGCGGAGCAACGTGCTGTTCCCATGAAGCTTCAGCAGAGTGACATACTTGACCACATAGTACTCGTACTGCAGCTTCCTTTTCGCCCAACGCTCCACGGTGGCGTTGGCACTGGCCGACCGGATCTGGCCAAGATGCTCGGCAAACCAGGGCGCAAAGTAGTTGTATAGATCCAGCTTGGACAGACCGTTCAGACCCTTGCTCTTGATCCGATCCTTGATCATGCGGTAGTTCTTCCTGCTGTAAACGAACACCTGGTACAGGGAGTTGCCCGTGGTATAGGAGTTCACATAGTGAGTGCCCACCGCGTCCATGAAACGCACGGCAGAAGTTATGTTTCCTATCTCCAGCTGCTCCATCCGCGACCTAACATCCGGCTCCAGTTGCTGGTGCACCGGGATCTCGGCATTCAGGCGACCCGTCTCCCGGAACCGCACTACTCGCACCAGGACGTACGAGTAATCCCCCTGGATGAAGGAAGTGTTGATGCCCAGCTTCTTGGCCGCATTGTCTGGAAACCAGCCACCGGTGAATGCTTCCCAGGGCTTGTCCATCCGCTCGATGGAGAAGTCCCGGAAGTAGGCCTGGAACAACTGCCGCCGGTTCTCGCAGAACTCCATATGGAAGTCACCATGGAAGATGCCCGGTGTGGTGTCCTCATGGCTCTCCGCCAGGCCACTCAGGTTCTGTAATGAAAATAAGAACATATTTATTTATGCAATAACTTTTTAAATAGTTTTTATTAAGAATACATTACAATTTTGTATACCAAATGCAGGGTATTATATTTTTAGTCAGTAGCCTAAAAATTAGTGAAGGAGTCATTTCCGACCCCATAAATCATATATATTCTTGATCAGCATCAACAGCTGAGTCGATTAAGCCTTGTCCGGCGGAAAACTATAATTTTTGAAAATGTTTCAAAATTTCTAAATTTTATAAGGGGTTACATCGTTAAAATTAGCAAAATTTGACAAAAAATTTAATTTTTTAAATTTCAAAACTCAGTATACAGTTTTATTAATTTAATAAAAACTAACAAAAAACTGCTTTCCGTATCAAAATTAATGCATTTTTGGTCGAGTTATGATCAATTGAAATTTTGCTATCCTGGTCCAAATGCAAACTGAAAGGGTATGCTAACTTCGACTTCACGAAGCTTTTTTTATTGTTATAAATTTAATCCACTTTCATAAGTGGTTTTTATGAAGCTTCAATTAAATTTAGTAGCTGAAGCTTTAAAAGGTAATTGAAACTAATTTACAAATGGTACTTGGATTTACCATAACAGCCCAATTATAAATAAATAAATATTAAAAAAATGTGGCATAAACACGTAATAAAAATAAATATAATTTACAAAAAAAGCTCAAGCTTTTGTCCGGAAAAGCACATCACTAATTATACGTTTTAAAAAATGCTTTAAGTTTGTACAAAGGTTAATAGAAGTACTTTGAGAAATGCGATGCTCTTCGTGTGCTAAATAATAGCTTTAAGTATAATTCCAGGGTGCTTGAGCTCGGCTTAATGTACACTTGGAATGTGAAAATACTTAATAATTAAGTGTTGACACAACAAATCTTCTAAGATTTTATTTATTAATAAAGGCACACGGGGCAACTTACCCTGTAAATGTTCCTGGTGGGCTCCTTGAAGACCCATCGTTCTGATTCAACATTATCATTTAGAGGTATTACCCGCATCGATATGCTTAGGTATCCATAGCGCAGGAATATATTGATGGCCTTGCCAATCCGCAGCTGGGATTCGCGACCTCCTCCGACCACCAGGAGCGCCAACGTCAGCAGCCAAAAAAGGCTCTTCCGCGGGCTCATCGCTCAGCATGCAAGGTAAGTACTGGAAATGGGAATACAGGATGTTATATAGTGGTTTTCTATAAGTTATTCCTAACTTGAATAATAATAATAAATACTCCTAAATGGATTGTACAATTATATTCTAAATAAACCTTAAATTTCTTAAGATTTCAAAAACCAAGTTGGTATGTAATCCAATTAACTGCATTCGCTAATTGAAGTCATTAAAACTTCAATGGTTTCTGAGAAACTTTTCAAATAAAATAAACAAAAGTCTGAAACAGATATTTAAAATAAATGTATTCTAGTGACTAACTAAGTGATTCTCAATTATACTATTACGTAGGAATCGGTGACAAACTAGTTTTGTGTTTGTCTTGAACTCAATTTGTTTTCTTTCTTTCTAGGCTTTTATTAATATTATTATAATTAAAAAGCAACTAAACTGTATATAAAATAGTTGCTAAACGGAGGATTAACTGCATAAGATAACTGGCCATAATTGCAGGGCCATCGGGTTTGCTTTTCCACACGACTTTACATATCTTATAACCGAGGCGATAATATATGCGATCTCTAATTGACCGTGAACCTTCAGTAGCGCTGAACTTGAACCGCCTGAGCTTGGTTCAGCTCGGAGTTCCGTGGAGTAGACCAGACCAGAGTGGAGTAGAGTGGAGCGGAGTCGAGTGGAGAGGCCACCTGTCAACGATGAGCCGTGGCTCTGCTCCGATCAGAGTCACCTTAAGTGGCTGCAATTAGCCTCAGGCTACGTCTCTCCATCTCTAGCTCGGGTTTTGGCCATAAAAATATATGTAGCCACAAAGTAAAGCCATCAAAATTGGTTCGGCAGCAGCGAAAACATATCGGCCATCGGTTTGACTTGCAAATTATTTCCTAAAAACATTTTGCATGCCTCGCAAGCGTTTTTTGTTTTTCTTGTTGGCCCACTCGCCTCGGAAGACCGGTTGTCCGTTAGCTGGCCAAGATTAAGCCAGATTATGGCCGGCGAGGAAGCAGCCGTAATGGAGTACCAGAAATTGGCCCAAAGCGACCCATTCTAAGCGTTTTTAATACCAGTCGTTATCAGCAGCACATCGACGTGTTTTTGACGGTCCAAAAAGCACAGAGGTTAGCCGGGGTGTTAGCCGCGTTAGTGAGTCACACCTGTCGCGAGCAGTCAAGCGCGAAACGGTAGCCGTCGAAAAACAGCCATGATGACACTCAAATTGTTAACAATTTACGTGAACCATAAAATCTAGGCGAAGCTTAACTTGGCCAGAAAAAAAACCAACAACAACAAACATGAAAAGCATCAGGAAGAATGACGGGAAAATTGCCGGTAATGGTATTACCCCTGAATGGAAATGGAACAAAGAAAACAATCTGTGGTCTCCTCTCCTTGCCTCACGATTATGTGTGTCTAATAATAAGTACCACGAGCCTGACACCAGGAAATGCTTACTTGATTGTACATACAGTTTATAAATATATTATATATAAATAAATAGTCGCCAAACACCATTATCAGTGGTCAGAGCAGTGCGATTATCACACCAAACTTGGCCCCAAATGATGAACTTGTGAGATTGCCAAGGGTTTTTTTTTTATATATATTTTATTTTATGAGTTCTGCGGGAAGGTTGAAACCTCCACTGCCACTGCTTGGGGTTTGTCAAATTCTATACTTAAATACCCTTAATAAGCTTATGGCTCCGTGAAAAAAAAAAAAAAAAAATCACATAGAAACGTCAAAGTAACCGCAACTCGAGCTAGAGCTCTGAAATCCGCGCGTCCCACTTGAATGGCATAAGTTATATGACATAATGATAGTTAGTTTTCGGTGGCGGGGGGTATTTACAATAGCGGACGCATAACCTTGTGCAAAAGACCCAAAATAAAGACGCGAAGCCGCGAACCGGAGTTCGAGATGAAGAAGACGAATTGAATCAAAAATTCAATGCGCGCACTCGGACTCTGAAGCAAAGGCAGCTGAGAAATCAACTCGTTCAGCTGTGACTCCCCATGCACTCAGAAAAAATATACCTAATCGTTCTTTATAAGTATTTTCTCACACATAAGATACATTTCTATCCATTAACTATTTATATATTTTAAAAGAATATTCGGGATAACATTTTTCCATTTTAAATCAAGCATCATTTTACAAATATAACCCTTTTTATTAAACAACAACCAATTCAAACTTATTTAATATTTCCTTTTAATTTAGCATATTGACCAACCATTTGACCAACTAGGAAAAATAAGTTCAAGTGCAAGCGAATTGCATCGTATTTCCAGGTTTAGGTCGAAACTGAAAGCTTTATGGAAGTGGACAGCTTCTCGCCTTCCATTATCACAGAGCGACCTCTCCCGAAACTTCTTCCGCTGACCATTGGAAATCAGTTCTTTCCAAATCGACGGCCGAAGCGGAGTAATCAAGTAGATCGGTGAAAAAAAGTGCAAAACTAACAACGTAAAAGCAAAGACAGTTGCCAAAAGAGTTATTTAAATTAAAATGTGGTGAAAAGTATTAGTAAAGTAAAGGCCTTGGCCAAGAACAGCCTTTTACTTAGTTGGCCCCACAACAGAGGCCAACAAAGCCAAGATCAGTGCGTAATTTGTAACGAGTTAATATTGTTTTCCTTTTCATGGCAAAGACAATGTTTAAAAGTGTGCTGTACCTTCGATTAAGAAGGGTTTTAGTTTCGTGTTATCCACAAATTCACCGTTTGGATCGATCGGCAGCAACAACAAATGTAAATGGGTGAGTGAAACAAAAGTATTTATTTCTTTCTATGCTTTCTATGACTTTGCAAATCCATACCCCCTTCCCCTTCTCTTCTCCCTAAATATCTGTTTCCATCAACCTGTAAAGTGGAACCTAAGAGCGGGAGAGCCACTTAAAGAATATGATCCACTCTTGTGGCTTCTAATTTTGACAGTTGGAAAGTTGTAAAGCTGCCTTTGTTTACCTTTTTTCTGGACAATTTGTGAATAGGAAAAAGCTAGCAAAACTTTTTCAAGATCTTATCTACTTTTATGCTTAGTAATGATCGATTTCCTATTTGTTCCTTTAATTCAATTAAGGTGTTCATCTTTTCTTGTTCGCTCATAAATAACTTTGACATATTTGAAGTTTATGTATCACCTTATAAAAAAAAACAAATATGTATCTTCAAAAACCATGGCATTTTTCTGCCTGTATTTCACTGCGACGAAGCTCACTCAATTGGAGATTCTTTATGCGCATTTTATGTGCTCTTTTGTGGTCTGGGCCTGGAGTGAAGCCGGACGAAGGGCACCGGCACCATCACCGCCACCGACTCGGGGCATAAGGTCTGCAGTTTATATCGCGCTTAATTTTATGCTTGCTCCGTGTGCGTTGTTTCCTTGAGCGGTGTTAAACAAAAGTTGTCTTGACTCGACCGACTGACGCTGAGGTGACGCTGCTGCTGCTGTTGCTGCTGCTATTTATATTTTTTTCTTTGATTATTTTACCTGACCGAGAACACGAAACGCGGATCGGAATTGACGTAACCAGCGGCCAGAAGCGGGTCTTAAGCTGAAGAAGCTCAGTCCCAGGAGGAGGCGCGAGGCGATTGGCGGGAGGCGGAGACTAATCCGAACTCTAGAGTGGTTTGCCACTGGTTAGCCTTATCGCTCTGATACCCGGGGGCCATTGCACAAGGCGGTCTGCTCTCCGCTTATTGCTTGAGCGGCACATCGTTAAGTCGGCGAGTCTTTACGGTTTTTTATTTTTGTTTTTGTGGGTCAGGGGTCGAGATTCTACGCTTGGCGCCCTCGAGTGATAAGCCAGCAGCGGCTCTATCAATAGATATCAATAGACGGAGATATCGGATTACATTCGCGCGGGTTTCGGCAACAACACACACAGAGCACTGAGCACAGAGCACACACACACCGGACAGACAGACAGACAGACAGACAGGGTGACAGTCGAGTCAAGTACCCAGTCACAGTCACAGCCACAGGCACAGGCACTGACACTCTCGCGACGTGCCTTCAATTGCAATTAAAAAGCCGGAATCCGAATCCGAATCCGAATGCGGCACAACACTTACACTCCAAACGCGAGCAGCACAACTTCCAGAGCGCAGTTTCAAAACCAAACTGACAACCCAGCTACCAAAACTCGATCGCCGGAGAGAACCAGCCAACGATCAGCAGCGGGCAGCGCACTATGGGGTCAGTTAATACTTTTTGTGGGCTTAAATAATGACTTTAAAATAAGGTTATTATAATGGGTTCTTTTCTTAATAAAGTTTAGGATAATAATATGAAGATCAGGTTATATACATACTTCTGGGAAGTAGATAAAAAATAATACAATTGTATTAAAAGTAGTCTTACATTTTTAACGGGTATTATATTTTTAGTTAGGAGCTTCGAAAGCAGTGAAGAAATCATTTCCGACCCTATAAATCATATATTTTCTTGATCAGCATCAACAGCCGAGTCGATTTAGCGTGATTCTGGCAGAAAAAATTTTTAACCAATTTTTATAAGGGTTAAAATTTAAAATCGTTAAAATTTATAAAAATTTCCACAAATTTGATTTTTTTAAATTTTAAATTGAATATGCAGGTTTATTAACCTTATTAAAACTAACATAGGAGTGATTTCGGATTTGAAATTAATGTATTTTTGTCTTAGTTATGATCGATTTTCCATTCGATCTTATGGTCAAATCGCAAACTGAGAACTGAAACAAACATTGGCTTCCTTTTATATTCGGTTCTATAGAATCCTCTTCTTTAATAATTAGAATTAAAAATCTTTTAAAATTTAGTGCCAACTTTTAAAATTCACATTCTAATTAAAAAAGAATATGTTTTGCCCAGAAAAGGTGAGCGATTGTCCCATAGTGCAGCGGCAACAGCCAATATATGCTGCACCACACCAGCAACATGTTGCTAGAGTAAGTCGAGTACACGCTAACAAAATTAAAACTAGTTTTGTAGATCATTTCTGTGGGAAGTTATTAGTTTCAAATGAGTTTAGCTTCACTGCCGCAGAATGGAAAGGTAGATTATGCAAAGCAACATAAATAAGTCAAGTTTGGAGGGTCTAGTTATAATAGGAGCACCTACAGGTTAAAATATCATCAAACTTTTAAGAAGAGATCTCTTTAAATATTGAAAAATATAGAAAGAGTTCTTTAAAAAGTATCAAAAAAATGTTTCATTTTTGTAGATATTGATATTAAATTGAAATTGATTCCAAAGCTCCATATTAGCATCTCAAAAAAATATTTTGAACTGAGAATAAGTTTTCTTTTGAGCTTATAACGGGAAAACAATTATAATATTAAATTATCTTACCGAGACAGCCTCACAATTTTAATATGGATAATATAATCCATTATTCCCAGAACTTGGCCATTTTCTTTTTAGAAGGCTAATCATTGTTATTTGCCGTGTAAATGTTGCAGCGAAAGCAGCCACCGGCATTTGCAGTTCAATGACTGTCTGGCGGCGGCCAGCACGAGTTCTACTCCTCCAATCCAACGGTGATGTGATGGTTATGGTTAATGCTAATGCTAATGGCCTGGCACAAATATCTATGCTGACATCTGCTGCCGCTGGGGGACAGCTTTTCCGCTTATTAATATTTCCCGGCACGTCGCAGCGTTGCTTCCACTTCCAACTAGTCAGCAGGGGGAAAGGGCTTGGAGCAGCTTGAAATGATTGCAGTTGGCCCGGCCCGGCCCTGCCCGGCCAGGAGGCTTGCGCAAGACTTCAATAGAACCAAGCACAGACAGTGTTTTGTAATCAAAAACTTTTGGGACTAGAGCCAAATAGAAATAATAAGACAAAAACTTGGACGAAAAACAGAAACAAAAACGAAAGTATCAAATTCGCATTACCTTGAAAAACATGCAAACAAATTTGGGTCAAGCTTTGAGCGCTTGAAGTTCGTGTATAATGTTTCAATTAGAAGCTTTTTGGATATGACAAATGTATCTGTATCTGGTCGGTTGGTAGCCATGGCTGCAGGGCATCCGCTTGTCACATTGCCTTGACTCCCCAACCGGCTGTCCATTGAGCATTTCTTCGAAAGAATCGTAGCTGGCTTTCTAAGAACTCCAAAAGGTTCTGAATTTTGAGTCGAGCGGACGTGTGGGGGGACTTCCGAAAATCATTGCAAAAGCTGAAGTTGAAATTGTATCTCTCGTATATTTCTTTCTCTTGTTTTTATTTTGTTTTTTGTTGTTGTGTTTTATATATAGAAGTTCTTTTTATTAATTTTGTTTTCGGTTTCTGTGTGGGTTTTTGCTTTGCTTTCTTTGCTGCTTGTATCATGATTCAAAACTTATGTATTTAAAATTCGGTATTTCAGTGTTTACTCGTTTTTATTTAATTCGCATTCCCGTTCATCGTCTTCGTCTTCATCTGTTTCTCTCATTCGGTTTTTGTTGTTTCCGCTTTAATTTATTATTATTAATCCCATGTTTAAACTATGTATATATACTGCCATTTTTATCATTTATTTTAAATGATATTTACTAACTCTCAGCGACCTTCTGCGCTGCGCCCCAATCGATCGATTCGGGTCTAAACCCTCGATCGATCGATCCATTCATTTCATTTATTATTTTAATAACAATTCACTCAATTAGCTCAAATCGCGTCAATTCTACACATATTGACATTTTGGAGATCATAAGCATCTTTCAACTCATCCTCACGATCATCGACATTACCGTATCATCATCATCATTAACTTATGAAATTAGAGAAAAATTCTAATTCATGCATGTGTGCTCTTCTCTTTTCATTTTCATTTCTTTTATGTAATATCAACAATAAATTTTTACTTAATCTTAGTGTGAAATTATTCTTAGAGTACAGCTACAATTTGCTCGCATCGGCTAAGAAAAAAGGATCAATTAAAAATATGAAAACGAAACGAAACGAATCCTTTGAAATCCTAGCTCATTCTCGGGATGCCCTTCGATTCGGTTTCCCCCAATCCTAAACATTCAATCCTATATATTCCTGTCCCATCAATCGTTCCTAATCATTGTTAATAGCATAAAATATTAGATTTTGATTTGAGCATTCTCTCCTAAATCATTTCAACTTCCTCACTTTTGGTGTTTTTCCGGAGCCTCAAAATGTACATACATATGTACATCCGTCTCGTCTCCAGGTTGTTTCCTTATAAGGTTTCTTCTCGCTTCGCTTTAAGGTAATAATACTTAGTTAATTTGGCCACTCGGCTGTTTGGTTTTTTGTGGTTGTTTGTGGGTAGGTAGTTAGGTCTTCAGTATTTTCGGGTAGGTTCGGTTGTCTCTGGGATACTTCTATGATTTTGCATTGCCTGCTCCTGTCCTGCTCAGAACCAAAAAGTTATAGCCCAGCGCCTAACGATAATACTCTATGCAAAATTGTTCAACCATTTTGAAACCATAGAATTCTTCTGGATATACGAGTGTGTTCTTGTGGGTGCGGTTGGGAAATTCAAGTGGGTCGAGTGTGGTTTGTGGTTGGGCTTTGAGACTGCTGGAGAACCGTGGCACGTGTTTACAAATGTGTATTAAGTGTGTGTGTTTTTTAATGCTAAGTTCGATATCAAGTGCGATCTCTATTCGATTCGAGAAAGTCCCCATTAGTTGGGGGACTCTCAATACCATCCAGAAGCTCTAAATCAGGGAAAGCTATATGTTGTGAAAAGGGTATATCTCTAGCCGGGGGACAACGTCTCTACACACAGTGGAGAGGGGAGAAAAGCGAAATTACTGAGCGCTGGATTTGGATCCTTGATCTAGTTTGCTTGATTGCTAAAGACAGTCATTGTAAAGTATCTCGAAAATTTGAAGCTGCTGCTCTTGGGTGGTTACTGGGCCTGTGTGGGTGTACGATTCAATTCAATTCAAAATCAATTCAAAAGCGACTCAAGGATCTCATTCGATTCGGTTTTGGGTCATTCTTTCGTTAGTTTAGGTTCACGTTTTTCGTTTTTCGTTTTTATTTTCTCATTATATTTTCTTAGTGTTTCGGTTTGGCTGTGGGTTAAAAGGAAGCGCTCCGCTATATTAATCTTATTGAACTGACTGATTTTCAATGTATCCAACCTGAGTTTGAGTTGTTCGAAAAATATATATATGTGTGTGTATACATATTTTCTCATTTTCCTACTTTCTTTCTTCTCTCTCTTGTGTTCTCCTTTGCTTTTGTTATATATTTATACGTGTTTATGCTTTGTTCGCGTTGACCTGCCATCTCCTCTTACTCTCGGTTCCTTTTTGCTAATTATTTTAATTCGTAATTGCAGTTAGTATGTGTCTTTTGTTTTTTGTTTTTGTTTTTGTGCTCACTCTATGTTTTTCCATTTGTTTACTTTGCTTTTGCTTGAATTAAACGCTGCTGCAATTATTATTATTGTTTTTTTTATACTTTTCTTCTTAGTTTTTTTTGTTTATTATGTTTGATTGCATTTTTTGGTTGTGTGTGGCTTACTCGTTTCCCATTGAATTCAATTAAACGTCAACAATTTGGTATTTTGTTATTATTATATATGGTTTTTCCATTTTCCTTCGTGTGAGTGTGTGTGTGAGTGGTGTAAGTGTTGCGATTGGAATTAATTTCTTTATTTTTTTGGTTTGCATTTGCATTTGCTGTTTTTTTTTTCTGTTTTTCTTTTTCCCCTTTTCGTTATGTTTATTGCATTTAAAACGTGCACTTTGCGACCTTTACCACTGTCATTACTTGATCTTCCCTCGTGTGTAATTAATTAGTTCTTACTTGGCTTGAAACACTTGAAATTGCTCACATCATAATTCGCTTATTACCTTCTGCTCTCCGTGTTCTGGTTGTATGTATGTCTCCTTGTGTCTATGTTTAATTATATTTAATTACGTAGTTTTCGCTATAATTTACTAACTCTTTCAACGCCCCCGCCCTTCTCACCAGACTCTTGCCGGAAATAATCGCTGAGTAAAAATAATTTTGGAGTGCTTGGGCTCCAGTTAACTTAGACACTAACAAGTGCATGATTTACATAAGCGTTTAATGCTGTTCTCTCTGACTAAATGCTGAATAAAAAAAAAAACAAATACAACAAACAATGATAATACTTAAAGAATAACAAAACT